GGTTGTATATATGATTCTAGAGTGACTTTTGATATATGGATTTATCACGCGGCGTGTTATCTTAAGGATCTAATTGTCCAAGAAGAAGAGAGATCAACGAGATAAAGATTTGCGGTAAATAAACAGAAAGTGCGAAAGTGAGAGAAAGAGAGAGAGAGAGAGAGCGAGAGAGAGAGAGAGAGAGAGAGGGAAAGCGAGAGAAAAAGAGAGAAAAAGATAATTAAGGAAAGTAAGACGTTAATTGATCCATAAATATCCAGTGGATCGAATTATTTTAGAAGCACATTAAAACACATCTTGTTGCTTATAGCTCGGATCGGATTTTATTTTAAGCAAAGTATATTGATCCTTGCTCAGAATTATTTAACCAATTGATTGAGAAGTGTATGATATAAGCTATATATATATACTTTTGTAATTCACTGTTCAAATATTTCTAAAAGAGAGTATATATGAGAAATCGGATGAGAAGTTAATGATACAAGCTATATATTTTGGTCAAGCTACTACTTCGATAATTACCGAATATAGTAGTACCAACCTTTTTCAGTAATAAAATAAAGCATTTTAGAATTTATTTTATATACTAATATATTAATATGAGATTTTTATAGGCCTCATTATCTGCACGCACAAAGATATAAGCCAAAGAATATAAGTTATTAGTTAGCTATCGAGTATAATGTCAAAGTCATTGGACTTCCATTTTTGGTTAATTAATTTTGACTTTTATATGATTGTGTACTTGTTTTAGACGGGAAGCATACTTACTTAGGAAGATAGCTTCGTCATTTTTTTATAATAAAGCTGTTACTCAACGCATGTCTATCGCAAAGGCATTGCTGTTTATGTATATAGAATTCATAACTTCACTACGGATATGAAAGCTGTGCGCTTAGATTGCTTTTATAGAGAAAGCTCATTAGCTTCAAATATTGTTTATAAAGAATGAGCAACCTTATAGTTTTGCGGTTTTCTCAAGAATACACTGACCTTCACTCTCGATCTTCCTAAGCCACTCTTTATCGCACCCCCTACCCCACTCCCCCCTTCTCACATACCTCACCTACACACACACACACACACACACAAACCTCGACTACACATATTTTAACTACATACACATCTCTTATAATACTTTTTAAACCTATATATATAAATAATATGCTTGTAATTAAATCAAATACATATATAAATCATTATAGCTTCTATTTGTTTTGTCTATTTAAATATAGTAAAATAAATAGGGTAGGTGGAGACCGAGTCGAATTGATTAAAGTGAAAGGCTGAAGAAGAATGAGAGTGAATTGTAACAGCGATTTTATTTTAAAAATATCGAGAAGGTTTTGATAGTAGAGTATTTGTATTGTGTAAAGAGTGCGGGATAGTGAGATAGACGGAGGCAGTGTGTAAGAATATTTTTTTTTATATAAGACGGGTTTGAGAATTAGGGTGTATAACAATTTTATTATTATTATAGACTTGAGGATTATTGTATGCGCCTATAAAGAGAGATTACTATGGTAGGACTTTGTGATGGGTGATTTCTGTTTGGTCTAGAACCAGTTATTTAAAGATATAGTAAAAGTCGGAAGCTTTGGAGAATATGTATGATGGGCTGGGGTCATTGTCACTGAAGACAGTCTTGGAAGCATAAGCATACAAGTGTTATGTGCGTGCAAGAGTTTGAAGGTAGTTCTGAGAATAGTGGTATATAGCACTTCAAATATAAAAGAATATAGTGTATGGCTTTTGAGTTTTGAAGTTTTATTATATGGATATTATTTCAATTTTTATTTTTCAGTGATAGTGGAATAAAAGGATATTATGGTTGTTGATGTCAATTTTGATAGCGTTGTGAAGCTGGTGTTGCTAGACGTAATAGATTTTTTTTTTATTTATTGGTGCCGGTTTTTAAAGCATTGAGCAGTTTATAGGGACACGAAGGTATGACCAAGGGCTTATTTTTTGCTCGACTTGTATATACCATGGACAGCCGTCTAAAAAATAAAATAAAGAATATTTTGGTTTTTTTTAAAAAGAGTGCGCTTCCTTTTTGTATTGCGTCGCTTTTGGTCCACTTTGAGTTGCAATACAATATGAATGTCGATCCCCAACAGGAATGAAGATCCTCAACTGGGATGGCGGAATGTTGGGAATGTCGAAAGGAGATTTAAGCCATCGTTAAAAAAATATTTTTTTTTGTTTTGGTTGCGGTACAGCAAAGGTTATTTTAATACACACTTCTCTCCGAATAGTTTTGAGTGAATACTAAATGGTATTTCAACCTCCATATGGATAACAGTGTCCCTGTCGATGGGCTCTGCTATGGTTCTTTTACGATCGGGTACACAAAGGCTGTCTGCACCACCGATTGGTAATACCAGTTTACAAAAAAGCGCACACTGTCCGAATTACCAATTAGCACCCTTAGTTTGTAAAAAGACATAAAACGAAATAGACAATATCGTATATTTTGTATTGGTGCAGCCAATTGACTGGTAGAGAGATCTCTGAGTGTGTGCAAGTGCAAGTGCAAGTGCGTGTGCGTGGGCATGTGCGTGGGCGTGGGCATGTGCGTGTGTGTGTACGTGTGTTGAAGGGAAGAAAGAAAATAGGCTGAACAGTATATCTAAAATAAAGTAAGAGCTATATATAAATATATAGATCGATAGTGATTTCTGGTGTATGTCTGTATCAGTGTATGTTGAAGAGAAGAAGAAGAATATATATATATATACCTAATAGTGTATTCAAGATACAATAGCAATTTATATATATAGTTATAGGGTAAAATTTTGACAATAAATACCGACTGTTTCAAAATAACTCGATAATAATATTCTGTATATTATTATTCTTTGATTAAATTCCACCAAGTGTAATTGTAAAAAAAGGGTCCGCACCTAGATAGTACTGCATATATTAAACATACTAGAAAACATAACTTCAACTGTATGAATATATATATATATGTATATATATAGTGCCTATCATACATTTAAAATATTAACAAAAAAAGAACCATGTAATTGTGAATAATTACTATATATATATATTGTATCATTATCTATAGCTTAAAACCGATATAATTTTAATTAAAATCTTAAGGAGACAAAATATATGGGTTATTTTGAAATTATTTGAGAGATATATGATAAAAGCTTTATATTTATAAGAAAGTAAAGTTATTATTACTATTGTATATGTTTTTATGATATTATTTTCTTTTGGATTCCGGTGGTCCGAGATTGTCGGAAATATCCATTCAGTCCAGATTGAACATAATAGGCAGCCAATCCGGACAGAATTATACTGCTGATATTACATATCCTTTTTTTTATTGGTTAACTGAAATTGTAATTCTAATTCATCCTGCATATGCACCTTTCTTGATTTAGCTGCAAAACAACTTTACAAATCTTGAGGCTGCATTCTTTATTGGTTAGCAAAAAATACAGTTCTTAATAATGATATACATTTACTATTTATTGATTGACTAAAAACATATGTCTGATGAATATGAATCTTTACTCTCTATTGGTTAACTGAGAATATAGCTTTGCTTAATCTTGCATATCTACTAGTCTTTTAACCAATAAAATATTTCTTACTCATAGTGAATCCACATGCTTTACTGGTTTGCAAAGATATATAGTTCTTAATAATGATGCATATGTATTATTTATTGGTTGACTAAAAATACATATCTTAGTAATCGTACAAGTTTACTTTAGTTTGCAGCCAAGAGTTTAATGTAGTTAATAATCGTGTATACTCATTATTTATTAGTTAAACTATATGTATTTTACTCATTGCGCATACTCATTACTTATTGGTTAAACTATATGTACTTTACTCATTGCGCATACTCATTACTTATTGGTTAAACTATATGTACTTTACTCATTGTGCATACTCACCCTTTATTGGTTAAGCTATATGTGTTTTGCTCATTGTGCATACTCGCCCTTTATTGGTTGACTAATAAATAATATATATCTTGAGTATTAAATTCTACCGTATGCATAATTTATTACTTTTTTATATTATTTTATAACTCATTCATTCTATTTAATATAAGTTTTAATATAATATATATTACAAAGCTTATACAAGAAAGATATACCTATCAGAAAACAATCAAAACAAACATGAGCCCAGGCACAAACAGAAAAATAAAGCAAAAAGAAAGAGAATTATAGATATATTCTTTCTAAAAATTATTGGTGTAAAATTAAAATTCAATTTATTATTAAGAGTATATGAAATAAAATAATATAATCTAATATAATATATGAGAACAAGACTGCGATTTTATTTTATTTTACTTTTATTTAAAAGTATAAAGCTTTAATAGTCGTATATTCTTTTCATATAGTGAAGAGTATGTAGTGGGTTAAAGAAAGATATTATTTGTAGGCAGTATTTGTAAATGGCCCGTGTATGTGGTCCGTGTGACAGAGCTTTGACATTCATGGTGTACACTGATAAAAAAAATAGATTTCTATAGTGGGCCGTTGTGCTTGGTGGTGTCCGCCTAATTTAGAATTAGTCACACAAAAATATACTAAAAGTCAAAAGCTTTGAAAGTTATATGCGATGGAATGAAATGAGAAGGTTTCAGAAGTGCGATGATATGAATAGTGTATATGTGCGAAAGTTGAAAGCCAATTCTGAGAATGGCAGTGCATAACACTCTAAGTGTAAAAGAAAATAATGTATTGCTTTTGAGTGTTGAAGTTTTGCTATATAACTTCTATTTCAATATTTATTTTATTGTTGTAATAGAGTAATGAAATAGTATGGTTTTTTGGTGTCAATTTTGATAGTGCGGCTATGCTAGTGCTGGTACAGGTTTCAAAAAAGAAAACATTACTGTGGTTATCGGTTTCAATTTTGATAGTGCGGCTAAGCTAGTGCTGGTACAGGTTTCAAAAAAGAAAACATTACTGTGGTTATTGGTTTCAATTTTGATAGTGCGGCGAAGCTAGTACTGGTACAGGTTTCAAAGAAAGAAAATGATACTGTGGTTATCAGTTTCAATTTGGATAGTGTGGCGAATCTAGTGCTTGTACAGGTCTCAAAGAAGAAGCTGTTGGTGTGATTTTTGGTTTCAATTTGGATAGTGTGGCGAAGCTAGTGTTGGTACAGGTTTCAAAAAAGAAAACATTACTGTTGGGATTACCGTCGACTTTGAAGGCGGTGTGAAGCGGTTGCTAGTGCAAGTTTGAAAAAAGAAAACATTACTGTGGGGATGACCGTCGACTTTGAAGGCGGTGCGAAGCGGTTGCTAGTGCAAGTTTGAAAAAAGAAAACGTTACTGTGGGGATGACCGTCGATTTTTAAAGCGTTGAGAAGTTTATAGGAACACAAAGATTTGACCAAGGGCTTATTTTTGTTGGAGCCGCATATACAGTGAACAGTCGTCAAAAAGATAAAATAAATAGTCTTTCAATTTTTTTTTCAAAAGAGTGTGCTCTCTTTTTATATTGCGACAGTTTCTGTCAACTTTAAGTTGCAATATTGTATGAATGACGATTCCCAACAGGAATGAAGATCGTTGACAAGGATGGAGGAATGTAGGGAATGTCGAAAGAAGATTCAAGCCATCGTTAAAAAAGAATTTTTTTTTGTTTTGATTACGGCGCAGTGAAGGTCACATTAATATACTATCCTCTCTCAACGACTGTAAGTGAACACTGGGCGGTATTTAAACCTCCGTATGGATAACAGTATCCCTGTAAATGGGCCCTGTTATGGTTCTTTTACTATTGGGTACACAAAGGCTGTCTACACCACCGATTGGTAATACCAGTTTACAAAAAAGCGCACACTGTCCGAATTACCAATTAGCACCCTTAGTTTATAAAGAAACATAAAACGAAATAGACAATATCATATATTTTGTATCTGTGCAGCCAATTGACTGGTAGAGAGATCCCTGACTGTGTGCGTGTATATTGGAAAGAGGAAAGAGATAGATGTAAGAGCTTATCTGAAATACACTAACAGGTTGTATATATGATTCTAGAGTGACTTTTGATATATGGATTTATCACGCGGCGTGTTATCTTAAGGATCTAATTGTCCAAGAAGAAGAGAGATCAACGAGATAAAGATTTGCGGTAAATAAACAGAAAGTGCGAAAGTGAGAGAAAGAGAGAGAGAGAGAGAGCGAGAGAGAGAGAGAGAGAGAGAGAGGGAAAGCGAGAGAAAAAGAGAGAAAAAGATAATTAAGGAAAGTAAGACGTTAATTGATCCATAAATATCCAGTGGATCGAATTATTTTAGAAGCACATTAAAACACATCTTGTTGCTTATAGCTCGGATCGGATTTTATTTTAAGCAAAGTATATTGATCCTTGCTCAGAATTATTTAACCAATTGATTGAGAAGTGTATGATATAAGCTATATATATATACTTTTGTAATTCACTGTTCAAATATTTCTAAAAGAGAGTATATATGAGAAATCGGATGAGAAGTTAATGATACAAGCTATATATTTTGGTCAAGCTACTACTTCGATAATTACCGAATATAGTAGTACCAACCTTTTTCAGTAATAAAATAAAGCGTTTTAGAATTTATTTTATATACTAATATATTAATATGAGATTTTTATAGGCCTCATTATCTGCACGCACAAAGATATAAGCCAAAGAATATAAGTTATTAGTTAGCTATCGAGTATAATGTCAAAGTCATTGGACTTCCATTTTTGGTTAATTAATTTTGACTTTTATATGATTGTGTACTTGTTTTAGACGGGAAGCATACTTACTTAGGAAGATAGCTTCGTCATTTTTTTATAATAAAGCTGTTACTCAACGCATGTCTATCGCAAAGGCATTGCTGTTTATGTATATAGAATTCATAACTTCACTACGGATATGAAAGCTGTGCGCTTAGATTGCTTTTATAGAGAAAGCTCATTAGCTTCAAATATTGTTTATAAAGAATGAGCAACCTTATAGTTTTGCGGTTTTCTCAAGAATACACTGACCTTCACTCTCGATCTTCCTAAGCCACTCTTTATCGCACCCCCTACCCCACTCCCCCCTTCTCACATACCTCACCTACACACACACACACACACACACAAACCTCGACTACACATATTTTAACTACATACACATCTCTTATAATACTTTTTAAACCTATATATATAAATAATATGCTTGTAATTAAATCAAATACATATATAAATCATTATAGCTTCTATTTGTTTTGTCTATTTAAATATAGTAAAATAAATAGGGTAGGTGGAGACCGAGTCGAATTGATTAAAGTGAAAGGCTGAAGAAGAATGAGAGTGAATTGTAACAGCGATTTTATTTTAAAAATATCGAGAAGGTTTTGATAGTAGAGTATTTGTATTGTGTAAAGAGTGCGGGATAGTGAGATAGACGGAGGCAGTGTGTAAGAATATTTTTTTTTATATAAGACGGGTTTGAGAATTAGGGTGTATAACAATTTTATTATTATTATAGACTTGAGGATTATTGTGTGCGCCTATAAAGAGAGATTACTATGGTAGGACTTTGTGATGGGTGATTTCTGTTTGGTCTAGAACCAGTTATTTAAAGATATAGTAAAAGTCGGAAGCTTTGGAGAATATGTATGATGGGCTGGGGTCATTGTCACTGAAGACAGTCTTGGAAGCATAAGCATACAAGTGTTATGTGCGTGCAAGAGTTTGAAGGTAGTTCTGAGAATAGTGGTATATAGCACTTCAAATATAAAAGAATATAGTGTATGGCTTTTGAGTTTTGAAGTTTTATTATATGGATATTATTTCAATTTTTATTTTTCAGTGATAGTGGAATAAAAGGATATTATGGTTGTTGATGTCAATTTTGATAGCGTTGTGAAGCTGGTGTTGCTAGACGTAATAGATTTTTTTTTTATTTATTGGTGCCGGTTTTTAAAGCATTGAGCAGTTTATAGGGACACGAAGGTATGACCAAGGGCTTATTTTTTGCTCGACTTGTATATACCATGGACAGCCGTCTAAAAAATAAAATAAAGAATATTTTGGTTTTTTTTAAAAAGAGTGCGCTTCCTTTTTGTATTGCGTCGCTTTTGGTCCACTTTGAGTTGCAATACAATATGAATGTCGATCCCCAACAGGAATGAAGATCCTCAACTGGGATGGCGGAATGTTGGGAATGTCGAAAGGAGATTTAAGCCATCGTTAAAAAAATATTTTTTTTTGTTTTGGTTGCGGTACAGCAAAGGTTATTTTAATACACACTTCTCTCCGAATAGTTTTGAGTGAATACTAAATGGTATTTCAACCTCCATATGGATAACAGTGTCCCTGTCGATGGGCTCTGCTATGGTTCTTTTACGATCGGGTACACAAAGGCTGTCTGCACCACCGATTGGTAATACCAGTTTACAAAAAAGCGCACACTGTCCGAATTACCAATTAGCACCCTTAGTTTGTAAAAAGACATAAAACGAAATAGACAATATCGTATATTTTGTATTGGTGCAGCCAATTGACTGGTAGAGAGATCTCTGAGTGTGTGCAAGTGCAAGTGCAAGTGCGTGTGCGTGGGCATGTGCGTGGGCGTGGGCATGTGCGTGTGTGTGTACGTGTGTTGAAGGGAAGAAAGAAAATAGGCTGAACAGTATATCTAAAATAAAGTAAGAGCTATATATAAATATATAGATCGATAGTGATTTCTGGTGTATGTCTGTATCAGTGTATGTTGAAGAGAAGAAGAAGAATATATATATATATACCTAATAGTGTATTCAAGATACAATAGCAATTTATATATATAGTTATAGGGTAAAATTTTGACAATAAATACCGACTGTTTCAAAATAACTCGATAATAATATTCTGTATATTATTATTCTTTGATTAAATTCCACCAAGTGTAATTGTAAAAAAAGGGTCCGCACCTAGATAGTACTGCATATATTAAACATACTAGAAAACATAACTTCAACTGTATGAATATATATATATATGTATATATATAGTGCCTATCATACATTTAAAATATTAACAAAAAAAGAACCATGTAATTGTGAATAATTACTATATATATATATTGTATCATTATCTATAGCTTAAAACCGATATAATTTTAATTAAAATCTTAAGGAGACAAAATATATGGGTTATTTTGAAATTATTTGAGAGATATATGATAAAAGCTTTATATTTATAAGAAAGTAAAGTTATTATTACTATTGTATATGTTTTTATGATATTATTTTCTTTTGGATTCCGGTGGTCCGAGATTGTCGGAAATATCCATTCAGTCCAGATTGAACATAATAGGCAGCCAATCCGGACAGAATTATACTGCTGATATTACATATCCTTTTTTTTATTGGTTAACTGAAATTGTAATTCTAATTCATCCTGCATATGCACCTTTCTTGATTTAGCTGCAAAACAACTTTACAAATCTTGAGGCTGCATTCTTTATTGGTTAGCAAAAAATACAGTTCTTAATAATGATATACATTTACTATTTATTGATTGACTAAAAACATATGTCTGATGAATATGAATCTTTACTCTCTATTGGTTAACTGAGAATATAGCTTTGCTTAATCTTGCATATCTACTAGTCTTTTAACCAATAAAATATTTCTTACTCATAGTGAATCCACATGCTTTACTGGTTTGCAAAGATATATAGTTCTTAATAATGATGCATATGTATTATTTATTGGTTGACTAAAAATACATATCTTAGTAATCGTACAAGTTTACTTTAGTTTGCAGCCAAGAGTTTAATGTAGTTAATAATCGTGTATACTCATTATTTATTAGTTAAACTATATGTATTTTACTCATTGCGCATACTCATTACTTATTGGTTAAACTATATGTACTTTACTCATTGCGCATACTCATTACTTATTGGTTAAACTATATGTACTTTACTCATTGTGCATACTCACCCTTTATTGGTTAAGCTATATGTGTTTTGCTCATTGTGCATACTCGCCCTTTATTGGTTGACTAATAAATAATATATATCTTGAGTATTAAATTCTACCGTATGCATAATTTATTACTTTTTTATATTATTTTATAACTCATTCATTCTATTTAATATAAGTTTTAATATAATATATATTACAAAGCTTATACAAGAAAGATATACCTATCAGAAAACAATCAAAACAAACATGAGCCCAGGCACAAACAGAAAAATAAAGCAAAAAGAAAGAGAATTATAGATATATTCTTTCTAAAAATTATTGGTGTAAAATTAAAATTCAATTTATTATTAAGAGTATATGAAATAAAATAATATAATCTAATATAATATATGAGAACAAGACTGCGATTTTATTTTATTTTACTTTTATTTAAAAGTATAAAGCTTTAATAGTCGTATATTCTTTTCATATAGTGAAGAGTATGTAGTGGGTTAAAGAAAGATATTATTTGTAGGCAGTATTTGTAAATGGCCCGTGTATGTGGTCCGTGTGACAGAGCTTTGACATTCATGGTGTACACTGATAAAAAAAATAGATTTCTATAGTGGGCCGTTGTGCTTGGTGGTGTCCGCCTAATTTAGAATTAGTCACACAAAAATATACTAAAAGTCAAAAGCTTTGAAAGTTATATGCGATGGAATGAAATGAGAAGGTTTCAGAAGTGCGATGATATGAATAGTGTATATGTGCGAAAGTTGAAAGCCAATTCTGAGAATGGCAGTGCATAACACTCTAAGTGTAAAAGAAAAGAAAATAATGTATTGCTTTTGAGTGTTGAAGTTTTGCTATATAACTTCTATTTCAATATTTATTTTATTGTTGTAATAGAGTAATGAAATAGTATGGTTTTTTGGTGTCAATTTTGATAGTGCGGCTATGCTAGTGCTGGTACAGGTTTCAAAAAAGAAAACATTACTGTGGTTATCGGTTTCAATTTTGATAGTGCGGCTATGCTAGTGCTGGTACAGGTTTCAAAAAAGAAAACATTACTGTGGTTATCGGTTTCAATTTTGATAGTGCGGCTATGCTAGTGCTGGTACAGGTTTCAAAAAAGAAAACATTACTGTGGTTATCGGTTTCAATTTTGATAGTGCGGCTAAGCTAGTGCTGGTACAGGTTTCAAAAAAGAAAACATTACTGTGGTTATTGGTTTCAATTTTGATAGTGCGGCGAAGCTAGTACTGGTACAGGTTTCAAAGAAAGAAAATGATACTGTGGTTATCAGTTTCAATTTGGATAGTGTGGCGAATCTAGTGCTTGTACAGGTCTCAAAGAAGAAGCTGTTGGTGTGATTTTTGGTTTTAATTTGGATAGTGTGGCGAAGCTAGTGTTGGTACAGGTTTCAAAAAAGAAAACATTACTGTTGGGATTACCGTCGACTTTGAAGGCGGTGTGAAGCGGTTGCTAGTGCAAGTTTGAAAAAAGAAAACGTTACTGTGGGGATGACCGTCGACTTTGAAGGCTGGTGCTGTGCTACTAAAAAATTGAAAAATGAAAATCTGAAAAAAAGGGATATTAATTTTTTTTTGCAATTTTTACACTAGATCTATTTGCTACCCTCAATATGGCAGAGAACCCAGTGCACAGATTCATTGCTACATTTGTGGTAATGTTCGCTTCCTGCTATGTGGTCAACAAGGGCACTGTTTTCTTGATCGAGTTCATCAACAAGCTCTAAACGATTTACGAGCAGGATTTCCAACTGCCCTTGAGCCTTTCTGGCCTACAGCGCATGACAGGTCTCAGCCATAACCAAAGGCGTAAAGAAATTTGTTGTGAGTCAGAATTGCCACGAGGTGTACGAGGAAAGTGTATCTGCTCCTTCTCATTGTGATTTTGTGAAGCTTGGTGCGCGCTTGTCTTGTGGTTGTCAATTGATGAAATCATTGTCATTGGGTGCTTTGATAGCTAAGCGGTCATATGTGTACCAGTCTATCAAACAGACATTAAAGATGTTTTTCCTTTGCTCAGAGTTCGAAAAAAAATCAGACATTTGAATTACGAGTTGAAGATAATGAATACCATGCGCAATATCTATGACAGAGCTATATGGAAGGAGTTAAAAGACAAAGATGGCGTGCAATTCACCCAAGATTCACGTTCATTAATGTTAACTATCAACATCAACTGGTTCCAGCCATTTGATAATGTATCTCACTCGTCTGGTGCAATATATATTGCTATCAACAATCTTCTCTGGGACAAAATGTTTAAGTTAGAGAACGTCATTCTGGCCGGACTTATGCCAGATCCTAAGGAACCAAAGTCTGAAGAGATAAATCACTATCTCAAACCTTTGGTAGATGAGTTGGAGACGCTGTACGTGGGAATGAAGATCTCAGCCTTCTAATGTCCCAGTGGAGTCAATGTTTGTGCAGCACTGCTGATGGTGGCCTGTGATATTCCAGCTGCTCAGAAAAAAAGTGGGTTCACTTCTTACAACAGTATGTGCGCCTGCTACAAGTGCAACCACCAGTTTCCTCGTCTGCCAAATGGAATCAATGTCGATTTTAGTGCATTTGTCTTTTCTCAATGAAATCTTCATAATGGTCTAGAAAGCAGGTTGCATGCTGAGGAGTGGGAAAGTACTAGTACCCCCTCGGAAAGGCATCAGCTGGAGGTCGAAAATAGCGTTCGATGGTTGCAGTTATATTGTCTTGGATACTTTGATCTAGTACAGGAACAATCATTGATCTCATGCATAATATTTTCCTGGGAACTCCAAAGAGGATACTGGATTGGTGGATCGAGAAGAAGAAGATTTCAAAAGACGATCTAGTCACAATGCAGAAGACAGCAGAGACAATGGTGATTCCTGGCAAGTACACTGCTTTGACAAAGAAAATCGGCAAAGGGTTTTCGTACATGAAAGCAGACAAGTGGAAGTCGTGAGTTCTCGTTTACTCTCCTGTTTTTTTGAAGGGCGTTCTTCTGAATAATATGTTCAACAACTGGACCGATTACGTTGATGCATGTCGCCTCTTGATAAAACTAACTATTACTTTTTTTGAACTAAGTAACGCCCACACATTCTTTGAAAGATTCTGTCAAAAATGTGAAACCACGTATCCAATCAAAATTCTCACCTGTAACATGCATCTGCACCTCCATCTTCACAATGTCATTTGTGATTTTGAACCAGTGTATGGCTATTGGCTCTTCGGATTTGAGAGATTTTACAGTTTGTTAAAAAATATGAAAACAAACAGAAAATTTGGGTTTGAAGAAACGTATATGCGAAAATTTATTGAAGACGTACACAAGGAAGACTATGTCAATGCTGTTCTTCGATGTCCAAGACAAGCCTCCTTCCGCCAATTCACTTTTAAACTTATTTCAGCACCTATGTCAACCTCTATGCCAATTACTGTCCCTACCATTCGTCAACGTACCTTCCGTTTACAATCCTTTATTGATTATTCTGAAAATCCAAATCTTGTCATCAAAGGCTATGAGCCTCTCCCTCCTTCCACCTTCCCACTCCTTACAGCAGCATTAACACCAATGAGTAATATTCACTATCTTCATCTCTTGGAATATTATAAGACTGCATACAGAAATCAAGCATTGGTCCATTACGAAGAAGCTTCATTATCACCATACTTTGTTGACAACCTGATAAATAAGCTTAAATCAATAAACATTCTTAACCAGACTTATAAAGGCCACAATGAATCAGGACATCATGGTTCTCTCATTCAAGTCAAATTTTATGGAGGTACAGGCCAGTATGTACTCGCATACACAGGTCAAATTCAGTACCTATTCACACATTCCTTTGCCTCACTATCTACCAACAACAACAATTGCCAATTCCGACTTATGCATTATGATCAACATGTTTTTGCTTTTGTCAAATGGTTTATGTCAGCTGACAATCATTCTCGTTCACTTGAACATGTTGATATTTGTTATCCTACGATCTCCCATGACAGCCATCAAAGCATATTGCCAGTGCATCGAATTTTGTTGCAAGTTGCTACAGCTGAGCATACAACGCATCAAAATGTTAAAAAAATACTAGTCATTCCTTTACCAAAAAAACACTATGCATAGAGATTAATAAAATTTAACCCTCCATTTTAAAGAATTCAAGAGAAAAAGACGATTGTAGCATTCATGTTTTGCAATAAGTTTGTGTTTGTTGAAATTATAATGCGAAGGATGAGAGAAAAAAAATTATTAGAGCTCATCTTTGAAAGCCCACTGGGGAAGAGAGCACTTCAGTTGACTCTGGACTGCTAAATCAGCATCTCTGCCAAAGGTCTTCTTTGCCATCTGGTGCACATTTAGGTTCAAGCATCTGAGCACGGCTTCGTCAACATGCCCCAGAAACTTATTGTACTAGATTACAATAAAAATATTATGTTTATTTTACTAAAAGACAATGGATTACATTTAACATTATTTATAAAAGTATTTACCTCATCACTTCTTCAGGATGGGCACACTGTATGGATCACATGATTGCCAGGAACTCCAGATGTCTCATTCTCCGACTCACCCTCAGACATTGCTACCTTGTTGATGAGCCCTTCGCAATCCTTTCCCATCAACGTATTAATGTCAGCCTTGCACATGCTGTAGGCCAGCTCACAGCGATCAAAGTTCTGATAACACACATTTATTAATATCACTCAATATTATTATTTCTATCAAAATACAACACAACATACAATGGTTGCTCGACTTGCTCTTCTTGACCATGATCTTCCTGCATCAAGGGCTGACGACGACTTTCGTTCAGCAGAACGTCTTCTACAAAAGTTAGTATAAATACTACTGCAGATTTTGAATGGCCTAAGCCCATCTGTAGCAAACTTTGGCTTCAGATAAGTCATAAGTGCAAGTGTCAGTTCGTTATTAGAGGAACGATTGAAATGAATTTCTGTATTCCAACCGGACTTGCTGTCATTTGCTGTAATCAAAGCTGCATTATTTGATCTGAATTTTGGATCTCTCAATTGGCTTTGGATAAGAGACTATATATTGTGTGAGATAGTATATTGATAAATTACTTGATAATGCTTTACTCACGAAAAGTCGATTGTAAACTTTTTGATTAACATTAAAAGAAGTGGCAGCTGAAGCAGAGGCAGGAGCAATCTCAAGAACATTATCAGAAATTTCAATAAGATTATCCAGAACTTCCAAAGCATCAGCATTGCCTTTGACAACGTAGCCAATTTTAGAATCCATATCCTTCAGACTTTGCTGCATTGTATCTAATCTAGCAATCAGATCTGTGTGTTCTTTTGATAGATGGAGAGCAAGTGTATGATTGACTTTAGACATTTTCTATAAATTAATAAAAAAACAAATAATTATGAACTATCTATATTATGATTTAACATTATATATATATATATATATAATGTAGTGTTCTTTATATATAAGAGTACTTGTAAAATATGGTCTTTTGTATATATGTAAATGTGATTATATGTTTATATTTGAGTATAAGTGTGAGTGTGAGTGTGAGTATTTGTAAAAGTGCAAGTATAGCAAAGAAGCTAATTAATATTTTGAAAGAAAATATATTTATTGACAATAGCAATTGTTTCAAGAATAAATCTAAATTGCTCTCTTATACAAGCTCTGTGTAAAATACAATGGAAATATTGCTTTTAGGTTTTATTTCATTACACTCTTTCAGTCTCTCTTGAGGGTAAGTATTTGTTTTGATTTTTTTATTACTTCTTTTGTAATTTTTATTTTTATTTGTATTTTATTTTTTATTTTTTTTCTCTTTGTCTCATTCTGACTTGTCTTTCTCTTTTCTTTCTCTTTTCTCTCTCTTTTCAAGTTTTATTATATTTATATATTTTAGTAGGTTATATTCTTTTTAAAAAGAGCTTCATCACAGATAACAAATAAGAATATTTATATATTTGGCTACCATAGTCACTTGCTCCATCTTTCTATTCATTGTTTATTATATGTCAGAGTTTCTATGGTAAGGTGGCATCTCTTTTTTCATAAACAGCTAAAAAAAATACTGATACATGCTGTTGCTATAGACACTATCATTCTTTTTATTTCTGATGCATTCTCTTCACAATGTCTATTCCAATTAGCAAATGTTAGTAAGCATTGTCATCTTCTTCTAAAACTTTGCTGACTTTTTTATAGGCCGTGTTGCCAAAAACATACACTACAACTAAACATGGCAACCAACACGATAATATTTTATAGTTCTTTTTATTTATTATATTTTGTTTTAATATTTATCTAACAAAATATAACTTTTATTATAGATGAACGACCCTTTCTCAAATATTCTCTGCATCTAAAACTTTCATCTCATGCTACTGTCATTGACATGGTATGACTTTTTTTCTTTTATTCTCTTTATATGTATTGTAATATTATTACACTATATATTAATATAATATAATATTCTACAAAAGACTATATTGGCTCTTGACAAGGACTATCAAGATTTACAAATACAACTGTTTGCTTTGGGTGTGTAAATTAATTACTATATTACTCAATTTACCTAAACTAATTTTTCTAGTCATTTTCATAGTCAAAGTAGTCATACTGGGTGCCATGTCCAACATTCCTGATATTCTCTTAATTTTCTCACTTGTATCTGATGTTTTTAATGTAAGTATATTTTATACAATATATTTTTTAGGATATTTGATATTCTACATACATAATTAACACTCTTATAATTTTAGAGAACAGGCATCTTCAAGCAAGCTACACATCACTGGTTTTTTTGAGAGAAATAATATCTGCGTCACATTGCTCAATTCAAATAGTATGAAAGATGATAAGGAAAGTGGTCCAAAATATATAATTGTATCACTAGATGGTAAATCTAGAAGTATTCTTTTTTCCTAATAAACACAAAATAAACCAATAATAATTGCAATGCATATATGAGGGGAGAAGTATTTTGCAATTAATTGTACAAGAAAGAGTGTCTAGAATTAGCTCAAATTTTTGTTTTGGTGATTATAACCATGGAAAAGCTGGCTTTTCAATGAAATAAACCATAGAAAAGTTGGCTCTTCCATTAAATTTCATGCTTGTTCATCGTTTTTTAATCTAAAACAAATATAAAGTAGTACAAGAAATATAGTTTTTGATAAAATGCTTTGGTGTAATAGGGAAACCCTATATATAGAGAATGCTAATGAACTCTGCTTCTCAGCTGCCCAAGCTTTTCCTATGTTCAAAAGTTGATCTTTCTACTTAGTAGAAAGGTGGCTTCATACCTTTGTGTAATTTTTCTGATCAGATGAAAAAACTTGGTCTTTACACACATATTTTGACAATTTTTAACAGAAGAATATACTATTATTTCTTCAGTGTTGGTTAATATATTATATTTTATTATACTGAATACAATATTAATGTTTTTGATATAGTATAACCACTTCATCACACTTGTTGACAAGAAAGTAGTAGCTGATTTAGACTCAAATAGTCATCAGTTGTTGTCATGTGCTTTTGGCAAAATCGTTGAAGGACCAGTTTCTGATGCAATTGCGTCACAGTTTCCTCAGTGGGATCTTAGAAACGGGTCCTAAATAAAGTTTATATTTTTTGTTCTTTTTTTCTTCATTCATAACATCTTATACTTTAAATAACCAAAAAAATTGCATAAAGAGGCATTACTTGTTTTTTGTTTTTTATTTAATTATTCTCATAAAAAAATCATAATGTATATTTATTCATAAAGGCTTCCAGCATAGTATTTTTTGGCATAGGAATGACCAGCATTCTTTCTTCGTTCATATCAGTTACATCTACAGCAGTTGCAATCTCTAAGTGTATGCAATGTACAGGCAAGATGTCGTGATAATTATCAGCTGAGAAATCTGGCAAGTAGATTTCAATACCTTCATCTCTGTGTTCATTGTCATTTGTCAAATTATACCATTGGATGTATGCAAAAACATGCTGGTCTTGATGTAATGTTGATGCTTGGTGGTTTGGTTGAGAAGGTAGAGTAAATGAATGTATGAAAAGATACTGAATTTGTCCAGTATATAGGCTTGAAGCTCGGCTATTGCTGCTACATAAGAAAGCTTTAACAAGTGACCCGCACTTACCAGAACTGTTGTTTCCAATATATGTTTGGCCAAGAAGATCAATTGATTTCAATATTGTCATTTGGTTATTTACAAAATATTGTGACAATCTGGCATTGTGATAAGAAATAAGATTCGGTATGGCATAGGCGATTTTATAATAATCTAACAATTGAGGATAATCAATGTTACTCATTGTGAATTTTTTTAAGGACTGTAAAGGAAAGGAGAACGGGGGGAGTGGTTCATTGCCTTTGATAGGTGCTGCTTGACTTAAGGATGAGTTTACAAATTGTTGCAGTTGGAAAGGTTGTTGGTTGGTTGGAGCATAAGTGACATAGGTTGTTATAGGTGCAGTCGTGGAGATACATTTTTCCAAAAGAGAAAGGAATGGAATGAGACTTGAACATGATAAGATATTTTGTACATAATAAGCTTTGTATGCGTCTGCAGTGAGTTTTGTCATATAGGTTGTTTCAAACCTATCTTTTTTATTTTTCTTGTTATTCTTTAACAAACCATTGTATATCTTAAAACCAAAGAGCCAATAGCCATACACGGGTCCAAAATCACGAATTGTGTCATGAAGATTGAGGTGCAGGTGCATGTTGCAGGTGAGGACTTTTGGTTCATATGTATCTTCACAAGATTGACATAATTCTTGTAGATAGCTGTGTGCATGGTCTATGTTGATGAAACTGATTGATGGCTTTACAAGTACACAGTATGCTTTTACATAGTCTATCCAGCCATTGAACATATTGGACAGAAGAACTGGTTTCAGAAGCATGGGAGAGTACATCAATATCCAAGGCTTCCACTCATCTGCTTTCATGTGAGAAAAGCTCTTTCCTACCTTTTTCTTCAGCTTGGTAAAGTCGCTGGGCAATATCATCATCACTGCAACTGTCTGCATTGCAAGCAGATCACTGTTTTTTATTTTTTGATTTTTGTCCATGTTTCAATCATTCTTTTTGTTGTTCCCAGAAAAAGATTATGCATGGAATCAATGATTGTTCCACATACTGGATCAAAGTATCCAAGGCGATACAACTGCGACCATTGAACACCATATTCAATCTCCAGCTGCTGCCTTTCTGAGGGTGTACTCGCACTATTCCACTCCTCAGCATGCACACGTTTGACTCCATCACTTCGATGATGTCACTGGTCACAATCAAATCCACGGAAGTTGACAGAAGAAGTGCTTGGTAGACAAGAAAAATGATTGTCACATTTGTAACAGGCGCATGTGCTGTTGTGTGCACTAAACCCACTAGTCTTTTTGGCTGCAGATATATTGCATGCAACCATCAATAAGGCTGCACGAACTGTTGCACCATCTGTTTACTGGTAGGTAGGTATCTGTATTCTATGATAAAGCTGTATCATTTTGTCAACTAATGGCTTGAGGTAATGATTGTTCTCTTCTGATTTTGGCTATTTTGGTCCGGGCCTGAGGCCAACAAGGATTGTATTTTCTTTTTTAAACTGTTTACTTCTAGAAAGATTGTTAATTACCAGATAGATAGCACCGCAGGAATAGCTAGTACCATCAAAAGGCTGGAACCAATTGATGTTTAATGTCATCATCAATGAACGAAAATTCTCAACAAAAATTTTATTGTTATTGTCCTTCAAACCAGTCCAGGCCTCACCATCGTAAATATTACACAATGTATGAGTGATCTTGAATTCTTGGTTTCAGTGCATGATTTTTTGCTCAAAATCGAGATGAAGGAAAAGAATTTTAAGAGCACGTATGAGAGACTGATGTATATAAGACTTCTTTGCAGCCAAACCTCCAGACAATGATTGGATCATTAATTTGCAATCACAGGCAGTATGTGCACAAAGCTTTATAAAATCACAATTGAAAGGAGCAGGTATACTTTCCTCATACATCTTATAGCAATCCTGACACGTGACTAATCTCTTAATCTCTTTGGTCATGGCTGAGAATCCTGTCATGCTTTGGAGACCAGAAAGACTCAAGGGCAATTGGAAATTCTGCTTGTAAATCAACAAAAGCTTGTTGAAGAACTCAATCTAGACAACAGCACCCTTATTGACTACATAACGGGAAGCAAACATTATCACAAAAGAAGCAATGAACCTGTGTACTGGATTTTTAGGCATATTTGGGGTAGCAAAAGAATATATTATAAAAAAAACAAAAAAAATTAACACCTCCCCTTTTTTCAGATTTTTCTTTTTTGGTTCTTTTCCTTGAATTTTTTTTTTGAGTCCTTTTTTTATTAGTTAATTAATACGGACTGACCTTTACTATCAAATTCTTTGACTTCAATCTCAACAATATCATCTTCATCATCTTCACTTTCTTCTCTGCTGTTACTTTCTTTATCATTGTCATTTTCATTGCCATTATTGCTTTCGCCATTTGACTCATTGGTAAAAGCAACTTTATTATCAGAAATTGGTGCTCTTTTATAAACAAGTGTGTTGGTCTGACTGCACATTGCTTCCATGGGTTTGGTTTGTTGGTTTGGTGTAGCTACATAGAATTTAATTTTTAATTTACTTCTCTTTTTATCACAATTAATGTTTCTTACTTTCAAAATCAATATCCATGAGATTTCTTTGAATAAATACATTTATTGAAATAAAACATTATATAAAATAACCAAAATGAAAATGGAAATAAAAAACAAAACATATTTCTTTCACTTCTTTCCATGTCTTCATATCTTGCTCTTTTATTATGATGCTGAAGGGTTTGTGTAGAAACAAAGCTGTAGTCTTGTTAATTATTGTTGAATTTTTTTCAATATCACTTCTTATTATAAAGTTCAGAAGTAGAGGATATGGTATTTATTTTGTTATAAATGTTAAGATAAAAGGGAAACAACTGTTACATTTACTTTATTTGTTCAAACTTTATAATAAAAATAATAATAATGCTAAAATAACTTGGATAGTTGTTATATCTAAGCCAATAGAAAATTACAATATGACTTTATGAATATATACATTAAAAAACATGCTGAGATGAAAAATTGCTCTAAATATCCATATGTAACCATGAATTTTCACACAAGAGTATTTAGAGTCATTTCTCCAGTAATTACAAATATAATCTCTTTAACTTTTAAATATATCTTTATTCAAACTCATCAAAAAGTGTATTGATATTATTATTAAAGTACAATATTATATAAAAATGATGCATGTTCATATTCAAGGTATGAATAATCTATAGGATATATTTGTCATTTATTCAATTTTATAAACTGATGCATGTCCAAATTTAAGCTGTGAGTAGTTTATTGGATGTTTTTGTTGATTTATCTAATTGGGTAAACTGATAAGCAGTTTTACATATTATATTTATTTATTATAGCCTTCTTGCTTAAAAGTAAGACAGTTATATTTGAATATCTGCTTCTGTTGTGGCCAAAGGTAAAGCAGTGCTTAGACTTGTATAATCACAAGGTCTTTAACATTGCTATTGTTTATATCTATCCTATTGTTTGTATCTGCTCTATTGTTGGTATCTGAATTCTTGTTTCAACTCTTTTTCCTTATTTCCATTACATCTCTGTTAATGATAGGGGGTTTCATTATCTCTTAGAATTCGGATTCAGATTAGGATTCGGAAAGTGGATATTAAATCTGTAGCTAACACTATGGGAAAACCCCATGGTAATTCATGTTGAAAAATGTCGACATAAATTACCATAAATCCATGTCTTTTTTTGCGAAATTCATGTCGCCATTTTTTGACATGGAATCAATGTCACCATTGAAAAAGGTTTTTTGTTTGTAAGAAGCATTTTATTAGGCTTGGGGGGTCTGGTGATACTCAAAAGAAGATAATCAAAAGAGTGATCACAGCATTTGTTTGGAGGGTTTTCTAGCTTTTTCAATGTTTTTGGGGGGTTTTTGTTTTTGTTAATTATAATAAATATAAGTATAAGTTTTTTTAAAAGAGAGGATCGAGGTCTAATTCTTGGCAAATGCGGGTTAGGGTCTTGCGAGCCGTACCAACAACAGCAGACGGAACAAATGGTGAATCGTCAAAAATGAAAGTCCAGTGGTGACGCCATATCGCAAGGAGGGTGCATCCAAAGATGGTAGAAGGGGGAATAGAAGAGTTTAAGGAAGAGGGAAAAGAGAAGAAGTGAAAAGCGTTGTGTAGTGCGGTTGGGGTAGGTATTGTGCCAAAGAATTCCAGCCACATGCCGATCCACACCGCGTTTTTGAGAGGACAAGTGAAGAAGAAGTGATCTTGGGAGTCGGAGGAGAGAGAGCAAATAGAGCAGGTAGGAGAGGGAAAGGCGAGAGGAAGCAAAGAGTGAAGACGGGCTCGGCAAGAAATCTTGTCATGTAGACCACGAAACCAAATGTTACGAGCCACCAGGGGAAGGGGAAAAGACCAAAATTTCCGCCAATGACGAGAGCCACGAGGGGGATCGAAATAGCGGGCACGGACGAGATGGTGGGAGCACAGCCCACGGAAAGTGCGTGTGGAAAGGCGTGCCCAAGTCTGAGAAGGTATGAGCGCATTAAAGAAAGGGAACAAGTCAATTGATGTGCCATCTTGAACGAGCAGAGATGGATATTGTTCGGTCAGTTCACGAGGAGAGCAACAAGCACGAACGATTATTGAATGTAATGTGAGAGTGTTGAGTTGAACTCGGCCAAGGAACTTATTAATAACACAAGAGCGTGGGTGGCTGCTGGTGATGGAGATAGACCGTAGCGACGTCAGGGCAGGGTCAAAGGTGTAGAGGTGGGAAACCAAAAGATCTTGCCAAGATGGGGGGAAGCGTGCTTGGGAAGCAGGGACAATGGTGACCGCTGAGAGAGGCAAAGCAAGGCAAGTAGTCAAATTTACCACAACATTATCAAAGTTGTGCGGCAGATGGTCAATGGCAGCAAAGGCTAAATGTAGAGGACAGGTAAGATCCCGCCATCCAGAAGGACGCATACTTGGAAATAGAAGGGGAAATAGGGGAGAAAGAGATGGAAGTGAAGCCTGTAACAATCCAGACATCCAGCGCGGGACCAAACCAGGTGGGGACCAAGGAGCGCGGACGATAGGTTGAAGCCAACGAAGTTGTAGAGCGCTCTGCTGCATCTTAGGATCGATGATACCAAGTCCACCTTGCATGCGTGGGAGGCAGAAAGTATCCAAAGAAATCGGGGGGAAGGTGCCACGTTGAAGGAAGCTACCCATGATGGACCTGATCTTCTGAAAGAAGGACATAGGTAGAGAGACCACACGCAAAACATGCCAAAGCTGAGAGAGTATGAGAGATGTTAGAACGGTGTCTTTACCCCAAAAGGAGAGACAGCGAGATGAGTGAAGATTGCAGCTGTCCTCAATCCTTTGGAGAAGAGATGAGCAGAACGAGTCCCGTTGAGCCTTGGAGTGAATCAACGGAAAGCCAAGATAACGGAGAGGTACGGGCGAGGTGCGGTCATGCCAATCGGTAATGTTATGACGACGGAGGGTGGAGGTTCAATCGGGGAGAGGACTACCAGATAGTGAGAAAGCTTGCGTTTTGTGGAGGTTGATACGCGCATTGGACGCAGCGGAATAGGTGGTGAGATGTGTGTGGAGTCGAGTAAGGTGAGCCGGATCTGGGAGAAATACCAGAAGATCGTCGGCATAAGCTAGAAGTTTAATAGGAGGAATAGTAGCCACACTATCAGGGACAGAAGGTCGAAAACCGAGGAAGGATTGATTACTTATAACCCGTCGCAACAAAGGTTCAAAAGCCAAATTGAACAAGATGGGAGAGAGAGGGTCGCCTTGACGGAGGCCACGCAATTGTGTGAGAGGGCGAGATAGGAAGCCATTAACGTTGATCTGAATCTGTGTAGAGAAAAACAATTGGGTGATACAAGTTATTATAGATTTAGGAAAGCGAAAGTGATCGAGAACTCGGCGCAAGTATTCTGGGTGGACTCGGTCGTACGCTTTCTCCTGATCAAGAAGAAGACCCACTCCAGTCGAGCTTTCCTGAAGTGCCTGAGCCATGACCATCCGGGTGAGCATCCCATTATCAGCAATAAATCGTCCTTGAACAAAGCCAGTTTGGTAGGGAGTGACAAGAGGAGTGGCAGCAGGGATCAAACGAGAGTTAAGAAGACGAGTGAAGACCTTAGCATCAGTGTTGATAAGTGCGATGGGTCGCCAATTCCGAAGGGAGGTAAGGTCGCCTTTTTTTCGGGAGAAGACACACGCAGGTGGACATCCAAGTGGGGGGAAAGACACCATCCAACAAAGCTTCGTTATATACACGCGAGACAAGAGTGGAGCATTTGGGGTGGTCAAGTATGAGTCGCAGAATCTCGTATGGCAATCCGTCAGGACCAGGGCTACTGGCATTGGGGGATCGAGAGGCACCTTGACGAATAGTGTCGAGGGAAAATTTGCGAGTGAGGCAATGTTGAGTGAGATCAGTGAGGGCAAGATTGTCAGGAAGATTCTGGAGAAGATCGTCAACAGCAGCAGAAGTGATGGGCTCAGGAGAGTAGAGAGTCTCATAGAAGGCGGCAGCAGCCTCCGTCATGCTGTCAGGCTCAGTGCAAAGATAGTCGGTAACAGGATGGCGTAGGCTGGTGATGAGTTTTTTGGACTGACGTGTAGCAACGGTGCGTTTAAGGAAACCGGCAGAGGTTTCACCCTGTTCGCGCCATTGTCGGCCAGCCCGGAGAGCAAGAATTTCTACGCATTCCAGTTGAACCTGTTGGAGCTTGCGTTCGATTACAGGAAGCTGAAAGTTCTGGGCGGGTTGATGGCGAAACCGAAGAATCAACTTATCATGCCGACTTTGAAGTTGTGCTTCTAGAGTGGACAGGGAAGGTGAGATTCGACGAGAGAAACGTTTAATGAATCTAGTCACTTCAGACTTGACTAAATCCCAGTTTGTCTGTGGGGAATTGGAGGCGGGGAGAGTGGGAACGAAGGTGTAAAGAAAGACAGAAAGTTCGTCCTGGAAGGAAGTGAGCTGAGCAAGGCGAGGGTTCGCCCGCCAAAGGCCTTTACCACTGGTCCGAGAAGAAGGAAGGGAGAGTACGACTGTGACCAGACAATGGTCAGACCACTGTGAGTGTATATATTCCACCGAGTGTGAGGTGGCACAAGAAGCAAGGTCGGAGGAGGCGAATATGTAGTCAATTGTGGAGGATGATGTCCCACGGTGAAAGGTAGGTTGAGGTACCTTGCCGGTGGGAGTCACACAGTCCACAAGGCGGTCGGTGAGAAAGTGAAGCCATGGGCGAGGTGGAGTGCTATGGGCGGTGGTAGTAGTGAGTGAGTGATTGAGGTCGCCCAATAGAATCATATTAGTGGGTGACGCGGGTATCAAGAGAGGATTGTGAAGAAGAGAGGTGAGGAACGAATGTCGTTTGCGATAAGTAGCGGGAGCATAAATGACACAGATACGGAAAGAGTTGAACATAAACTGTGTGTGAGATACCGTAGCAGTGATGCAGCGGCCGCATATACTAAACAATGGATCAGTAAGCATAATATCTTTTGAAAGGCACACAAGTCCACAATGAGGAGACCAAAGAGAAGAAGAAGATTGGAACTGCATAGTAAATGTGTCTTGAAGAGCAATAGAGTGGGCATGGGTTTCTTGAAGGGCGAGGAGATCAATTCCCTTCGAACGTAAGTGGCGTATAAATAATGAGCGTGTTTCGGGTCGTCCCACCTTGGGGAGGCCTCTGCAGTTCATAGTTCCAATGGTAATCATTGGTTAGATTTGGCCTCTGCGCCGAGGGCTTGACGGGTGAACCGGGGTGGAGGAGAGAGCGAAGAGTTACGAGAGGCAGTGTTCCTGCGTGTGGGGGACGTGGAAAGACTGCGTCTCGTGTTGCGGTTGGGCGTATGTCGGGTAAGACGACGTACTCTTTCAGTTTCAGTAGCCTGAATAGCCTCCAGGAGAGCCTGCTCATCGGCGGCCTTCTCAGGCTCCTGTTGCAATTGGGCTTTGTCAGAATTTACCTGTTCTGGAAGGGCGTCAAGCATTGTGTCGTCTTCAGGATCTACAATATAGGCAGTGTTGTCAGATGGTGTTTCCTCTTCAGCATGGTTGACTACCTTGGCTTTGCGTTGTGGTTCAATCGGCAGAAGAGAAGATGAAGCTTTGTTAGCCGGATTGTGGATGGAATCCACAGATGTACCAGTGGGGAGATTAGTTGTCAGGGGGCGGGGCAGCACAATGCGATCCTGGTGAGGAACACGGTTGAGGTGGCGAGAGCGTTTGTTAGTGGTTGCTGACCTACGACCAGGTTCGGAGACGTGGGGACAGTTAGCTTGCAAATGGCCAGGCTTGTTGCAGCTGTGACAGGTGCGTGTTTCTGAAGAGCGTGCAGGGCAGGCATTGATGTCGTGGCCCATTTGTTTGCAGTATTTGCAATGGGAGCCCATATGTGCCCATTCTCCAAGGATGGTAGTGTTGTTGTTGTAAGAAATCTCATAGGCAAGCTTGGCGACTTGCTGAGCTGGTGGGTCGGGTCGTTCAAGGAGGACACTGCCAGTGCCATCGAAAAAGGTATAACTCTCGCGGACCACAATTTCGCGTACAATTCCGAAAGGGGCAAGGCACCGTTGAAGTCCAGTTACTAAATCAGGATAACGAACACCAGGGAGTCGAGACAATGTTACCCGATATACCTTGCGACCAGGAGCAACGGCAATACAGGCTGGGAAGTGTTGATCAGAAACAAAAATAGGATGCGCGCACGCAATAGCACAGGAAGCAGCATCGAGGAATTGGACCTTGAGAGCAGTAGGAGCAGAACGACTGGGAAGAGTAACTTTTACGATAGAGTCTGCAAAAGCAGAGCTTTTCAGGGCATGCCAGAAGGCATTGTGGAGAGGAGAAGTGGGAAGAGGAGCGTTATAAAAAACAGTGTGGGGTGCGGTACCAGCACGCCAGATGCGTGGTAACCCATCAATGGAATCGCCATATATGATATGAGGTTGGTGAGGAAGAAGAGCAGTAGGTGCGAGAGTAGCAGCGACCGAGTACGTGCGTTGTGAGGTGGTGGGGCTGGATGGGGTGGTGGAGTGAGGTGAGGGTGAGCCGAAAGTTGAGGGGGGGTCCCCAAGTGGATCCGGTGGAGTAATGGGAAGAGCCATGACGACCATTGAAAAAGACATAAAACAACATAGAATTGTTGTCACCATAGAAACATAAAAAACCATAAATCCATGTCTTTTTTTGCAAAATTCATGTCGCCATTTTTTGATACGGAATCAATGTCACCATTGAAAAAAACATAAAACAACATAGAATTGATGTCACCATAGAAACATAAAAAACCATAAATCCATGTCTTTTTTAGCCAATTTAACATCAAATTGATGTTTTCAAAAAATAAATTTTATATTGTAAATATATATTAATTATAAAAAAATACAGCTATCTATAAACTACTACTATTCTCTTCAGTGTCCTTGCCCAAACAAGCAAACCTAATAATATTATTGTTAGTCATTTGTTGGTATGTACATAAAATGTTTTGCTTACTTATTTCTTCTTCTATTGCGCAACATATTTGACCACTTGGGCTGAACCAGAAACTTCACAACCCAAAGACCACAAGAAAGGTTAAGAACTTCCAATTCCCTAGCTTCTTTCACCGATTTTTGCAGGGTTGACATTACTAGATGCACATGGTCTTCTCCATCCAGGTCCTTCCATTCCTTCTCACCATTGGTCTTGCCATTGGAGTCATCTTTCAAAGCAAAAGATTGGCATGCTTTCAAATAGTTTTTCTTCAAAATATCCAACAGTTCATTGGCTCTATCCTCATCGATTTCTACCACATTGTTCATAATAATATCCCTGATATGGGACTTCTTCTCTTTCTCAGAACTATTTTTTAGGGGTGGTATCAAGTCTTGACCACCGTTTGCTACATGGCTGTTGATTCCTACTGCTGGACGTGGTATCATTTCTGTCAATGTACGTATCATTGCATGTAACTCTTTGTAGTCTTGTTGGTTTTCACGTTTGATTTCTTCCATTGCCTCTTTCATTCTGGCGAAGTGCTCTTCTTTGAATTTTTTGAACCATATAGGTTCATTATTTATATCTTCAACGACAGTAGCATTTCTTTTAGGGGGCATTTTATATGAATTATAAAAGAATAGGTGAAGAGATCAATAGAATGTATGTAAGAAACATATATTTATATAGAGCTGTTGTCTAGGAGAAAAAAAAATAAGTAGATAAAATATAGTTCAAATTGCAAGAAATTTTAAAATACTCCCGAGTGATACTAAAAGTAGATAGAGAATTGTTCTTAAGAAAATATCAGTCAACCATAGATTCATTCCTTTTATCCCCTTTTTTTTTACTAAAAGCTTACCATAATGGTCCAATTTTGCCCTATATGCCAAGTAAAAGTAACTAAAAGAAACAGAAAGAAACACACCAAGATGTATGAAATACAAAATATGCAAGCTCTTCAAGAAAGAATCAGACAAGAGAGAGATTGGAGTCAAGTCAATTCTTTTTCTTCAGTATTACCTCTAAAGCATACTAGAGCAGAAACAATCTCTGGTGATGAACAGACTTACATGTGTTCCAATCAATCAAATGATGTGGACAATTTTTTGGTTGTGAACGATTGCGATCCTGCAGATTTTGAAGAAGGGGAGAAATCACTTGCTGTAAATGCAGAAAACAATTATATGGATACAGAAAATTCAAACGTATCATTCGACAATGTCAAAACTCGTGAAGAGATTGTGGAAGAAAGAGACGATTCTTTATCCTTGTTTAGTTGCTTGGGAGCCTTTAAAACCACTGTTGAAAGTCCGTTATCTTATGAGTCTGTTACCAATAGCAAATTGTTTGGAACGTTAAACAATGCAGAATAATCAAGTATCAAGCTCAAAAGCATTCTTCAAGCTAACAATGCTTCAAAAAAGCTTATTGAAATGACTTTCTCTTGGTTCAATAAATATTTGACAAAAATTGATAGAGAAGGTAATTATTGTTATTTATTTGTGTAATCTAAAGGCTTTCATTTTCTTAATTATTGTAATGAAAAAAATTACAAGCTTATATTGCCATACAAGTGCGATAAGATAATGAGTGATACTTTGAACAAAAACAGTACCACAAAATATAATATGTGTATAAACGGATGCAAAATGTACTATTCTGGTGATGCTAGCATTGCATGTTGTTTTTGTAATGAAGAAAGGTACGAAGGCATTCTCCCAAGGAAAACAACCTATCAATTGTCAATTGGCAGACAGTTAGCCGATTTCCTTGCAAACAGTGCCAATGTTTCTAAAACTGTGGAGTACAAAAAAACTCTTATTGAGGATTTCTTGTCAGTTAAAGAGCCAATATATAAAAATGTTTTCAATAGAAGCATTTTTGGTGGAGTCAGAGGAATGAAAGAGCTCAGCCTTGCCCTGCATATTAATGGGTTTAACCCATTCAAAAGAGGTGGAATATCTATGATAATCATTATGGCCACAATCGTAGATCTTCCACCAACAGAAAGATATAAGCAAGAAAACATATTCATTTTTTCGATTATTCCTGGACCAAAGAAGCCAAAAAATTTATTCAGTTCTCTATACCCAGTGCTTCAAGACTTTTTTGTTTTGGAGAGTCAAGGTTTACAAATGAACTTTGAAGATGGCTTGACTTCTTTGTACAAAGCCAGTCTTGCTTTTGTGGTTGGAGACACTTTGGAATTTCTGAGCTGTGCATGTATTCTGGACACTCTTCATACTACAGCTGCAGAGTGTTGTAAATGAGTATTGAGTACTGCTGTAATTGAGAATAAGTTTGAAGGAAATAATATAAGGCCTCAGCTATTCCAGTCAAAGGTGTCTACCGATTACTTTATTATTTAACACACAGGTTTAGCATGCATGATAGTGATTATATTTCATATGATGATATCACCATAATATGGGATACATCAGTGGATTATTATAAGCATAATTATAACTCATAAACACATTTACTTTCGATGTTAATACTTCATTGGGACTACACACATTTATATAATTAATCATACATTAATTATCCCAAGATCACGTTGCTCTGATTAAGGCTCAGATAGGATCGATTACCTGACCCCAGTCATATAATTTTCCCAATCCAAAACAATATAAATAGCAGTAGTAGTTCAGTGTAGGAACCTGGTCAAACTTTGATACAAAATCCTTTCTCAATAAACAAAACCTACACAAGTTCTCACAAATCTTCGTTCCTAATTTCAAATCTTGAATTCTTCCTCTTAAAAACTTCTTCAACTTCAACCACCACAACACAGAGTATATAAGATCAGAGGAGATCAGCAGCAGAAAAACCAAAGAGACATATATTTCAGCAACATGGCTACTAGTAACAATAGAAGCAGACAGAGTTTTATTGAGGGTGATGCTGAATATGGAATTAAGAAACCCACTCCTTTTGGTATTCTATCAAGTTTTACTGGAACATGTTTTTTTGGACTCAACGAACTACATCTTTGGGGTCAAAATATTAGCAAGCACCTGTGGGCAATAGTCACTGATAATAGGCAAAAGAAATCTGATATCTCAAACCCGTTATTTCTAAGGAAGCCATACAGAGTTACTTTGGGTAAAAAACTTCTGTTAGCACAAGCCCTTAGCAACCATCATAGCAAGGATGGAAGCTTTTTAAATATGGCAACCTCTGCTAGCTATGGTAGAGCCGTTGATTATATTGACTTCTTGATGTTTGTGGTTCCTACTCTGCTGGTTGAAGCTCTAGAACTTCAAACTGAAGACCTGAAGATAAAATTGAAAAACGAAAAGAAAAGAAAAGGAAAAGGTAAAGCTGCCAAAGCAACAATCCTGAATCAAAGCAATGAAATTGATCCTGAGGAACAAAGCATTGGAACTGAAATTGAGACCGTTATAAGTTGTATGGATAGAACGGCTGAGGCCCTTGCATTGCTTTCCTTGGTTTGCCAGCTATCAGAGAAGCTATATATCAGTACGGAAGATGTCTCAGCCATTGAACATCATGTAAATATATGGCATGCATTTCTGCAAGAGCTTGTTGGAGGGAAATGCTTCACTATAAACCAGCACTACCTGTTACACCTCAGCAAATATATAACAGAGATGGGTCCGCTAAAAGAGTATAGTGCTCGTGCATTGGAAAGAACTATAGACCTATGCAAAGAAAACATAAAGTCGCGTTCAAAGCCAGGGGAAAATGCTGTAAGCTTTATGCATAATAATTTTGCGAGTGCAAAACAAAAATGGCACTACGAACTCAACAAAAGGGATGAAACTCATGAAGCTGACTGTACGAATATTTCTTCTGACGAGTTGGATATGATGCTTGATGCCAAGAACATACCTTTTGATAAAATGTTGCTAAATTTCTGTGTTTGTGAAAACATACCCTTCGACTCAAAAGTGCCCATAGTTAACAGAGTAGAGTATACAGTTGCTGGCAATCATCAGACAGTAAAGAAAATTAGAGAAAGAGACGGGATTGATATAATTTCAAAAGAGATCACCCTGGACATGCCTTTAAAACTTTCTATAAGCAACATTTAAGCCATGTTTGACTATCAAGGCCATTGTTTAGCACTGGTAAAAGGAAAACAGGTTTTGGAAGAAGATAAAAGGAGCAGGTTATTTGTGAACTTGTCAGCGATAAAAGAAATAGAGAACTCTTACTGTATTATTAATCTTGCAAACGTTCAAGGTTATGCAATTACTTTATCTTCTCTCTCTTTAGAAGACAAATTATATGTCTGCTTCAAAATATAAAACTTTTTTTTAAGAAAAAAACCCCTATGTCAACCATCTTTTTTTTTCAACATATTTAGACATATATTGATGTCAACATGGATTTATGTTTAAAAATGATGTTTTATGTTAACATCAAAAGACATGAGTTTGCTGATGTATTTATGTTGCTCTATTTTGACACAAATAAACATAAATTAATGTCGACATGGATTTATGTTAAAAAATAAAAAAAAATATCTCTGATAAATAACATCAATTTTATGGTGACATTTTAAGACATGGATTTTGACATTAAACACTATAAATCAATATAATTTAACATCCGATTTCCCGTAATATAATGAAAATAATTATAAAATGAAAATTATTGCATCCTCTTTTTAATTAATCATTTTATTCTTGAACCTAATATTTTATTCTAAATAATTAAGTTAATTTTTATTACTTATATTGGAAACTTAGCTTATAAAAAGTTGATATATAAAATAGAATTATGTAAGAGAGATAAATAAATTGAAAAACTTTTGCTCTAGGTATTTTAAGACATTAAAATGATCTATCCTAAATTTCAATCTGAAAATCATTTCCTTTGAATTAAATCTACATATTTTAATTATATTCAGATTCTTCTTGGCCAATCATTTCAGTATTCAAACATCCGCTTTCCAAATACTAAGAGATAATAAAACCCCCTGATATATGTTTGAATGTGTTCTCTCTATCTAGCTAAAGAGTATAAATACTTGTTGTTTCTTCTATCAATAAAAAGCATTTTTCTTAAGCTCAAACTTCTCTCATTGCCTAGTTGCCTAAACTAGTCTCTGAATTCAAACTCATTTACTCATAGTCATTACACTTCCGAGTATTAAAATAGGTTTAGCATATACTAAACTTAGTAAGTTTATATTGGACTTTCCAAGTTATGAGTTTTAGGCAAAAAGTTACAAATATCAAAAAATACGTGTGGATTTTTTTACAGTATATATTAACAAAGAAAAAAGGAAAAAGTATTGTGTGTAAAAGAAACAGAGAAAGAAAACAAGATTTTTCCTGTGCATGTAAAAATTTCCTCTTACTACTGAGGGCACAGCTCCACATCAATAAATCGTTGTCATCAGCCTCTCATAACCAGAACAGCACTTCATGACAAACTGCCTGACAAACCCATTGAGCAGATCAGCATTCCAGTACTGGACATCATGACATGATTGCACAGTACAGATGTGTTTTACACATGATGTGTGTGGTACTTGTATTTGTGATAAACGTTGACAGGTGATATGTTATCACTGTTTTCGAAGTTTGAATAGGTTTGTAGATGTAAAAGAACCTGTGGTGACCTAGACACTCGGATGTTGGATTTATCACATATAAAAACATATTCATATTGGGATAGCATAGTAGCTATCATCTTGTCAGTATAAAAATATATATAAATGATTAAGTATTCAGTCCAATAATTATTACAGTTAGTACTGTAGATAATATCTTAAAGATTGTTAAGATAATTATATCATACTGCCAAGTAAACTGTGTCAGATTGATATGGAGCTAATTTAGTAGAAAGTCCTAAAGCTCTAGTATAAAAGAGAAAAGAATAGCTTAGAGCTAAAGGAGTACAATTTATGACTTGATGTCATAATTGTAACACCAACACTAGTTAAGCAGTAAATACACTCTAATAACCAAATATAGTAAAGGAAGAAAGCCTTAAGAAACTAAGACGTAATGACAAGAGCAGATTATGTTTTCTTATAAAAAGGGATACTTTTTATTTATGAACAAAAAAAACTGATATACAATCTCAAAGTATTTCTATACATCTCTATTATCAAATTTATTATTTTTCTACTGTTTTGTACCTGAAATACCACAGAACCTCTCTTTTCCACAAGAGAGAAAAAGACAAACTCAAAAGAGAATGTAGAATTAAAAATAATAAAATCAATAAGAGAAAAATAAGAGAAAAACAGTACTATTAATCAATCTCAATAGACTTGACTCAATATACTCGGATAATTAAGCAAGTAAAAAATCAACAGCATTAAATATTAAGAAAACTTGTTATTAGAATATAAGACAAAGAAAAATCAATGTTTATTAACTGCAAATATTGCAATATTTATAGTTTTGCAATTGACTTGTTGAATAATTAAATAAATAAAATTATTGAAAAATATAATAAAAAGTTATATAATTAATGATCTATTAAATGTGATTTGTTCTTTACTATCATTAAGTATAAATAAAATAAAATAATTATTAAGTCATAGTGATAAAGATAATTATGCTTGTAAGAAAATATAATAAAATTAATGTTAATTCCAAGTTGATTCGTTCAGTTAAATATAGTAAGAAAATAAGATACGATGTGTGATTGTGTGAAGTTATTGTTGACAGGATGATGTCTTTTTGTTGTACTTATTAGTGTTTTTCTCTACAAATAGAAAAATTGCTTTCTATTCAACCTCGGCCACTGTCAGAAAATCAAAAAAAATAATAGAATATAATTTTTCTAGAATTCCAAAGAATTTCACAACATTACTGCACTGCCAGACAATCAAGATTGCATTGAGAGCTGACCATTATTACAAGACTTTGTGTCACACACCTGTCAACACTGATGCATGTTGAGTTATAGTGTATAGTACAACTGGTCAGAAATATAATATATATTATATATATAGTTATATTCTTGTGATTTCGCTCAGGACAATCCAACAAGAAGGAGTTTAGACAATAAATGGGACTTGAAATAGATCGAAACAGATATATGGACAACAGACAGATAGACAAATGGATAAATGGACAAATGGACAAGCAGACAAGCAAATAAACAGTGAGACAGTACTTGTACATTCTAATAGTGTGCAACTTAGTATTTCCTGCAAGACAATAGCTCAAGCTCAATGACAATGTTCAAAAGAAATATAGAAGAAAACTGAATAAATTTTATTGGGATAAAAATGTCTCTTTTATATACTAATTAACAACTATGTACAAGATAACAATCTAGATATATTTTATGCTAAATGATGATTATTTAGAAGAGTGTACAGGTCTTTGGGCATAATCACAAAATGAAATAATCAAAAATAATCAAAAATAGAAATAATCAAACTACTAAAAAATATGAACTTTTTGGAAGTATACTAAAGAAGTAATATCAAGAAGAGTAAAGGAACAAGTGCAATGCAAAGGAAAGCAAGCTAAAAAGAAAATAAAAATCAATGAAAAATAGAAAAAAAAGAAAAAAGCATTTAAAGTCCAGTGGGAATTTAAATGTTGATAGCAAGAAAAAAAGAAAAAAAAGAAGAAAGAAAATAAATCCAAGAAATCAGATTTTGTCATGTCCGGAGATGGAGTCATAACTTTGCACTGTCCATAACTTACTAGTCTGTCCATATGTTGATGTCATATCAAACAAAGATACGTTTTTGGTCGATGCTTAAATTGATGTGTGATGTGTTAGGTTTGTTGTAGATTGTAATGGATCACTTGGCAAATAAAATACAATGATAATAGAATAGAACAAAAGACGGATACAGCAAAAGGTGGCAAGCAGCAATAGTTGACAGATAAGAAAAGAAAGAATAACCAATAGAATTGTTGTTAAAATCAAGAGAGAGAAATGTGTATGAAAAGAAAAGAACAAAACAGAAAAGTAATAACTGACAAGAAGATCAAAATTGACAAACAGCCTTTCTAAAACCAAGGAATCAATATGTTATGTTGCAAGATGGTATAGATCACAAAGAGAAGAAAACAAGAAATAAATACTGAAACTGATCAAAGGATTGATTGATTTTTTTATTGAGTTGAGTTTACTTCTCTTTTTATAGTTGACAAGATTTTAAGTTGATAATAGAAGTTCGGAAAAAATAACATAATAAAAATAGAATGATGAATAATTAATACAGCAAGGATAAAATATATGAATAAAAATACAGTAAAAATATAATAATGAAGGTACTGATATTGCACGGAGATGTTGACAAGATAAATTATGTGCATTGTAGAAAAAGAATTTTACTAGCATAGGAGACTATGATTTCGAATAAGTACAATATAGATAAATATGTTAATAAAGAAAAAGGAAAAAGTATTGTTTGTAGAAGAAACAGGGAATTGAAACAAGATTTTTCCTGTGCACAGAAAAATTCTCCTCTTACCACCGGGAGCACAGCACTACATCAAAAAACCATTGACGTCAGCCTCTCATAACTGGGACGATATGTCACAAAAAACCACTGAACAAACCCACCGAGCAGACTGACCTTCTGATACCAGACATCACGACATGGCCAAAAGCCGGACCTGTCTACAACATGTTTGTAACAATATGTTTTATTACTTGTGCCAATACAATAAGGTTGTGTGGTGTAATGGTTATCACGGTAGACTTTGAATCTACCAATCCGAGTTCGATCCTCGGCACGACCTTTTTAACGCTGTTTTTGCTAAGTTTTTTTTTGATATTGTTGTCGGGCATTATTTTGATGAATCCATAAAATCTGAAGATAGTTAACCGCAGTACTTCTTTATGCGCAGTAATATCTTTCTGAGCATTAACTGCAGTATAATGACTATTTCTTTAATTAAATATAAATAATAACTACTGTGGATAATGTGTAGTATTAGTTTAGAAAACTATATAAGACAATTCAATTCATATTAATAAAAGGTATCTTTTATCCTCTCTTTGATTTTACGTATATTCCTTGATCCTCAGTGGGTTTGACCTTTTGACTTTGTTATAGTAAAAGAAATACCAACACAGATTGGGAACAACATTGTTTTGCCAAGTCTCGGTCTGATATTTCTTTTCTGGCACTTGTAACTAAGTCGCAGAATCAATATCACTGGGGATTGTCAAGTTTATGAATAGTTTTTAGATAAAAAATAAAAGATACTTTTTATTAAATATATTTCTTAACTATTTATACAAAATGATATTTGATTTCTGGCTAAAAGAATAGCTACAAAAATATGTCTTAGATGGTAGTTATCCAGTAATATCTCTACAAGTATATTCCTCATCTCCAACATTGAAAACATAGACAAAAGACTAATTGGCAATGTCAAGATCTTTTATTCTAAAAAGTCAACTATTACTGGTTGCTTGTAAATTCCAATTTTGATTGCCGATATTAACTCTGACAATTGGTCAAACTTACTGAGAATTGTAAACGAATATCAGAGTTGACATCGGCATTCAAAATTGAGAATTGCAAGCAACCAATAATAGTTGACTTTTTAGAATAAAAGATCTTGACATTGCCAATTAGTCTTTTGTCTATGTTTTCAATGTTGGAGATGAGGAATATACTTGTAGAGATATTACTGGATAACTGCCATCTAAGACATATTTTTGTAGCTATTCTTTTAGCTAGAAAACAACAATTGTTTTGTATAAATAGTCAAGAATTACATTTAATAAAAATCATATTTATTTTTATCTAAAAACTATTCTTAAAAACTTAACGATCCCTAGTGGTATTGATTCTGCGACTTAGTTACAAGTGCCAGAAAAGAAATACCAGATCGAAACTTGACATTTTGATTTTGTTATAGTGTCGTTCCTGATCTGGGATGGTCTTCCTTTTACTATAGCAAAGTCAAAAGGTCAAACCCACTGGGGATCGGAGAGTATATGTAAAATCGAAGAGAGGATAAAAGGTGCTTTTTATTGATAGGAATTGAATTGTGTTATATAGTTTTCTAAACTAATACTGCGCATTATCCGCAGTAAACTATTATACTCTATTTAATTACAAGAGAAGTCCTTTTACTGCGGTTGATGCTCAGAAGATATTACTGTGGTTAATCTTTACAAGACATTACTGCGGTTCATTATCTATGAGGTATCTTTGACATACAGAACTGCTGTGGTCAATTATCCCGATTTCTCGGATTCATCAAAATAATGACCGACAATAGTAAAAGGAAGACCAACCCAGATCCGGCACAACAAAAATTATGTCTGACAAAAGCATCCGGCTTACCAGATTCGAACTAGTGACCTAAGGATTACAATGACATTACAGTCCTCCGCTCTACCAACTGAGCTAAAGCCGGTGCAGTTGCTTGTAGTACATGGTGTTTAAACTATGTTAGCCGCAAACCAAAAACCATATTCAACCAAGTTCAGAAATTCTTTTGAAAATCCCTTTTTAATTTTTCTTTAACATTTTAATTTTAATTTTAATTTCTTTCTTTCATTTTCACAAAATCACCTTTTTTTTAAGACTGATTTTCTGAATATTAAAGTCTTTTCCCCTTTATTTTTCCCGAAATTGTTTTCTCCCTTTTCTTTTTATTTTATTCTTGCACACTAAATGTGACACTTTCTCTTAAACACTACTTTACCAAAATTGTTAACTGAATAGTTTTACTCTTTATTTATAACATACTTCTTTCTAATATTTTCCTTTTCTTGTAGTTATATATTATAACTTTATCTATTTCTTCTATCATGACAAAATATTTATATATTTATTTTTCTTTATATTTTTATTTATGATTATCTGATCGAGTTTTATCTAGCCTATTTTTGCCATATATTTTATCTATAAAGTAGTATAAATATCTCTCTAAAATCAATCAATAAACAACTATCAATTTTTTCTAATACAAGTTTTCTTTAAGATGCTGTCTATTATCTTTGATTTCTTTTGAGAAATTTCTTCTGTTTTATTTATTTTTCTGTCAAATCTTCATGAAAGATTGACCATCCCCTTTTATTTTATTATTTTGTCCCAATTTTTTTTATCTCTTAGTAAATTTATTATAGCAAATTTTTTTTTGCTAAATTCTTTACTCTGTTAAACATTTCTTTCCCATAGTTAACTTTTTAGAATTAGTATTATTTACATCTCTTCTTTTAGTTTAACTATTTCTCTAATCATTCAAATTATTTACACTTACCTTAGTGTTAGTTTCCCTTTTAATTTCTTTAACTGGTCTATTTGGTAACAAAAAGACTATTTTATCATCCCAATTTATTCAATATTGAGCCCAATTCCTCAATCTCTTTTTTCAATTCCTCTTCTTACATACATTTATCTTTTCTTGTACATCTTCTACACACAACCACATATCACACGCAACACTTGTGACATGGAGTGTTGTAAAAATGGTCAGCTCTCAACGAAATTTTGGTTGTCCACCAGTGCAGTAATGTTGCAGAATTCTTTGTAATTCTAGAAAAACTATATTCTATTTTTTTGATTTTCCGATAGTGGCCGAGGCTGAATAGAAAGTAATTCTTCTATTCATAGAGCAAAACACTAATAAGTACAATGAAAAAGTATCATCCTGTCAACAATAACTTCATGCAACCACAAATTGTATCTTATTTTCTAATTATATTTAACTGAACAAATCAACTTGGAATTAACATTATTTTTATTATATTTTCTGACAAGCATAATTATCTTCATGATTATGACTTAATAATTATTTTATTTTATTTGTACTTAATGATAATAAAGAACAAATTACACTGTAAAAAAGTGTCTGAATTTTATATACAATAGATTTCTAGGATTCTTGAGATAGAAAGACAAAATTTCTATCTCAGACACTTTTTCTAGATTTTGATGTTGGGTTCTCTTTTCAACAATTTTATTAGTTATTGAGAGTTGTTTAGTATCAGAACAAGATATCAAACTCAAATTTAATAAAATAAACTGTACCGGAATAAATTTTTGTCTTCCTTACTATTAAACTATAATATTTTTCATATAACTCTTAAGTAATGGCACCAATCTGTCAATCAAAAAAAACACATTTATGCTTCTGTCCTGTTTGCAAGAACAAATCTGGTAGATGCAATAAAGTATCTATTCAGATATTTAAATTGCATAAGAGAAAAGAGAATGCTGGACTTCATGATTATTGTAATAATAAGAGATGTAAGAATTGTATAATCTGCTTTATATCTTTGAATTATAAATTATTTGTATCTCAATTAATAACATATATAACATAATATAGCAGCAACTACAACTTTGATTGAAACTATCCCATAGACTATTCAAGAAACTACTTCTGATGTTATTATTGATGATGAACAATACTTTGAGGCCATAGACAATTTCAGTGACATAGATTATGACTTTAGTAAAAAAAAAACTTTTTTTTTAGATTTTTTTTCAAGTCTAACTTATTTTGTTATACTTTAGTAGACTTGGAAAACAACACTGAAACATATATAAGCGCACTAATTATTACTCAAGTCTTATCTCTTTCTGAAGCTGATGACATATTTGGTAATCAAGAAGACAAAGATTCTAACAATGTTGATTCTGATGAAGACGATGATGACAATGTTGAAGATAATATTGAGGACAAAGGTTTGTATCTTTCTTATGAATAGGGTTTGGCTATTTAATGATTCACTGAATATTAATACATTTTTTCCCTAAAACAAAGAATACTTCTCCGAATCTAACTCAGAGTTGAGTTTCATTCATTCTTTTATTGTAAAGGCTCTTGCGCTGTTCCTATCATTGTACATAGTTGACAAAGGTGCTGTTATTCTCATTGCCATCATGAACAAAATCCTTGAGCTGTTCAGAGATCCGTTTCACCTTCCTGTTAGCATTTCCGGTCTCAAAAGCATGGCAGATTTTAATACCTTAACAAACAGGATCAAAAAATATATTGCATGCAGCAAGTGCCATGACATTTATGAAAACAATGGATTCACCCCTCCTTGTTGTACATTCCGCAAGTTTGGCACCAATAATCTTTGCAACAACACCTTGTTCAAATAAAAAAGACAGTCCACAACTTCTAGAAGAACTTATGTTTACTACTCTGTTGTTAAGTCAATAACATCTCTGTTCTCTTGCCCTGAATTCAAATGCCAGATCAATTCATGGAACCGTGGTCCAAAAGTAGAGGGGATCATGTTTGACATATATGACAGTGCAATGTAGAACAAGCTGAAAGATATTGATGGCGTTCCTTTTGTTGACAGCAACTGCTTGTTGATGTTGACCCTGAACATCAACTGGTTCCAACCGTTTGATCGAGTTATGTACACTAGAAAAACATACGGGAATTACTATGTACAAAGTTAAATCATAACAATAGAAAATCTGGGCTATTTTTTCATCTCAGCTTTTTTTGTGTGTTCAAGATGAAAACACTGTTTTCCGGTTTTCTATTGGCTTGGATACATCAGGCGAAAATATTATTTATTCTTATTATTATAAAGACATAACAATTCATTATAAAGACATAGTAAATTTAGTAAATGTTGTACTTGTTTCCTTTTTCTCTTAACACTTCAAAGTAAAAATAAATAAATATTATGTCTACAATTCCTGAACTCTACAACAAAAAGTGCCATTGTGCTGGATGTAGTCAGAACGATCTCAGCTATAGTTTTGTTGCCAGAAGAACTGCTTAACGTCATAACAAAAGGGCAAGACTAAATGCCATAAGATGTGAAAGGGGTACAATATTTGAATTTATTTAATTGTATTGTAATCCATGAAATAACATGTTGTAATAGACATGTCTACCCAAAGAAATACGATGGAGGTCGATGATGAACGTAAGATTTATTTAATTCAGAAACTGTTAGATATTAACCAAGTGTTATATTCTAAATGTAGCTATCTTAACCCATCAACCCGGAGCCCTGGAAGAATCGTACACTCAGACAAACTCATCTGTTTGGGAAGGAGCTTCAATGTCTGACACTGAAGACGTTTCCGTTACTAATGATGCAATCAGCAATGGCGACAATGATGACAGTGGAAGCAACAGCAATGAAATCAGTGAAGACGAAAGCAAAGATGATGTTATTGAGCTCGACAACAATGAATTGAATAGTGAAGGTCAGTTAGTGTTAAAAATTTTTAAAAAAAAGCATTAATTTTTTTTATAATAGACCCTTTTGCCACCCCCGATATGCCCCAGAACCCAGTGCACAGGTTCATTGCTACTTTTGTGGTGATGTTTGCTTCCCACTATGTGGTTGACAAGGGCGCTGTTGTCTTGATCGAGTTCATCAACAAGCTTTTGACAATTTACGAGCAGGATTTCCAACTGCCCTTGAGCCTTCCTGGTCTTCAGCGCATGACAGGTTTCTCAGCCATGACCAAAGGCATAAAGAAATTTGTTGTGTGTCAGGATTGTCACAAGGTGTATGAAGAAAGTGCATCTGTCCCGTCTCATTGCAATTTTGTAAAGCTTGGTGCACACTCATCTTGCAACTGCCAATTGACGAAAACATCAGCATTGAGTGCTTTGGTGGCCAAGCGTTCATACTTGTACCAGTCCATTGTTAATACTTTATGAATGTTTTTTCTTCGTCCAGGATTCGAGGATAAAATTAGACATTGGAATCACAAGCTAAAGATGGTGGATACGATGTGTGACATATACAACGGTGTCATGTGGAAGGAGCTCAAAGACAAAGATGGTGTGCAATTCACAAAGGATTCGCGTTCATTAATGTTGACTCTCAACATTGACTGGTTTCAACCTTTCGATAATGTCACGCACTCAACTGGTGCCATATACCTGGTAGTAAACAATCTGCCTCGCAATGAAAGATACAAGCCAGAGAACACACTTCTCGTAGGATTGATGCCTGGCCCAAAGGAACCCAAATCCGAAGAGATAAACCATCATCTCCGGCCTATGGTAGATGATCTGATAAGATTGTATGAGGGACTGGCAATCCCAACTTTTGAGTGTCCTAGTGGTGTCTGCGTCCGTGCCGCATTGATGATGGTGGCCTGTGACATCCCGGCAGCAAGAAAGACAAGTAGGTTCACCTCGCACAACAGTACATGCGCATGTTACAAGTGCAACAGACATTTCCCTTGCTTGGAAAACGGTGTCAATGTTGACTTTCATGGGTTTGACTTCTCTCGGTGGGTGCTTTGTGACGGTGTAGAGAACAGGTTGCATGCTGAGGAGTGGGAAAGTGCTAGTACCCCCTCAGAAAGGCATTGGCTGGAGATCGAAAATGGTGTTCGATGGTCGCAGTTGCATCGCCTTGGATACCTTGATCTAGTACGTGGAACAATCATTGATCCCATGCATAATTTATTCCCGGGAATGCCTAAAAGATTGATAGATCGTTGGATCAAAGACGAAGACATTCAAGATGGCGATTTTGCAGCAATGTAGAAGACTGCAGAAACGATGATTGTGCCTGGTGGATACATCTCTTTGAACCCGAAAATAGGAAAGCAGTTTTTGTATATGAAGGCAGACGAGTGGAAGTCATGGGTGCTCGTATACTCGCCAGTCCTGTTGAAAGATGTTCTTGCAAAAGACAGATTCGAAAACTGGATTAACTTGATGCATGCCGCCTGTTGATCAAGCCAACAATCACATTCTATGAAGTCAACACTGCCCATCAGTTCCTTCAAAATTTTTGCACCAGATGTGACGAGCTGTACAACGCCAAAATCCTCACCTGTAATATGCATCTACACCTCCATCTTCGAGATACAATTCGCGATTTTGGACCAGTGTACAGTTATTGGCTATTCAGGTTCGAGCAGTTTAACAGGTTGTTAAAAAATTTGAAGACAAACAGGAAGATTGGGTTTGAAAAAACATTTATGAAGAAATTTATTGAATATGTGCACAAAGACGATCTTGTCAACAGTTTCCTTCAGAGTACCCACCAGACATCTGCATTTCCTCTCCTTACCAAACTCACTTCTTCCTTTACACCCACCACCATTCCATCCATCCATCAACGTACCTTCCGCATACAGTCATTTGTCGAGGCTTCTGAAGATCCAAATGTACTTGTAAAAGGCAACGAACCTCTCCCTCCTTCCGCATTCCCTCTATCATTAAAATCTGCTACCACAATGAGTGACATTCACTATGTTCATCTCTTACAATACTACAAAGTTGCGTACAACAATGAACAATTAGTTCACTTTCAACAAGCATCAGAATCACCATACTTTGTTGACAATACAATCACCCTGTTGAAATACATCAACATCCTTGGGCAGGTCTACAAGGGTAAAGGTGAATCTGGAAGTTGTGGCTCTCTTGTACAAGCAAAGTTCATTGGAAGTACTGGTGAGCATATCATCGCATACACGGGTCAAATACAGTACATTTTCACCCATTCTTTCACTCCCCCACCCACCTCTTCATCCCTTACTCCCTTGCTCTGCACCCATCACCGCCCAACACAACTTCTTCACAATTCTCAACATACTTTTGCATTTATCAAATGGTACACACCCGAAAATGATAAATCACAAGAGTACAAACACGTTGAAACCTGCTTTCCAACATTTTCTCCTGACGATTTCCAATGTGTATTGCCAGTGCATAGAATTATGTTAGAAGTAGCAACTGCTGAGCACACAACACGCAGAAAAGTAAAAAAGATGCTGGTCATTCCTTTGCCAAAAAAAACAATATATTTAAAAAATAATAAAATTATAACTCTCTTTTTTAAAGGCACACAGAAAAGAATAATCATAGTGTTTGTATTTGTTGGTACGTTTATCATTGTCAGATGGAGGATGTTGAGGATGTAGAGGATAAGAAAACAAAATTTATTGAAACTCATCTCTAAAAGCCCAGTGAGGGAGAAGGGACGTCAATCTAGGCGGGACTGCTAAAACAGCATCTCTACCAAAGGACCTCTTCAACATCTGACCCGAATTGAAGTCCATGTGATTACTTATAAAATCATCAACAACCACAAGAAAGTGATTGTACTAAATACAAATAAGTGATTAATCAAAGTTCTGTTTCATTTAAATCCATAAAAAAACAAAAAAAAAGCTATATACAATAATGTAAACAAAAGAAATTACCTCATCGCTTCTCCAACTTGGATGCACTGTACGAATCGCACAGTTGCTCGAGACTCCAGGCATATTGTCTTCAGATTCGCCCTCAGTCATTGCTTCTTTCTGTAAGAGTCTGTCGCAGCTCTTACCCACCTTCACATCTGTTGTGTTGGTTGAAGTTGAAGAAGTTTTTAAGAGGAAGAATTGAAGATTTGAGATTAGGGACAAAGATTTGTGAGAACTTGTGAAGGTTTTGTTTATTGAGAAAGGATTTTATATCAAAGTTTGACCAGATTCCTACACTGAACTACTACTGCTATTTATATTGTTTTGGATTGGGGAAATTATATGACTGGGGTCAGGTAATCGATTCTATCTGAGCCTTAATCAGAGCAACGTGATCTTGGGATAATTAATGTATGATTAATTATACAAATGTGTGTAGTCCCAATGAAGTATTAACATTGAAAGTAAATGTGTTTATGAGTTATAATTATGCTTATAATAATCCACTGATGTATCCCATATTATGGTGATATCATCATATGAAATATAATCACTATCATGCATGCTAAACCTGTGTGTTAAATAATAAAGTAATTGGTAGACACCTTTGACTGGAATAGCTGAGATCTTATATTATTTCCTTCAGACTTATTCTCAATTACAGCAGTAGTCAATACTCATTTACAACAACATTAATTTCAGCCTTGAATGTATGGTAGGTCAGCTCGCAACAGTCAAAATGCTAGTTTATAAATGTATTAATATGAATACATTTAATTTGCAATCAAAATATACTTCTAACATACATCGGTCTCTCGACCTGCTTTTCTTGACCAAGAATTTGTCTTTTTGCGCGCTTCATAGGATTCCTTGACTTGGCATCTCGTTCCACAAAAGTTTGTGTAGATACAATTGCTAATATCAGCCTGTCGAACACTAGTCCCAACAACCTTTGGAGCCAGGTATGCATGAAGGTCATGCATCAGCTGTCTGTTAGGTGGAAGTCTGTAATCAACATTAACATCCCAACTGCACTTGCTGTTGTTAGCTGCAACTAGTCCCAGCTTATTTGATTTGAAGTTGTGTTTCTTCAACTCTCCTCAGATAAGAGCCTATACTTAGTGTGAGATATTATGTTGATGAACTACTGTACATCTCAACACTTACTAAAACTCTAGTGCGATCCTGTTTACTAAGTTCACCAGCGTTTGCACCAGTAAGAACCACTGGACCAACAGAAGGAGTGACAGAAGGAGTGACAGAAGGAGCAACAGAAGGAGCAACAGAAGGAGCAACAGAAGGAGCAGCAGAAGAGATACCAAAAAAAGCCTCAGAAGGTGTTGTATACCAATCCAGAGTAGAACTAATGGAAGAAGCTGCGAAAGGGACAGAAGCAGAAGCAGGTATAGTGGTAGGAGCAATAACTGCAAGAAGTTCTCCAGAGGCATCAGCAATGCTATCAAGTATTTCCAATGAATCTTTGTTCCCCTTGATGACAATGCCAATGTTTGAATCCATGGTCTTGAGACTTTCCTCCATAGCGGTGAGCCTTCTTAAAAGCTCAGTATATTCCGGGGATGGAGCTGGGGCAATTGACTGACGATTGTTAACCATGGTCTGAAAGCTATCTAATAAAATGTTATACATGAGTTGATTGTTAATTATATTTGTTTTATATATCTATTCATTGTATATATAGAGTGTTATTAACATACAAAAGAAGTTAGGTGTTAAGCGAAAGAATAAAGTATAGTTAATGGAAAGATGGTAAAAGTAAAAGCAAGAACCCATTTATTATATTACACTTGTTGCTGTAAATACTCAGGATTTCTTTAATACGCGTATCTCTATTAATACTTCCTGGAATTAATGGGGTGCAAATCGGCTTTGAACATGCTTTTTTCAACTCAATCCAATATATAATTTCTGTCTTTTGGCCTTTTGGCCCTTTGGTCTTTTGTTCTTTTTGTTTTTTTTTTCATTTACAAGTTTTCTCTCTTTTCTCTCTTTCCAACATTTATTATATTCACAGATTTTCTTGGTAAGATATCTTATTCTTTAATATTATATATATATATATATATATATATATAACTAAAATGATAATAATTGTTTTCTATTACTACAGACACTCGCGTTTTGTTACCTTCTGATGCATCCCCTTCACAATGTCCATCCGGATTAGCTAAGATTAGTAAATATACTTTATGCCATCATCCTATAAAATTATTCTGACTTTTTCCTTTCTTTTGTATAGACCATATCGCCGAAATTACTCTCTACTATTAAACACAGTTATGAACACAGTAATATTTTATTTTATTTCAATCTATCTCTTTTTAATAAGCATACGGCTTAACATAATTTCTATTATAGATGAACCTCCCTCTCATGAGCACATCGCGAATCAAGAACTTTCATTTTATATGAGTGTCATTGACATGGTAATTTTTTTTGTACATATAACAATATTATTTATTTTGTATATTAATGTATATCATTTACTGAAGACAATATTAGCGTCTCCTATGTACTCTCTTGATCTGCAAATAAATCCTTTTGCTTCGGGTAGGTAAATGAAATATTCTACCACACAGTTCACAAAAAATAATTTTTTTTCAGCATTTTTATAGCCAAATAAAGTATATTGAGTACTATGGTTCGTATTCATGACGCCTTTTCTTTTTGTCTCTGGTAAGCTATTATATTGCAAGCATAATTACATATATATATATTCTTAATATCCACGATTTCTTGTTCAAACAGCTAACACTTTTCTAATTTCATAGAACAACCATTTACAAGCAAGCAACACACAACTGGGCTTTTCTCTGAGAGATACTGTTTGGAGAATACTTGTTTTATCAGAACATTGGCCATTTCAAATTATATGAAGGATAGAACACCAGCCAGAACGTTCCTGAATATTAAATATAACCACTGTACTATAAACCTAAGAATATTCTTTTCTTTCTAATAAAAACAAAATAAACCAATAATTATTATAAATAAATTAAAGATCGGAGAAGTGTATGGAAGCAAACAGTACAAGAAGAAGTCTCTAAGATTGGATAAAATAAATTCAAATACAACAAAACCCTGTAAAAACTGGCATATCCATAAATTAAACAATGTAAAAACTGGCATATCTGTATAATCGATCTTTCATTTATCGTTCTTTTAATTGGAAAGCGGTAGGATATATTACAACAAAACATAATTCTGAGTTGCTGTTTTAGTGCATGTGGTAAAAACCCATATACAGAAAATGCAAACACATCCTACTATCCTGCTGTTCTGACCTTTTCCTATGTTCGAAAGTTGGTCTTACTACCTATGAGTAAGCCAGCTTCATACACTTGTAAAAACTATCTAATCGCATTGTAAAACCTGGTATTTTCACATAATTAATTACAGTTTTACACATAAGAAAACCGCGCCTCTTTTCCAGTGGTATTCTTGTGATACTGTTTACCTTGCTGTAAATAATCTTCCTCATGATATCCAATTCAAAAAGGAAAATGTGATTCTTGTTGGATTGATGTCTGGTTCAAAAGAAGCAAAGACATCTGAAATCAACAGTTATCCGAAGCCCTTGGTAGACGAGTTGGAAAAGCTGTATACCAGCATCAAGATCAAGACAAATGACTGCCCGCATGGTACTTCTGTTCATGCTGCCCTCCTCATGGTTGCTTGCGACATTCCCGCTGCTAGGAAAGTGTGTGGATTCACATCCTATACGAGTACTAATGTACGTCCCAAGTGCTCCCATCAATTCTCTCAATTAGCTGGAAAAAGTTCTGTTGATTACTCCGGATTTGATTTCTCAAAGTAACTCCTTTGCACTAAGAATGATAATCATAAGGATGCTGAGGTCTGGAGAAATGCAACTACTCAAACTGAAAGACATTGTCTTGAAGTAGAAAATGGTGTTTGCTGGTCTGAACTGCATCGTCTTCAATACTTTGATGCTGTTTGCTACACAATCATTGATCTAATGCACACTCTTCTTGGGCACTGCCAAAAGAATGATGGAGAAATGGTTAGCAGATGGAGTAATTGACAACAAAAAACTTGTTGCTATGCAAAAGGTTGTTGAGAAAATGGTGTTGCTGCTGGATTACACCGTATTGAAGACCAAGATCGCAAAGGGATTCCCTTTCATAAAGGCAGACGAGTGGAAGTTGTGGTGCCTCATATACTCTCCAGTTGTGCTGAAAGATGTCTTGACACCAAGAATGTATAAAAACTGGATATTTTTTGTGGACACGTGTCAGCAACTCAGTAAGCACAGCATTTCTTGAGATAATATAAAAAAAGCACATGTATCATTAGAGAAGTTTTGTCAAGGCTGTCAGCATATTTACAGCTGTAATCTACTCTCTCCTAATATGCACCTTCACCTTCATCTCCAGCAAACACTTACCAACTTTGGACCTGTGTACAGATACTAGTTGTTCAGTCTTAAGCAATATAACAGTGTTCTAAAGAATTTCAAAACAAATCATTGTACAGATTTTGAAATAACATATATGAAAGCCTTCATTGAAGATACTTGGAAAGGCAATATTGTTTGTGATTTGTTGAAGACAGCAAACCCATTTGATTGCTCCAGCATTTTCAGCAAATCAGTAAATACACTTAGTAATACTGTTTCCCACATAAATACAACAGACATTTACAATATATTCTCTCTTCTGGATTTTCTTGATGCTGCAGAAAACCCATATCTGTCAATTTGTGGTAACGAGCCCTTGCCTACATCCACCCTTCCTCTGAAAAAAAACTTTCCAAACAATGCCAAGACAGAAATACAATTGTTTGGTAGAGTACTACCAGGTTGTATATAATGATCCCACCATCTCTAGCTGCAAAGACAGCATCAATAGAATGACTTTCGTCAATGACTGAATTAAAACCCTGAAATCTATTGATCTTCTAGGTCAGGTCTTCAAAAGATGTAAGGGAACAAACAGGCGTGGATCTTATGTACAAGCTATGCTTATTGAAGGGCGAAATGGAGCAAAGTACATGTATGTTGGTGAGATTCAGTATCTATTTGTTCATTCATTTAGTCCACTCGTTTCAACTCCGCATCACGGAAACCTCCAAAGTAGCCAGCATACATTTGCATACATAAAGTGGTGCAAGACTTCGCAAGTAACAAGTAGACAACTTGAAGGTGTGGAAGTTTGGGATCCCGCATTTTCTGCACCTGATTTCCAAAGCATATTGCCTGTACATTGCTTTCTCCTTCCTGTTGCAATTGTAGACTTCCAAACAAAACAAAAAGTCAATAAGAAGCTTATAATTCCTTTACCTAGAAAAATCAATTCCTAATATATGTATATATAATTACTATCTAACTTTTTTTCCTTTTTAATAATATTCAATGACTTTTATTTGTATATAAAATAAAACAAAAAGAGAGAAAGAAAGGGAATAATATTTATTTTATTTATTTTGGATTGCCCATTCAGGGATCATGGCAGACAGATGATGTGGCACAGATGTATCTTTAATGGATGTCAGGTACCTGATCATCTGTGACTTTGACGTTGTTGTCACCTGCAGCTCATCATTGGTTTGCATTATCTTATCACTTATGCCAAGGAGTCTGTTGAGCTATATTTATTTTATTGAAGTTTTTTTTTAGTATTCAGTTCTTTCTTATCAAATCATTCTTTTTATTCTAAGAAAATTACCTCATTGCTCCTCCAGCTTGGACAAGCAATCTGAAGAGTATGCTACTTGTACTCTGGAGAGATCACCTTACTGTCAGATTCTCTATCTGACATCACATCTTTCTCAATGTAACACTCATAGGCCTTCTCATCCAGGTTACCCTGCTTGTACCCCATCTTGCGATCAATGATCTGCCAATTGTCATTATAAACTCTAAGATGGTGCAAGTGAATCTAAAAAAAAATTAAACAAGAACATATTACAAAAAGATTCTTTTTTTATAGTTGATATAATTACCTCTACGCATCTACTGTTGGAGCATGCTTTACGGTTTTTGGCTGTTGCTTGGGCAGAAGTCATGTTCACTATCCAGTAAATGTACTTATAGTTGTTTTTTATTTTTTCAACTACAAGTCCAGACCAAACACTAGCAGTCATTGGCTGAGAGAGAATATAATCTCTCAAGTAGTTGATGACCTCAACATTGTCAAAGTGGTCACTTCTTTCATTAGTGTTCCATCTCTTCTTGGCCTCGTTTTCAGCAATTAGCACCAGGTCATTAGAGATGAAGTTTCTCTTCCACATTCTTTCATTGATGAATCTCTATTTTTATTTTTCTTTTAGATGATGTGATATCACAAAACAACAAGCACACACTTACTAGAACGATCACATTCATTTTGTTAGAAGGATTCTGCCCTGTTAAAGGAATCAGTACAGAACCACTTGCAGGCGCATGAGAGACAGCACTGAGCTGTTGAGTATTAATGACATCAAGGATTGCAATAGTACTTGCGTTGTCATTGTCATAGACATTGCCAACTCTGGATTGGATGGCAACCAAGAGATCAATAATTCTGTTTTCTAGTTCAGAATCTGTCACCTGGTTGACAGCTTGGGATCTTGGGGTGATGTTTGCCTGCTGAACATGACCAGCAGCAACACTATGTACAGAAGGTCCAGCATTTCCTCTTCCTCTGCGGGTTGAGTTTCTGGTAGAGTTTGAAGACATTTTTCTATACATTGACATTAGTAAAAAAAATAACACAACAGAAATTGATTTATAATGAAATGAACTATTTTCTATATATTAAATAAAATATAAAGGCATACAAAATAAGTTACGGTAAGAGTGAGAGTGAGAGTATCAGAGAAGTTGAAAAATAAAATAAAACATTGGCTTTAAATACCTCTTATGTTTCAGAACTGACACTGACAGCTCAAGTTGGTACTTAACAATAACCAGTAATGATTGAATTCGTTTGGAATAAAGCCTACCAGGTTTGGTTACATATATTTTGTGTTGGATTCATTTGTTTTAGATGATAAGCATAATTCTAAACATATTACTGGATATATGAGATGTAAAATAATTATCCTCATAGTTGCTTATATGTAGCCTAAAGAAGACAGTCTTTTATTCAAGAATCATATATATTATTCCTCTAGCTACTATACTTTAAACATAATAATTTTTAATTTCGACACTTCTTTAGTATATCTCCATAGATTATATGTGATATACTACATCAAAACCCGAATTCAAGAATCTATTGAGTTTATAGTGGCAAAAAAAAGGAGTTAGAGACACATACTTTAATTTATAATAGACCCTAATAAATTCTGAGAATTGAATGAGTTTTATTTGATTTACTCTGCCTGTTTCTTTTTGTTCTTTTTTCTTTTTTTCTTTTATTTTTTCTCTCTTTCCTTGTCTTTTTGTTTACTTTTCTTATTCTTTTTAAAGCTGTAGTAAGAATTTTATATATATACTTTGTTTCTTTTTTTTTTACTTTACTTTAAATAACTCTTGATATTTCTAAAGACACTTACTTCACAAAATATCTTAGATTTTTCACAACAGTTATCAGAGTGTATTAGCTCACAAAGATAAATAAAGACATAAAATATATTTTATGATTCATTGCTGATCAGTGACTTTTGATTACTAGACATGATCAGCTTTTATGACAATGAGACATTACAATGATGATTCACTTTGAAATCTTTAAGTCGCAATAGACTTGGTAAGTTCAAATATTAAAAAAAAATATATTGATTGTTTACATAAACTTTATATACTTATCATTATTATGTACTTTTCAGATTTACCATGTCACCTTTCTTACTCTAATGTTATATAGATGGGAAAAAAACTTGGCATGGTACATAAACTTACTATAATCAATATCTTCTTTTACTAAGCATAATGTCAATATATTTTCTATTTAATCTAATATTCTTTAAATATGCAGAGAATTGTGTTAGTGCTAACTTTATCTATATGTATTTTATGTCTTCATTAGATACTTATATCTCTCATACATTCTTTAGAAAAAACAAAAATAATATCACTCACTCCATAGACATGTGGTATTTATTTAAATTGATTGATATTAATTTCGTAAAATCCAAAGGAGCTTTTTTGTCTTTCTGCTTCTTCATTTTAAAAGGTAAGCCATAATATTAATATCTATATAAATGAATATCAATATCCAATGTTGATATTCAAAGCAAATACACAATTTAAAAATAAATAGTATTGTATACCCAAGAATTAGAGCATATTATTAGAGAATATATTTCAAGAATTTTTTTTTCAAAAAAACAATAAACATCAATAAACTATTTCCCATACACTATCTATAAATAAACAAACAAAAAGTACACTTTTTGGATCAATGAACAGAATCCATTTGAGTTGCAAATGAAGTGAATGTCCAATAAAATGCGTGCCAGGTATGGGATAGAATAATAAACTTTGGGTACTAGTAGAGAATATATACTTCTTCAATTGACTTTTAAAGAGAAACGAAGTGAATGTCCAATAAAATGCATGTTAGATACGGGATAGAATAATAAGCTTTGGATGCTGATGGAAGATACAGTCTCATCAATTAAATGAAAGAAAATTTTAGCTTCCGCCAAAGTGAAAAAATAACATCCTTAACTCTCTCTTCATTGTTTGTCTACTTTTACTTAAGAAACCACTTTTAAAATCATTGGAATAAGAATATATAACCTTTAAATATTAAGAAAAATAATTTTTATTGAAAGTTTAATATTTAGTAACATCACCACGGGCTTTCTTCATATGGGCTATGCGAGTTGGCATAGATATGCAGTAGGCCTTGCATACTGCAACCGGTATTTTCTTTCATTCTTCACGGATAACCTTGTCTAGCTCCTTAATAGTTCTTGGAGCTGGTACTCTTGCCCTTACCATCCGACCCAAATGAGCCCATAGGTTCTCAATAGGACTGAGATCTGGGCTATTCGGCGGCCATTCCATGATTGGTACATTATGGGTCTTTTTCCAGTTCTCAACAAGTTTTGACTTATGACAAGGAGCATTGTATTCTTGGTAAATAAACTCCCCGTCATGTCTTTCACTTAGGCAACCATAAAATGGGAGCAACTTTCTTTCCAAAAGGTTTATATAGCCAAATTGGTCAAGGCTGTTAATAATTGTTTTTAGTGGGCCTACTCCTCCTGCCCACACACAGCCCCAAACCATCACCAAACCACCTTCAAACTGTACTCTAGGCATGATACAATCAGACTTGAACTTCTCCAGAGGAAAGCGCCAAATTCTAAGGTTTCCATCCTTTGGGAAAACCATAAAGTGAGACTCATCGCTCCAAATCACACAATCCCATCTTTGATTGGTTTCTTTGCAACGTTTAGCAAACAACAATCGTTTCTTTTTATGTGTTCTGGATAGCCTTGGCTTAAACACAGGATGGCAAGAAGACATTCCGATCTTACAAATAGCTTTGCAGATGGTATTTTTGCAAATGTACTTGCCAATCATGAGTCTCATGACGTTTGTGAGTTCTCCAAGTGTGGCATTACGATCTTTCTTTATTTTGTTTTTAAGCTGGTGTAAATCTCTCTCACCCAGAATTTATGGACGTTTTTGGCGTTTTTCTGTTAATGGCGTGCCATTCTGTTTCCATCTTTGAACTGTGCTATGTACAGTTGTCATGGGTATGCCTGTCTTCTCCAAAATGGCAGTCAATGAAATATTATGGAGAGCATCACCAATAATAAGTCCTTTTTCATAATCTGAAAGCTTTTTTTGTTTGTTAGGAATACTTTTATTGATTTGTTGAGACATTGTGAGATTTGAATGAGAAGAGTTTTTAAAAAAAGCACAACAACTTTGCATTAAAGATGTTCTATTTAGTTGAGTTTAAACTTTTTTCTTTCATTTATTGTATGGGTCTGTATATACTTCTTTGATTGACTTTTAAAGAGAAACGAAGTGAATGTTCAATAAAATGTGTGCTAGATATGAGATAGAATAATAAACTTTGTGTGCTAGTGGAGGATATATATTTCTTCGATTGACTTTTAAAGAGAAACAGTGAATTTCCAATAAAATGCATGCTAGGTACTGAATAGAATAATAAACTTGGAGTGTCAGTAGAAGATATATACTTCTTTGAATGATGTTAAAACACAGATAGACACAGCGTTAGACTAAAAAAAAAGTAGCTGTCTTTAATTGATGTTTCAGAAAAAAATTGAGTTGAACAGAACTTCATGTCCACACCTAGACCTTTCTATCCTCGGAATATATTTGTTTTATGACTATAGCACAGATGTTTTATCTTGTATGCTAATATTAAATTAAATCTTGGGATTTATTTCAAAAATTACTTGGAATTTTGCCTCCTATTCCGTATGGGATTCGGAGTTGCTTTTGCAGTGAATAAGATATATATAAGTGTTATCAGTTCCTTTGTTTTTCTTGTTTAGTTAAAACCAAAGATTCTGGCTCATTATTCTAAAGTTTTGTTGCAAAATTATATTTCTAATGCTAGGAATAGGTCTTAGAATTAGGGCGCCAGATATTTATATAGTTTTATATTGGTTTATATGTTTTTTTTTTATTTCTATGCTTCTTACATCTTAGCATAAGATTTTCTTCTAACATGCTTGTCCATTTATGTTGTTAAGTATTTTGACAATCTCCAGTTATAAGATTGTTTATTTCTTTTGAAGTGCTTTGTGGCCTCTCTGAAAAGCAAGAAGTATATCTTGCATACCTTGAAGCAAATGACTTACATCATCATCTGCATTATTAATAATAATAAAAAATCCAATATTAGGGTTTGTTATAAAAAAAAGAAAGAATGAAAAAAAATCTTAAAGTCGTGATTAGCATTATATATTTTGTATAAATGTATTGGCTACTCTTTGATATGCAATATCAGTATAGTAATTTTACAATGATGACATGAAGTTCCCTATTCTAAATTTTTAGCATGTCTTTGAATTGTCTTAACAGATTATATTCAAGTAACAAAAGTTTAGATATTTTCTTCTCTTTCTACTTCTGACTTTTAATAGTACTCAATTGCAATCTATATTTCTCATAAATGTAATATCTGTAGTTAAAATAAATGTTTCTCTCTACTGAGATCTAATTTTAGGTGGTAAATTTACTTTTTATCAACCATTTCAAAAAACAGAGATTTTCTTGTTTCAACTTGATTTTTTGGTGATTTCTTGATTATTATAACTAATAAATGAAGTCACAAATTGAAAAAACCGCCCCTATTTGTCATCAGCTATGCTAATCGTAAATACTTTTCTGCAAGTCACAAATCCTTCAAAAAAAATGGAATTTGTTTTATTGTGTAGAATTTTTTATGCGTTTTTGTTACTGATTTGTTTATCAATACTATAATAATGAATGATATCACTTTTAACCCTCGCACCTTGACCATCTACTGTTTTATGCTACATATGAGAATGAGACAGAAGAATTTGTCTTTGAAGCTGAAGAAGAGTACCAGCTATAGTTCACAAACAACCCAGCTTGCCATGCCAACTGGGTCATTCAAAACAGCAACAAGTTGAAGAGAAAGGTTCCTGTTGGTGCTTTGATCGATCCCAATCTGATCAAAGTAACTCAGTATCTTAAATGCAATCATTCTGGCACAAAGGCAGAGAGTTTGAAGAAGCAAGCAGTTGAAAATGACGAGCTCCATGTTGTTAAGCGTAGAAATACTATGGGTAGCAGCATCAAGGTGGGATGCTTGGCTACTTTAGTTGTTAAGTTTTTTAACAGTGGTAAAGTAACAGTAGTTTACAACTGGAGGCATAATAACCACAATCCTCTTGAGCTTTCTGATATCTCTCACTCTCGGCTCTCTGAAGAAGCCCGTATCTGGATCAATGAACACGTTGAGAAAAACCTTGACTGGAAAGCCATTAAGGGACTTCTAAGACTAGAAGATATAAAACTAGAAGAGGTATGTTATTAATATATAGTGACGTTAAAACAAGATTTTATTATATATTTTTAATTATAATGTCTTTAATTAGATGGAGAACTCTATGTCAATGACATCTATTCCTTCTGCAATGATGATACAGTATAAAGATGTTCATAATGCTATTGTAGCTAGAATCAACAACAGTGCTAGAAAACACTACAAAGATGAGATAAGTACTGAAAGATGGATTGCTTTCCTTCAAGAAAAGGGCTACCAAACTATGTTTGACACATATAATTCTGTTGGGCCTCTTCTTGTAAGCTGGGTCTCCCCTTGGCAGAAGAAGGTAACTACAAGTATTACATATATATATAGTCAAATATTTAAATATATATCAAAAAGAATATACTATTTATCACTTTAATTTATTTTATCATTAGTTTTTAGAAAATGCAGAGGAGTGGTATCTTGACTCAACCCACAAAACCTGCAAGTCTTTCCTTGACAACAAGGACTGTTATTTGATGTCTGTGATTATATACAACCCTGTAACTAACAAGGGAGTTCCAGTTGCTTTCTTTGTTATCAGCATCAAATGTAGTTATACCATTGCAAGATGGTTGAATTGGTTGAAAGATACCAATAGCTTGAAGGTCAAATGGATCATGATTGACTGTAGCCCAATAGAGCAGAAGGCTATCCGGGATACATTTGGACTTTCAGTTCAAATTCTTTTGTGCCATTGGCATATCAAACGTGCTTGGGAAAGTCATGTCAAGAAGGTAATTTTATTAATGTATTTTACTTAAAACATTGAACCTATATTAACTAGTAATATTATTAGGTGACAATCCCCAACGCCCACCTTGAGACCAAGAATGTCTGGGCCAACATTCGTGCTGCATTGAACTTGATAATGCATAGCAATAATAAAGCCGACTACAATGCTCATTGGCAAAAGTTCAGATTAGACTATGGCATACAGTTTCCTGGCTTAATGTCTTATATGGAGGTTACATGGGAACCAAAGAAAAAAAGATGGGTTAAGGCATGGAGACAGGTATATTCAATATTGTTTTTTTTGTCTGGTCATAAAAACTAATTTATAATTATTTTTGTAGGATGCTGTATGCCATACAAACAATTTGATAGAGTCTTATCATAACCAACTAAAGTCCTTTTATTTAGGCCAGTCTTGCGGCTGTAGAATTGACAAGATTGTATATGTACTTTCTCAGTTAGTTGAGAGAGATTACCGTCAGGATACTCTTGAGACCTATTTTGGTATTAAGAGCATCAGACTTAGTGTGGCTGACACAGAACGAAAGAGAAAGGTCAATGTTATTGCTATCGAAAGAGCAAATGGTCTGGTTGAAGAAGTCGAACCGCAAGAATTGCAAGCAAACAAGGTAATATTATATAAAACATTTGTTTATATAATTTATAATTTATAATTAATATTGTTATTTTAGATGTATTCTTGCAAATCTTTTGGAGAGGGTTGTGAACTAGTATACTTTATCAAGTTCACAACCCACTTACATGACTGCTCTTGCCCAGACTCTGCTAGATTATGCAAACATATCTTCTTGGTCTCTCAAGTTTTTGACCTGCCGGTGACAGTAAGACGAAATGTCATACTGGATTCAGCTACGTTGTTTAGCCTTAATGAAAACAATGGCAATATTATTTCAGAAGATAATATTGTCTTATTGGAAAACCAAATGAGCGAAGATGAGCAGAAAGCAAATATTCTGCTTATGAATGAAAGTTTGGAGAGAATTTGAAAGCAGATGTATACCTCTTCCAAAACCTTTGAGCAAAAAAAAATCTTGTTAGACCTTATGAAGAAGGTAAACTCTGTTGTTAACCCAACTAATGGGTTGCAAAAGCAGACCTAAAGTCATAGATTACAAAACTTCTCTTTCAATTTATTTTTTCTCAATAAACATCAAATTTCTACTCTCTTCTTTAATATAAAAGACTTATATAAACTATAAAATCAAATGTATAAAAATTGCCTTGTGAAAATTATTCATTAGACATAAAAAATTAAAATTTAGTTTGTACTTAAAAATAATTAAAAAAGTAAGGTACTTTTGGCATTTTCAGCACAAAATATCCCCTCTCCCTATGTTTTTTCCTTTATTTCTCAAATATTGTGCTTTTTTTTGAAGAAATACAAGATATTATTGGCTGAATCTGCGTGACTTGCAGAAAAATATTTATGATTAGCATTATTCATTTGTCATAGTAAAAGCTCAATATAGTGATATATGATATAGTGATAATCACAATATAGTGATAATTTTTTGGAAAATTTGGGGCAATGCCTGCTTATTATCACTATTTTTTGATATAGTGATAGTGATAAAATATGAATCCACCACTATCACTATATCGAGTGCTGAGTTTAATATATTACTAAAAAAATATAGACAATTTTGTTAATAATATGGTCAACATTAAATTTAAAGTCCATTTTTTTATATAAAATAATAATAATTGTTATGGCGTTAAGAGCTTTGGCTGCCTACAAGAAAGACTGTAGGCTCAATATGTTTCTGAACAATCATTTTTATTTTATTTTATTTTTTTGCAAAAATATAAAAATTAAAAAAAAATAACAATAAATAGTTTGCTTGAAAATATATATGTGTATCGTTTAATAGATTTTATTATTATAATAAATGATTTTATTAAAGATGATTTATTACTTAAAGTATTGTCTAATATTGATTTGATTTGTTTTTTTTAAATTTTCTTCAGATTTAATAGACTTCATTAATTTGCCAAGGTCATTTATTAACCTATGTTGAGAATTACTATTATCTGGAATTATTAAATGAAGAATATTAGCTACTGATTCTTTTATCATTGTTTTTCACTCTAGACTACTAATTGCATTATCTTTTCTCTCTTCCTTTACTTCCTCCACATTTCTTCTGGGGCTAACCAAGTTACGCTCCAAGATATCTATTGATTCTTCAATGCTGTTGAGGTTCTCAATATCAGTAATTGTGATATTCCCACTTCCTGAAAGACAATTGAGGTCATCAAAGTTCTCCTCAATAACTGGAGAAATGAACTTTTGTATGATATCATGAAACAAACCGGTGTGCTTGAAACAATTAGTGATTATCTCAGAAGTAACCTTCCTCCAAGCCCTCATGATACAATTCATTTCTTGCAATCGTGTTAATGTGAAATAGTCACTTTCTGTCTTTGACTTGTTGGCAATGTAATGGAGTGTTGCAAACTGGTATTGAAAATGCCAGTACTTGACTTTGAAGTTTTGGATAATACCAGCATCAAAAGACTAAAGGTGAGAAGTGGTGTTTGGTGGCAGATAAAAAACTCAATGTTGCTGAAAGTTACTGATGTATCATGACAGGTTGCGTTGTCTAAAAGGATAAGGACTTTTCTTCCAAGATTTCTAATATGAATGTTGATAGTGTGAAAGGCTTTTGCAAATATGAATTTTGTCATCCAGCTGCTTTTGTTATTGAAATATTGAAACCCAAGTTCAAATCCTATAGTATAAAAGAAAAGTAATTAATATAAAAGGAACCAATTAATAATTACTTATTATATTTTTAGTACTTACCAGTTTTCTTGTTGAAACAGAGAGGTTTAGCATGTTTTTCAATAATTATTGGATCAAACTTAAGCAAACCATTTGAGTTACCAAGCAATCCAACTGTTAAACACATCTTGTCAGTCTTGAGATCAGAAACTACTTGACCTGAGATTGTTCTTGTTGGGTGCTGCTTGTAAAAGAGACCAGTTTCATCAAAGTTAAAGATATCTTGTCTCTCAAATATCTTTAACTTCTTCTTGATCTCTTCAACTCGCAGCTGAACAGCTTCATCATTAACTTTGGCAGAATCAGCATCACCATGCATAACTCGGCTTTTAAAGCCAAGTCTCTTCTTAATGTTTGCAACTCAGCCATCAGAGAAGTTAGGCAAATTCTTTGTTGGTATATTATAGTGTGTAACAGCAATCATTCTGGCATACATCTTGATTGAATTGCCATTGACAGGATTGTTTAGTGCTGTCATATCATTAATGAATTTTTGGACATCTTCCTCAATCTCAGGATAATCTGTCCCTCTGCTGCTCATCGTCTTGAGCTAATACTCATCTTTCTTTAGCAACTGATCTTCTTGTAGAATCTTTGATATAGCAGCTTGCGCAACTTGAATTGGTCTTTAGTCAATAATCTAAGCTGTGCTTAATTAAATCCAATCTTTGCTTATTCACAGATCTCAAGCTTTTGCTTTCTAGTCAAGCAAACACAAGTTTTTCTGTTAGAGTCATTGTTCAAAAATGCTAAAAGATTGATCGATTATTTTGGCATATTAAAAAATAGATATGAAATGTATGTATATATGTTTGTATGTGAAGCATTTTTATCAATAAAGATAAAGATATAAACATGCGTTTTGACATCTCTTTTATATTAAAGCATCTGTCAATATTAAATAAAATATAGTAATAAAAATAATGACTTTATTCATAATGACAGTCAGGAACTGTGGTATATCAGGTACGAAACAATAGAAAAATAAAATATTTGATAATAGAGACGTATAGAAATACTTTGAGACTGTATATAAGTTGTCTTTATTCATAAATAAAAAGTGTCCCTTTTTATAAGAAAACACAATCTGCTCTTTTCATTACGTCTTAGTTTCTTAAGGCTTTCTTCCTTTACTATATTTGGTTATTAGAGTGTATTTACTGCTTAACTAGTGTCGGTGTTACAATTATGACATCAAGTCATAAATCGTACTTCTTTAGCTCTTAGCTATTCTTTTCTCTTTTATACTAGAGCTTTAGGACTTCCTACTAAATTAGCTCCATATCGATCTGACACAGTTTACCCGGCAGTATGATATAATTATCTTAACAATCTTTAAGATATTATCTACAGTACTAACTGTAATAATTATTGGGCTGATTACTTAATCGTTTATATATATTTTATACTGACAAGATAATAGCTACTACGCTATTCCAATATGAATATGTTCTTATATGTGATAAATCCAACATCCGAGTGTCTGGATCACCACAGGAACATCTAATTAGTATCAGAGTTTAAACCAATAACAAGAGATTCTGACAATTATATTCTTAAACCAATTATACTTTGTTATTTTCACAAAGAGCTTTGATATCACTAATAGTATATATGTGTGCTTTAAAAATAAAACTTTCTATATAATCTAAAAGAAAGTATAATATCAGGGTCTGATATAATAGTAATAGCAGCCACCTATGTCGGAGTATATATTATCACTAAAAAATCTATATCAGAGTAATAAATATCATGCTCAATATAGTAATAGTAATAAAATTTCTGTCTACCACCATTATCACTATATCTAGCTTTGACTTTACATATAAAAAAGTTTCAAAGAAGAAATTGAAACAAATGCAAAAACATAAATACTTAAGTCTGATAGCACTGTGGTGATCCAGACACTCGGATGTTGGATTTATCACATATAAGAACATATTCATATTGGGATAGCGTAGTAGCTATCATCTTGTCAGTATAAAATATATATAAACGATTAAGTAATCAGCCCAATAACTATTACAGTTAGTACTGTAGATAATATCTTAAAGATTGTTAAGATAATTATATCATACTGCCGGGTAAACTGTGTCAGATCGATATGGAGCTAATTTAGTAGGAAGTCCTAAAGCTCTAGTATAAAAGAGAAAAGAATAGCTAAGAGCTAAAGAAGTACGATTTATGACTTGATGTCATAATTGTAACACCAACACTAGTTAAGCAGTAAATACACTCTAATAACCAAATATAGTAAAGGAAGAAAGCCTTAAGAAACTAAGACGTAATGACAAGAGCAGATTGTGTTTTCTTATAAAAAGGGACACTTTTTATTTATGACTAAAAAAACCGGATAGACAGTCTCAAAGTATTTCTATACGTCTCTATTATCAAATATTTTATTTTTCTATTGTTTCGTACCTGAAATACCACACTTACGCTTGAAATAAGCCTTAAATCTCTAAATAATACCACCATCTAATGACTGAAAATGGGACAGGGTGTTTGAAGGCAGAAAAAGAAGCTTGATATTTATAGATGCATAATCTAATATATAGCCAGAGAAATTATTGGAATCAAAAGCACTTTGCAGTTTTGCATTTTCATTGAACGATCAAAGTGATGAAGAAAAACATGAAAGATTGATTGTGTCATTCAGGCATTACTGTTGTAATGATACATAGAAAATCCATGATCTACTGCCTCTTGTTTTTTGTTGTTTTCGTTAAAACAGTTTGGTCTTCTTGCATAACCAATCATCAATATATCAGATCACTTGTCTGTTCTATTGGCATTGCACAAAAGGTCTACTGTAAGCCGCTTCTTATTTTCCTTCCAACCAGAAATCTTCTGGTAGGAAATCATTATTCTTCATGGCACAGCACAGAAAAGTGCTGTTTTATCAAAGTTATAGATGTCACAAGCACTATAACTCTCTATCTTTTCTTTGATAGCAGCCTTGTCAATCTGAAGCGACTCTATATCTGTTGTACCGGCCTTACCATGAATTCAATTTATTTTGATACAATAACACTTTCCAAACTTCTTCATTCAGTCTTAAGAAGCATTAAAATCTTTAATTTCTATACTTTCAGCAAAAATAGTAGCTTTTGTCTTAATTCATTCCTAAGTGATAGAGATCTGATTATTTTCAGCAATGTTGATCTAAAGAATTACTGCTTCTTCAATTTGCTATAGTTGTGCAACAATATAATAATACAACGGGAGATTTTTCTAGTGTTACAAATGACTGTTTTGTACGACGGTGGCTCGATTTCCTTTTTTGGACTTACTATTTTTGAAGCTTCACAATTTTAAAAATAGACCAAATTTTAAAAATAGAATGCTGACAAAAAAAAATCTTCGGTTTGAAAAAAATATTTTTATTTTTATTTTGTGGGTTGAAAATACAGGGGTCATAAAATACTAGGCTACCATTACCAGCCTAGTACTGGCTGCTATTGCAGAGTAGACAGGAGCTGCTGGTACTGGTAGCTATTATTATAAATAAAAAGCTAGCTAGCTACTTCAATACAATTTACAAAATAAAAAAGCTATGGATAAGATCTTTCCATTTCATTGAGCTTGAAGTGTTTCAAACCTATATAGACGACAAGAATGATTAGTGGCTGCAATCTTTAAGAGTTGTTTCCAATAACTTACCTTTGATAATGATGATAATGAATAAACCTAGAGTAAGACATAAATTTGTTTTTGTTAATATTCATATTGTATAGACTACTCTTAATGTCAACACACGTACCTTTATAAGCTTAAAAAATTGTTGGATCTTATACTATTTCGAGATTAAATGTGATTAGTAAATGCCAATTAAAATAAATGATCTTTTATATTGTTTTTTAGAAGCCGTCATATATAACATACCATAGATTTTCGCGAGAAGAACATGTTATTGTATACTAGCATTAAAAGTTTGATTAGTAACTTGATCATGTTAAAAAAATACAGAGTAAAGAATGTTTTGGTTTTTTTATTTTTTATTTTTTCTTGGTTTTTTAAAATCTCAACAAAATAATGCAATTTAATTGGTTTGTTCACAAAATAGACACGTTGTAACTTGAACAAAATTAAGGGGTACACGTTAATTCTATCCATCTTTTTGTCTTTACTTCCTTTACATTACAAACAACAATGAACAGAGTAACAAAAAAACTTGCCCCAGGAAGAGTATCAGTACCTACTCCGAGAATTCTGGGCCAACTAAACTTCGGTCTTGTTGACATTGGCAAGTCTTGCTCACTTTGTGAGAAGACCTTTAAAGATCACTGGAATCTTAAAAGACATTTGCAAAGATGCCATGACATAACGGAAACGGTTGCAGATGATATGAGCATAGTCCAGGAGGCCGAATATCAAGATATACAGATGAGCAACAGCCCAAAAAATCCGCTTACACCAAGTGAAAGTGTGGAAGAGAAATCAGACGTTGATAATGAATACTACAACAGTATCTTAAATTATGACGAGTGTGAAGAAAGTGATGATGGAAGTAGAGTTGACAATAGTGATTTTGATGTTGAGGAAAACACAGAGCCAAACGCAGGCATTCCTCTGTTTAATCACATCTTGAACAACATGTCTGCTTTCGCCGATAACAACGAATCTTCAATAGATGAAGAGGATGAATTCCAGAGTGAAGTATTTAACTCTACCGCCTGGAACAGATTTACACTAAATACTCATCCATTTAAAGATATCCAGACAATGATTTTGCTCGCACTTGTCGATGGTGATAATGACATGATTTCTCGTAGAATGTTAAAGAAGATATTATTTACCATCAATCTTCTTCTAAAGATCCACGAAGAAGCTATTAGAAAAGATATTTCTTTCAAGTTGCCCTGGTTAGATGCACTCTGGAATTACCAGACACGAAAAGGATCGAACATCTCAATTTTCAAATCGAAAAGTTTAGATATTACTCTCTCTGATAGCACAAAAGTCACCGCATTCCTTAACTTGCCTTCTGAGCACATCAAACTCCTTGCTGCCAATCCTATAAAGTCAAAATCAATCTTTTCTTTACCTGATCGCACGCCAAACCAATCTGTCTGTCTTCAACAAGGAGAAAAATGGAGAACAAATACATACTTCCAACAACCCATGTTTACCCACAACAACGTTGATTTCTGGTCTGGTGACATTGTTCTGTTAAAAGATTGCTCGCCTAACCTTTGCTTTCTGGTGGAATCTTTCCATACAATGGATACATCCAATGTCTTCTCTCATGGATATATTGTTCGAACTCCAAAAGATGGTTGTAGCATTGGCATCGAAATCAATCGTACCAACATAAATATTGAATCATTTCTCTCTGTTGACACAACCCCATTAAACACCTCCTTATGTTGCAGCATCTCTCCTGACACAATTATCTCGCTCATTCCAACTCATCGTAAATTACTTGAAGAAGAACATTTTCTGAAGAGGCTTATATGCGACGGAACTGACCAAGAAAACAACCGAAGAAAATATTACAAGGTAAATATTGCACCTGTAATTCTTTTCTCGGATGATACTTCTGGGAACACCTCTAAGCAATTTAATCCATACAAGAGCTGGTCGATGAAATGTGCGGCCCTCTCTTTTGAAGAAAGGTGCTCCATAGAGAATATCTTATTTATATCAGCAATTCCAAAGAAGAAAGGTGCAAACGCTGCCTCGTTGTTACCTGAAATTGTTGATGATTTGAAGAAGCTAGAAAACGGCGTGGTAATATTCTCTGCAGAAGATAATGCATATGTTCTTGTGGTATCTCCTTTACTTTGGATTGAGGCAGATACATCTTGTCACTCAGAGCTTTGCGGTTTAGGTGCGCCCAACTCAACTTACCCTTGTAGAAAGTGCTACATTAAATTGCAAAGTCGAATCCCCAAGTTGAACGAAGTTGAATACTATACTAACAGGCATCCAACAAGAACCAAGGATCATTATATCCAGGCCGCTTCTGCACCAGACAGAGATACAGTGATCCCTGATATTCCTTGCTTTGACAACAAAAACACAGCAGAAGAGTTAAGTTTTAAAAACAAGTCAACAGACAAACTGCTAGAACTTAAAGCATATGACCAGTCAAAAGATACTCCTGCTGAAATATTGCACTAAATTCTCCTTGGCATTGCAAAGTATCTTATCACCGATCTGGTTAAAGTTGTCTTGAACAAAAACAAAAAAGAACTAGAAGAACTGTTTGATTACGTTAAAGACTACAAAAATTCCAGAGGCATATCAAGAGCGTTTACAAGGTCTCTCACCCATGCTGGTTCATTTCTTGGTAGAGATTTCAAGGTACTAATCCAAATACTTCCGGTAATCCTGGCCATAAAGTTTGCAGATACAGAAGTATTACAGGAAATCACTCCCCTCTTTGTTCGTCTCGGCCGTCTATGCTCTCTAGTATTTGTTTGATCTATCGACAGTCAATATGAGACATATATCAGTGAAGTAGACTCTGCCGTTAGAAGTCTAATTGAAGCCCTACACAAATACGACACTAACTGTAAACATAAAAAACATGCATTCTATACGTCCAAGCCAAAAGTCCATCTGTTGACCTATCTACCTGAAGATTTACAAAGATTCGGGCCTGCTCTTAACTACAAGACCAAAAAGGGAGAGCAGTTCAACAAGCACATTTGTGAACACTTGTTTCATACAAACCGTATGAACACATCGAAAGATATATGTCTCAAATTTGGTAAACAATATATGACAAGACATATTATTGATGGTGGTTCATGGATAGGCAAGAATGGTTTAAGGGAAACCCGTGGAAAAGCTATTGCAGAATACATGCAACAAAACTCTGATGGGAAATTCCATGAAACTTTGCTCGGTGGGTCCAGAGAATTTGCAGACAACAACGGTACAGGTTTGACCCCTGGAAGGATATTAAAAGACAATACATTTGCTCTATTTAGACAAAGCAATGGACATATCATCATTGGAATGGTGCTTCTTTCTAAAGTATACCATTTGTATATCGAATATCCATCCACACATGCTGTTAACAACAATTATTGTCTAGCACTCAAATATGCTGATGATATATACACGCCACTAGATGAATTGAAGGTTGTTTGTCTATTAGACATGCATCTGAAAGTTGGCTGTAAATATGTTGTTAACCTCAACAAATTTGGTTCATACTGGTCCTTCCTTTATCCCTTTTATTAATTTTTTATATCTTTTTTTTATCTCAATAAAACATTCCAATTTCTTTAAGTCATTTTTTAGTTCTCTTCTGTTACACTAGAAATACATTTGTAGATGTCTGTACTGCAAGCATTCCCTTATAAAGAACACAAGTTTTGATTTATAAGTATAAAAGGAAATTACACGAGCGATATATTTAGTAAGCCAATAAGATAACAGATGCGTTTTCAATTTCCTAATTTGATATCAAATTTCATCTGTGGTGAAAGTTAATTTTATTTTTTATATGGAGCAAAAATGTATAATGTTGAGATATATTACATACAGAACATTTTCCCTTTCTAACACGCTTTCTGTTCTTTATGTTGGCTTGTATTATCAAGTCCTTGTCTCCTCTCTTCAAAAACTTCGAGATTGTAGAAGCATCAGGAGCTTTCTGAAGGTCAAAGGTTTCCTTTGCCCACTCAGCCAATTGAGGGTTACTCATAGATAGCTTTTTCTTTTTCATATCACAAATCTCAAGCTGATTTACAATATTAAGCAAAACATTTTTTTTGCTCATATTTATTGTTTAGTTCTGAATTTGATAGATTTCATTAAAGTATCAAAAAAATTGAAAATGATATTAGATAAGTATTATATAATAAGCTAAAAGCATACCAAAAAGCTGTTATTATTTGATTGAATAAGAATTTGAAACAATAATTGATTACAAGACAGGGGGGGTGGAAAACAGTAATGCAGCCAGACGTTATATTTAACTAGAATGAATTTAAACAGAGAATTGAAGCATATCAAATCATTATTTGATATATTTTTTCTATTAAAGAATATTGTAAATTCCGCCTATAGTTAATGGAAAATATATACTCCAAACTTGTTAATTTCACTCTTCAATAATTTCAAGACACCTGACCTTCCCTAGACCTTGAAATTATTGAGAGACTACTTTATATAATAAAGTGGTAGTAAAGAAAAAAATAAATAAAGAAACTGAAAAAATTAATGTTTAACCAAATTATTTAAATGCTTTTCTTTTAATGTAACTGAAATTTGGCTCTCTGTTTTTTGACTGTTTTCAATCTCTGGTGTGGCTTATGAGCACTTAAATTAATGCTAATAGATAACTTGTTAATAGAGTCAAACATCTTGTCAAAATTAGCAGTTGTTTATTTTTGCCACTGAAATTATTTTATTGACTTAGGACTAGGTTATTATTGTAGCAATTATTTGTCCACTTTTTTCATAAATTATTTGCATATTATTAAAAATTTATAGTGAAAGTATATATTAATCTGTCAAATTAATGTCAGAAGATTTGTAAAGAAGTACATATGTTTTCTGTTGTTATTAAGCTTTTCATGCTCTTTCTAAGTATATTTATTCATTATATTTACAATAAAGAAACTAAATTATTAAAGAGCTGTTTTTTATGCATATATTAAAATTATCAACAACATATAATGTAGATTAAACATTAATTTTATGTCTTTTTGAACTTTATTTTTCCTTTAACAATCACATTACAACCTATCTAACTATGTGTGATCCCTTTAGAGTAATTTTTGTCCAACATGTCCATAAACATAGCCAGCCACATCAAAGATATCATAAGATGACTTCTCCTGCGCAAAAGAGTAGACATAGAAGTGTATAAAAGATATTAGTTTTACACAAATTAAGTAGAAAAGAGTGTATCACCCATTTCCATTTCTCTTTTGAGCACATTCAGAGAATCACAAATGTTCTTGGAATAGATGAAACCTGCAACTTTTCAGGAATAAAAATTGAACAAAATCTTGGACTGGCAATTCTTCTCAACCACTACTCTTTTCCGAGATGCCTAGATGACATGGCACATTATTTTGGGATAAATGCTCAGAATATATTAAGAGTTTGCAGAGAGATGGAAGATCTGCTTTTCAAAAAAAATGAGATGGGGTATGCAGTTTGATACTCACCACTTTTCTCCATCGAATATGGAAAGGTCTTTAAAGGCTATCTTTGATAAGGGTGTTGCTTTTGACAACATTGTTAGATTTATTGACGGAACCATGCAAACAGTATGCTGTCCACTGGAGACAAAGATAACTAATCTGTGTTATAAAACGGTTGGAAGTATATTCATGCATTAAAGTTTCAGGCAATTGTAACACCAGATGTCATCACCTCCAGCTTGCTAGGTCCTTTCATTGGCTCACGTCATGACTATTTTATTTATACCATCTCAAAGATTGAAGATAGGTTGAAAGAATACTTGGTCCCAACATCAGACCCAGAGAAGTATTGCGCATTATATGGCGACCCTGTCTACATGTGCTCTGTACATCTATACAGTCCATACATAGGAGGTGTGCTCAATGGTAAAGTCTATAATAAATAATGTGTGTGCATATATACAAGTTCTCAACTATGAATAATAGATCACAACAAGTTTTGTAATAAGTCTATGTCAAAAGTTCGTGTTGCAGTTGAGTAGAAGTTTGGAGAAGTACAAAAGTATTTTAAATACTGCAAATACAAATACACAATGAAGGCAAGAGAAAACAACCTGGCAAAAATCTACTAGCTGTCATTAATATTTAAAAATATGTATCATTGGATTAATCACAAAAAGTTGCTCACTGGTTCCTATTTTAATTTGCTATCACCATCTCTTAAAGACTATATCTCTGGATTGACAAGAGATAAAATCGAAGGAGAAGACATAGAGTAGTGTTATGTAATATACACTTTGATACAAATAAATTGTTTTACTTTTATTTTTTGTCTGTTAATGCTTTTACAAGCTTTTTCATCATCTTTTCTATTCTTGCATTTGACTTTTTCTGTTCACTTGCATACCAAAGCATCTTTTTTTGATACTTCTTTTTCAAGCTTAAAGACCCAAGCATCTTCTGGCAAAATTGTGTTTTCTTGTCCATGTATACATCATATATGACCTCATGCTCATCATCACTAACAGAGACAGTCGAGTCTTCCATGGTGCTATCTTTGCTCTCAACGGTTACATCTCTGTTGTGTGTGACCATGTTTATTGACTTGCCACGTTCCTCTTTGTTCAATTGTTGTTTTTGTTCCCATCTAGCAGAGGATCTTGTCTGCATCAACTTCTTCAACTCGTTCTTTACAATCTTCTTCTTTTAGATAAAATCGTTCTTTTTTGCTTTCATCACATCATACTCCAGTTCCTTAATTGATAAATGCATTCATTGCAAGTTAATAATACATTATGAAAGACATTGAAATTCTGAATAAATTTTATCTTTTCATACACTTGCATTACCACCTTTTCAATTGGACTTCTGTATTGATTAATTCCAGATAAAGAAGTTCTCTCATTTTCATCAAAATGAACTTTGTACCAACATGCATCATACTGTAGAGATTTGTTGTCAGATGCTACAACATTGAAAGCATTGATGATTTTTTGCCATTTGTTTGACATACTTCCTCTGAGGCAGGTAGGAGGAAATATTCTAGCATACTCTTGAAGTAGTACTAGCTCTTTGCCATAAGTCCAGCTATCTTAAGATTCTGATAGGCTGATTGTATGGACAGACTTTTTGCTTTCTTGACCTTTTGGACTTAGACTTGAATGAGGTGGTATGTATTAGCAAATAAGTGAATTTCTTTTGTTTCTTTTGATAGTATTGCTGACTTTCTTTGGTCCCATAGTTGATTAGATATTTATAAATGTATAACAGTAATAAAGATTGTGATTTGTAAAAAAAGATGATGTATGAAATAGAAAAATCGATTTATTATGAGTTTTATACCCAAGACTTGGAATGTTATATTATTATTCTATTACATGAGAAACATAATGACTTTTAGAGATAGTTAATTAATATTTCACTCTGGAATTTTAATATATGTTAGTTAAGAGTCTTATAATAAATTTTATGTAAGGAGTATTAAAAATTAATTATTGTATATGTCTTCATGAATTTATAGGATAAGGTTCTTGCTATTTAACTAGATTAAATCAAAATAGAGAACTTAGACTTATCAAAAAAGAAAGCTGTAGTTGATATAAGAAAAATATATACTCTGATAAGTCTAAGTCAAAATATAAGCTTAATAAACTCTGTTAACAAGCTATCTAATATAAATGCTACTGCTGTAGATACACTTAAATACACACACACACATATATATATATATATACTCAAAATTTTCTCTGGATTAGCAATAATATCTCATAGTTTTATTTCAGTGTCTTAACCAATCCTGTTATAATTTATTTTGACACTTGAATTAGATAATTAGATATAGAAATAAAATGGTGAAATATGATTTTCCCCATTCTCCCTTCCCATAGCTGACCTCACTATCAGAAATCAATTATATATAGTAAAACAGATAGACTTAATATTATTATTTTTTCTGCTAAATTTAAATAAAAAAAGATAAAACAATTATATTTCATAATTTTATTTTTATGTCTAATTATTTAATTATATTATATTTTATAGTTATTCTTTAAAATAATACTTTTATTAGATTACTAAAAATTAAAATATAAAAGTTAGTAGTATCTACTCTAATAAACAAAACAAAACAAAACAAAACAGTTGATTTGTATTAGTTGTATTTAAACATATAAATAACTTTATATTTATAAGTATCTTACTTGTTAATAAGATCTTCTATGATATTTGGCAGTTCTCTATTTGTGAGATAGTATACGCAATGTTGCCCAAGAATTTTCAAATCTGTGAAGAGCAATGTTTTTCAGGGCTACATTCTCTTTGAGACTGTTACTTATCATTGCCTTTTGATCATCTGCCAGACTATTTCATAATAGTATAGAAATATTATTTTCACTGTACTGAGAAAGTGAGTAGTGAAATAGATCTTAAGCAATCCCCCTGCCTTATATATCAATTCAGCTTTGACAAGATTGCCTACAGTAAAATATGTGGCTAATACCCTCTTGAAGCACTTAGTAAACTTATTCTAACCTTCTGACTTCCCATAGAATAACAGGGGTTTGATGTCATAGTCATCAGTTGCAGATGACAACAGAATCATATTCCAAGTATTGCCTCCAGTCAAAAGAGCCAGTTATGTCTTGCTATTTTCAGTCAAAGATTTCAGAATATCTTTCAATAAAACAATCTTAGCTCTTAGTAAAACATTAGAATCTTTCAAGTATGTCAGACGTTAAAATATTTATAAAACTTTATGTGTTGCCATAGTAAAAAATATAGTTGGAAAATAAAATGAAAGAGACAAAGCTGATTGAAAAATCAGTAAGATATAACTTAAAAACAAACAATTAAAACTCTTTTGACTTTTTTTTTCGAGACAATTAATACACTTTTAATTTTTACTACTAACATACTAATATAATAAAAAATATTCTTATCTCTTGAACATTTTTTGCAATCTTATACCTCTATTTCTTTTAACATACAAATATAAACCAAAATAAATATCAAAGATATACTTAACAATGACTCTAAAACCAGAACAAGTAGTCATATGCTCAATGATTCGTTTTTTGTTAAACACTCAAATCGAATTGAGGGTTGTATTATTGTTTAACCCTGTAAAAAATCCAACAACAGGAACAAGATCGCTACTACTGCCCCTATGAACTTTGACAAGTTCTTGGCTGCAGGCAATAACAGCCACAATGAAGCAGAGAGTATGAACATCAATAATGTTCAAGTCAAGTCTGTTAAGGAAAGCAACAAAAACATTGACTGTATGTCTGATAAGAAATAAACAACTAAAAAAAACATTAGTATTAAATATAATTGTATCTAACTTTAAAACCCTAAATATATCAGAAAATGACGATAGATATTCACGTATTCTTAACCCTGAAAAAGCGTACAATATTCCAGTAGAACATGTCATATTTGTATGTGGAAAGGTGGAACAATGAGTATTTTGAGACTCTTTTTTATTGTGTTTATTAAAAGTTCAAGTCAAATCGAACTATCTTAATAAAAGTTATTTTATCTATGGTATTTATATTTATTGAGATATATCCAGTCACCCTGAATATGAGTCATTGTAATGGCTTTGCAATAATAGTTCAAGTAATTCTTGAAGATGATCCAATGATGGGTCAGACACATTGCTATTATGTTTCAGATAGGACTTCATATTGGGTAATCATTTATAACAACCTCTTTGACAGATACTTCTGTCCGGGTTTGTATATGATATCGGATATTAAAGTATTTAAAATACAACATGCATGTCTTCCTCCATTGTGAGATTGAAGAAAAGAGGCTGAAGTCTACAATTTTCGTGATGAACCAGCATATACTAGTTCATCTTGACTATATGATGCGGGATATGGGCCCTCTGTGAGCATACAGCTGTAGGCCAATTGAACAGACAATTAGTGTCTACAGTGCAGCCATCAAGTCAAGAAAAAAAAAACCAGAAAAAAATACAAAGAATCTCTTGCTCAGAAAGGCAGCAATCAATCACTCTTGGTTGCTAACCTGTCATTTGTGCCAAAAATGACAGAAGGATCAGCAACTTCAAGGTTGCAAGTAATGATGTTACTGGTCCTCAACTTTGGTTCAGACCAACTTGAAGCTCTCTGATTGAGTTGGCTGTTATCATTGGCATAGACTGACAGGACTTGGTCTGCAGTTTGGTGCCTTTCTGTGCAAGAGATGACATTTTTTTCTTTGAGGGAAATGATGAAGTGGTTTGCACAAACAAGATGCGGAAAGACTCAGTGATTTATAGAGTCTGGCCCTCTGTTGACAGCAGGCATGGTCGAGCAAACAATCTTACTGTGCTCAACAATATCAGAAAGTAAGTAGCACTAGTTGTATTCTATATTGTTGAATGATATTATTAATCATAACTCAATTATATTTTTTGAAAGGTATGGATTTATTATTAAATTCTTCTCCCAAACTGTCAACAGAGTGACCAGACTCTTTGCCATCATTGACTGTCTTTCCAATGTTCAACACGTGAATCAGAATCTTTTCCCTGCGTGGGATAGCCTGGCACCTCGTGTGGTGAAGGTGGTGGATATGAAGTCTATTGAGGGGATTGCTAGCCTTGTCCACAACTCAAACAACAATGCCATTTAGCATATTATCTGGCACTTGCCAAAATACAACCAATAGTTTTTTTTTCTTTGTCTTTTTCTCTTTCTTCTTTCCATACATATATAAGCATTTAATTTCTTAAAAAAATCACTCAAAACAATAGCAAAGTCTATTGATATTATGATTTGATTTAAAAATTTTCAACACCAGAAAAATTGAATTCATAGTGTGTCTAATTGATTGGCTGTGTTCATGATCTTGATCAAACTTGCAAACAAAAAACAACAGTCTTTCTTCTTTTCTCATTTAAAATGGTTGTCTGAGTTAAACAACCAGAAAAAATATGATTACTGGCACAGAGATTCTAAAAAGGGTTTAAATTGCTCTAAATTTAGAAAGGCTAACAGTAGTTTTAAATACATGCAAAGATTTTACTGATGTGTAGTTTTTTCTTAGAAATCCTTGCACATTATTTTCTACAGTGCGTATGCGACTCATACTTGACCACCCTTAATGCTCCACCCATGTCTTGTGTGTATATAATGAAGCTTTGTTGGATGGTGTCTTTCCCCCAACTTGGATGTCCACCTGCGTGTGTCTTCTCCCAAAAAAGGCGACCTTACCTCCCTTCGGAATTGGCAACCCATTGCCCTTATCAACACTGATGCTAAGGTCTTCACTCGTCTTCTTAACTCTCGCTTGATCTCGGCTGCCACTCCTCTTGTCAATCCCTACCAAACTGGCTTTGTTCAAGGACGATTTATTGCTGATAATAGGATGCTCACTTGAATGGTCATGGCTCAGACACTTCAGGAAAGCTCGACTGGAGTGGGTCTTCTTCTTGATCAGGAGAAAGTGTACAACCGAGTCCATCCTGAATACTTGTGCCGAGTTCTTGATCACTTTCGCTTTCTTAAATCTATAATAACTTGTATCACCCAATTGTTTTTTTCTACACAGATTCAGATCAACATTAATGACTTCCTATCTCGCCCTCTCACACAATTGCATGGCCTCCGTCAAGGCGACCCTCTCTCTCCCATCTTGTTCAATTTGGCTTTTGAACCTTTGTTGCAACGAGTTATAAGTGATCAATCCTTCCTCGGTTTTCGACTTTCTGTCCCTGATAGTGTGGCTACTATTCCTCCTATTAAACTTCTAGCTTATGCCGACAATCTTCTGGTATTTCTCTCAGATCCGGCTCACCTTGCTTGACTCCACACACATCTCACCACCTATTCCGCAATGTCCAATGTGCGTATCAACCTCTACAAAATGCAAGCTTTCTCACTATCTGGTAGTCCTCTCCCCGATTGGTCTTCCACCCTCCGTAGTCATAACATTACTGATTGGCATGACCGCACCTCGCCTGCACCTCTCCATTACCTTGGCTTCCGTTGATTCACTCCAAGGCTCAATGGGACTCATTCTGCTCATCTCTCCTCCAAAGGATTGAGGACAGCTGCAATCTTTACTCATCTCGCTCTCTCCTTTTGGGTAAAGCCACCATTCTAACATCTCTCATACTCTCTCAGCTTTGGCATGTTTTGCGTGTGGTCTCTCTACCTATGTCCTTCTTTCCAAAGATCAGGTCCATCATGAGTAGCTTCCTTCAACGTAGCACCTTCCCCCGATTTCTTTGGATACTTTCTGTCTCCCATGCGTGCAAGGCGGACTTGGTATCATCGATCCTAAGACGCAGTAGAGCACTCTACAACTTTGTTGGCTTCAACCTATCGTCTGCACTTTTTGGTTCGCACCTGGTTTGGTCCCGCGCTGGATGTTCGGATTGTTACAGGCTTCACTTCCATCTCTTTCTCCCTTATTTCCCCTTCTATTTCAAACTATGCATCCTTCTGGATAGTGGGATCTTACCTCTCCTCTACATTTAGTCTTTGCTGTCATTGACCATCTGCTGCACAACTTTGATAATGTTGTGGTAAATTCGACTACTTGCCTTGCTTTACCTCTCTCAGCGGTCACCATTGTCCCTGCTTCCCAAGCACGCTTCCCCCCATCTTGGCAAGATCTTTTGGTTTCCCACCTCTACACCTTTGACCCTGCCCTGGCGTCACTACAGTCCATCTCCATCACCAGCAGCCATCAACACTCTCATGTTATTAATAAGTTCTTTGGCCGAGTTCAACTCAACATTCTCACATTACATTCGATAATTGTTTGTGCTTGTTGCTCTCCTTGTGAACTGACTGAACAATATCCATCTCTGCTCGTTCAAGATGGCACATCCATTGACTTGTTCCCTTTCTTTAATGCACTCATACCTTCTCAGACTTGGGCACGCCTTTCCACACGCACTTTCTGCGGGCTGTGCTCCCACCATCTCGTCCGTGCCCGCTATTTCGATCCCCCTTGTGGCTCTCGTCATTGGCAGAAATTTTGGTCTTTCCCCCTTCTCCTGGTGGCTCGTAACATTTGGTTTTGTGGCCTACATGACAAGATTTCTTGCCGAACCCATCTTCACTCTTTGCTTCCTCTCGCCTTTCCCTCTCCTACCTGCTCTATTTACTCTCTCTCCTCCGACTCCCAAGGCCACTTCTTCTTCACTTGTCCTCTCAAAAACGCGGTGTGGATCGGCATGTGGCTGGAATTCTTTGGCACAATACCTACTCCAACCGCACTACACAACGCTTTTCACTTCTTTTCTTTTCCCTCTTCCTTAAACTCGTTTATTCCCCTTTCTACCGTCTTTGGATGCACCCTCCTTGCGATATGGCGTCACCACTGAACTTTCATTTTTGACAATTCACCATTTGTTCCTTCTGCTGTTGTTGGTACGGCTCACAAGACCCTAACCCGCATTTGCCAAGAATTAGACCTCAATCCTCTCTTTTAAAACTTATACTTATATTTATTATAACTAACAAAAACAAAAACCCTAAAAAACATTAAAAAAGCTAGAAAACCCTCCAAACAAATGCTGTGATCACTCTTTTGATTATCTTCTTTTGAGTATCACCAGACCCCCCAAGCCTAATAAAATGCTTCTTATGTGGTGATCCAGACACTTGGATGTTGGATTTATCACATATAAGAACATATTCATATTGGGATAGCGTAGTAGCTATCATCTTGTCAGTATAATATATATATAAACGATTAAGTAATCAGCCCAATAATTATTACAGTTAGTACTGTAGATAATATCTTAAAGATTGTTAAGATAGTTATATCATACTGCCGGGTAAACTGTGTCAGATCGATATGGAGCTAATTTATTAGGAAGTCCTAAAGCTCTAGTATAAAAGAGAAAAGAATAGCTAAGAGCTAAAGAAGTACGATTTATGACTTGATGTCATAATTGTAACACCGACACTAGTTAAGCAGTAAATACACTCTAATAACCAAATATAGTAAAGGAAGAAAGCCTTAAGAAACTAAGACGTAATGACAAGAGCAGATTGTGTTTTCTTATAAAAAGGGACACTTTTTATTTATGAATAAAATAACTTATATACAGTCTCAAAGTATTTCTATATGTCTCGATTATCAAATTTATTATTTTTCTATTGTTTTGTACCTGAAATACCACACCTTACAAACAAAAAATCTACAGTGCGTACTTTACCCTTTGGATTACACTTATATTCAGCAAATTAAAAAGCATAAATTTCGGATAGTGTTACACATATCGAACCAAACTATCTTCAGATATGTTATATTATGTATTTATATCTATTCATTTAATCAATTCAAGTCTTGGCTTTCTATAACTTTGGATTAAAATAGTATATAGATATCTGTGTGTCTGTTAGAAGTTTTAGCTGAATTGAAAAGATTGATCATGAGAAGACTAATGTAATATCTCAAAAATTTACATTTTTTCAATAAAATAAAATATTGCATTTGCTTGTAAAATCACTTTTTTCGCATTTTTTTCTATAAAACTTTTACTGAATTCATATGTTATCTGAATACATGTAGTTAGAGACTTTTTTTGGTCTTTTATATTTTTTTTGTATTTTAGTTAGAATATCTCATGTACATGTTGTAAGGAAATGATAGAAAGAGTTTTTACAGAAGAAATAAAAATACAAAATAAAAACATGAATTTTTTAAAGATATATTAGCTTAACTGCTATGCAAACTTTTGTAGGAATACAAGACTTTATTACCTTTATATCCATTATAAAAGTGTTTGAAAAAAAATGCAAATTACATGGCTTATAATCTTTTCCACTTAAATTATATAAAATGAAAATATACGATTTATGTCTCAAGTTAAATCATGAATATACAACTCATTAGCGACCACATATATGTGATTTGTTGACGGGAACCAAATAGATCTTATTTTTTTTCAAATAAATAGGTGTGTGTGCATGGCTCTTCCCATTACTCCACCGGATCCACTTGGGGACCCCCCCTCAACTTTCGACTCACCCTCACCTCACTCCACCACCCCATCCAGCCCCACCACCTCACAACGCACGTACTCGGTCGCTGCTACTCTCGCACCTACTGCTCTTCTTCCTCACCAACCTCGTATCATATATGGCGATTCCATTGATGGGTTATCACGCATCTGGTGTGCTGGTACCGCACCCCACACTGTTTTTTATAACGCTCCTCTTCCCACTTCTCCTCTCCACAATGCCTTCTGGCATGCCCTGAAAAGCTCTGCTTTTGCAGACTCTATCATAAAAGTTACTCTTCCCAGTCGTTCTGCTCCTACTGCTCTCGAGGTCCAATTCCTTGACGCTGTTTCCTGTGCTATTATGTGTGTGCATCCTATTTTTGTTTCTGATCAACACTTCCCAGCCTGTATTGCCGTTGCTCCTGGTCGCAAGGTATATCGGGTAACATTGTCTCGACTCCCTGGTGTTCGTTATCCTGATTCAGTAACTGGACTTCAACGGTGCCTTGCCCCTTTCGGAATTGTACGCGAAATTGTGGTCTGCGAGAGTTATACCTTTTTCGATGGCACTGGCAGTGTCCTCCTTGAACGACCCAACCCACCAGCTCAGCAAGTCGCCAAGCTTGCCTACGAGATTTCTTACAACGACAACACTACCATCCTTGGAGAATGGGCACATATGGGCTCCCATTGCAAATACTGCAAACAAATGGGCCACGACATTGATGCCTGCCCTGCACACTCTTCAGAAACACGCACCTGTCATAGCTGCAACAAGCCTGGCCATTTGCAAGCTAACTGTCCCCACGTCTCCGAACCTGGTTGTAGGTCAGCAACCACTAACAAACGCTCTCGCCACCTCAACCGTGTTCCTCACCAGAATCGCATTGTGCTGCCCCGCCCCCTGACAACTAATCTCCCCACTGGTACATCTGCGGATTCCATCCACAATCCGGCTAACAAAGCTTCATCTTCTCTTCTGCCAATTGAACCACAACGCAAAGCCAAGGTAGTCAACCATGCTGAAGAGGAAACACCATCCGACAACACCACCTATATTGTAGATCCTGAAGACGACACAATGCTTGACGCCCTTCCAGAACAGGTAAATTCTGACAAAGCCCAATTGCAACAGGAGCCTGAGAAGGCCGCCAATGAGCAGGCTCTCCTGGAGGCTATTCAGGCTACTGAAACTGAAAGAGTACGTCGTCTTACCCGACATATGCCCAACCGCAACACGAGACGCAGTCTTTCCACGTCCCCCACACGCAGGAACACTGCCTCTCGTAACTCTTCACTCTCCCCTCCACCCCGGTTCACCCATCAAGCCCTCGGCGCAGAGGCCAAATCTAACCAATGATTACCATTGGAACTATGAACTGCAGAGGCCTCCCCAAGGTGGGACGACCCGAAACACGCTCATTATTTATACGCCACTTACGTTCGAAGGGAATTGATCTCCTCGCCCTTCAAGAAACCCATGCCCACTCTATTGCTCTTCAAGACACATTTACTATGAAATTCCAATCTTCTTCTTCTCTTTGGTCTCCTCATTGTGGACTTGTATGCCTTTCAAAAGATATTATGCTTACTGATCCATTGTTTAGTATATGCGGCCGCTGCATCACTGCTATGGTATCTCATGCACAGTTTATATTCAACTCTTTCCGTATCTGTGTCATTTATGCTCCCGCTACTTATCGTGAACGACATTCGTTCCTCACCTCTCTTCTTCACAATCCTCTCTTGATACCCGCATCACCCACTAATATGATTCTATTGGGCGACCTCAATCACTCACTCACTACTACCACCGCCCATAGCACTCCACCTCGCCCATGGCTTCAATTTCTCACTGACTGCCTTGTGGACTGTGTGACTCCCACCGGCAAGGTACCTCAACCTACCTTTCACCATGGGATATCATCCTCCACAATTGACTACATATTCGCCTCCTCCGACCTTGCTTCTTGTGCCACCTCACACTCGGTGGAATATATACACTCACAGTGGTCTGACCATTGTCTGGTCACAGTCGTACTCTCCCTTCCTTCTTCTCGGACCAGTGGTAAAGGCCTTTGGCGGGCGAACCCTCGCCTTGCTCAGCTCACTTCCTTCCAGGACAAACTTTCTGTCTTTCTTTACACCTTCGTTCCCACTCTCCCCGCCTCCAATTCCCCACAGACAAACTGGGATTTAGTCAAGTCTGAAGTGACTAGATTCATTAAACGTTTCTCTTGTCGAATCTCACCTTCCCTGTCCACTCTAGAAGCACAACTTCAAAGTCGGCGTGATAAGTTGATTCTTTGGTTTCGCCATCAACCCGCCCAGAACTTTCAGCTTCCTGTAATTGAACGCAAGCTCCAACAGGTTCAACTGGAATGCATAGAAATTCTTGCTCTCCGGGCTGGCCAACAATGGCGCGAACAGGGTGAAACCTCTGCCAGTTTCCTTAAACGCACCATTGCTACACGTCAGTCCAAAAAACTCATCACCAGCCTACGCCATCCTGTTACCGACTATCTTTGCACTGAGCCTGACAGCATGACGGAGGCTGCTGCCGCCTTCTATGAGACTCTCTACTCTCCTGAGCCCATCACTTCTGCTGCTGTTGACGATCTTCTCCAGAATCTTCCTGACAATCTTGCCCTCACTGATCTCACTCAACATTGCCTCACTCGCAAATTTTCCCTCGACACTATTCGTCAAGGTGCCTCTCGATCCCCCAATGCCAGTAGTCCTGGTCCTGATGGATTGCCATACGAGATTCTGCGACTCATACTTGACCACCCCGAATGCTCCACTCTTGTCTCGCGTGTATATAACGAAGCTTTGTTGGATGGTGTCTTTCCCCCCACTTGGATGTCCACCTGCGTGTGTCTTCTCCCGAAAAAAGGCGACCTTACCTCCCTTCGGAATTGGCGACCTATCGCACTTATCAACACTGATGCTAAGGTCTTCACTCATCTTCTTAACTCTTGTTTGATCCCTGCTGCCACTCCTCTTGTCACTCCCTACCAAACTGGCTTTGTTCAAGGACAATTTATTGCTGATAATAGGATGCTCACCTGGATGGTCATGGCTCAGGCACTTCAGGAAAGCTCGACTGGAGTGAGTTTTTTTCTTGATCAGGAGAAAGTGTACAACCGAGTCCACCCAGAATACTTGCGCCGAGTTCTTGATCACTTTCGCTTTCCTAAATCTATAATAACTTGTATCACCCAATTGTTTTTCTCTACACAGATTCAGATCAACGTTAATGGCTTCCTATCTCGCCCTCTCACACAATTGCGTGGCCTCCGTCAAGGCGACCCTCTCTCTCCCATCTTGTTCAATTTGGCTTTTGAACCTTTGTTGTGACGGGTTATAAGTGATCAATCCTTCCTCGGTTTTCGACTTTCTGTCCCTGATAGTGTGGCTACTATTCCTCCTATTAAACTTCTAGCTTATGCCGACAATCTTCTGGTATTTCTCTCAGATCCGGCTCACCTTGCTTGACTCCACACACATCTCACCACCTATTCCGCAATGTCCAATGTGCGTATCAACCTCTACAAAATGCAAGCTTTCTCACTATCTGGTAGTCCTCTCCCCGATTGGTCTTCCACCCTCCGTAGTCATAACATTACTGATTGGCATGACCGCACCTCGCCTGCACCTCTCCATTACCTTGGCTTCCGTTGATTCACTCCAAGGCTCAATGGGACTCGTTCTGCTCATCTCTTCTCCAAAGGATTGAGGACAGCTGCAATCTTCACTCATCTCGCTGTCTCTCCTTTTGGGGTAAAGCCACCGTTCTAACATCTCTCATACTCTCTCAGCTTTGGCATGTTTTGCGTGTGGTCTCTCTACCTATGTCCTTCTTTCAGAAGATCAGGTCCATCATGGGTAGCTTCCTTCAACATGGCACCTTCCCCCCGATTTCTTTGGATACTTTCTGCCTCCCACGCATGCAAGGTGGACTTGGTATCATCGATCCTAAGACACAGCAGAGCGCTCTACAACTTCGTTGGCTTCAACCTATTGTCCGCGCTCCTCGGTCCCCACCTGGTTTGGTCCCGCGCTGGATGTCCGGATTGTTACAGGCTTCACTTCCATCTCTTTCTCCCCTATTTCCCCTTCTATTTCCAAGTATGCGTCCTTCTGGATGGCAGGATCTTACCTCTCCTCTACATTTAGCCTTCGCTGCCATTGACCATCTGCCACACAACTTTGATAATGTTGTGGTAAATTCGACTACTTGCCTTGCTTTGCCTCTCTCAGTGGTCACCATTGTCCCTGCTTCCCAAGCACGCTTCCCCCCATCTTGGCAAGATCTTTTGGTTTCCCACCTCTACACCTTTGACCCTGCCCTGGCGTTGCTACGGTCTATCTCCATCACCAGCAGCCACCCACGCTCTTGTGTTATTAATAAGTTCCTTGGCCGAGTTCAACTCAACACTCTCACATTACATTCGATAATCGTTCGTGCTTGTTGCTCTCCTCGTGAACTGACTGAACAATATCCGTCTCTGCTCGTTCAAGATGGCACATCAATTGACTTGTTCCCTTTCTTTAATGCGCTCGTACCTTCTCAGACTTGGGCACGCCTTTCCACACGCACTTTCTGCGGGCTGTGCTCCCACCATCTCGTCCGTGCCCGCTATTTCGATCCCCCTTGTGGCTCTCGTCATTGGCAGAAATTTTGGTCTTTCCCCCTTCCCCTGGTGGCTCATAACATTTGGTTTCGTGGTCTACACGACAAGATTTCTTGCCAAGCCCGTCTTCACTCTTTGCTTCCTCTCGCCTTTCCCTCTCCTACCTGCTCTATTTGCTCTCTCTCCTCCGACTCCCAAGACCACTTCTTCTTCACTTGTCCTCTCAAAAACGCGGTGTGGATCGGCATGTGGCTGGAATTCTTTGGCACAATACCTACCCCAACCGCACTACACAACGCTTTTCACTTCTTCTCTTTTCCCTCTTCCTTAAACTCTTCTATTCCCCCTTCTACCGTCTTTGGATGCACCCTCCTTGCGATATGGCGTCACCACTGGACTTTCATTTTTGACGATTCACCATTTGTTCCGTCTGCTGTTGTTGGTATGGCTCGCAAGACCCTAACCCGCATTTGCCAAGAATTAGACCTCAATCCTCTCTTTTAAAACTTATACTTATATTTATTATAATTAACAAAAACAAAAACCCCCCAAAAACATTGAAAAAGCTAGAAAACCCTCCAAACAAATGCTGTGATCACTCATTTGATTATCTTCTTTTGAGTATCACCAGACCCCCCAAGCCTAATAAAATGCTTCTTACAAACAAAAAATAAATAAATAGGTGTGGTCACAATTTTTTATTTATTTTATATTGTGCGTTTATTGTGTGAGAACTACCAGAAAAAAAGATATTGCATTGAATATGAACTTTTCAAAATGTTAAGTAAAATTCTAGAGCACTCTATAACTATACTTATAGGAGCTTTACTATCAATAAGTAAGATATTACATCAACCATTTTTTTGAACACAATTATTATATCGCCACGTTTGGGACACGACATTATGCCTCTTGGGCACAACGTTTACAAATTGTATATTTTGTATGTACTGCATATAAAAAAGAAAACTTTTAACATAGTTACTACTTAAGTATGGCCAGAAATTCCAATACATTGGATGAAGAAATACTTTGTTCATGAATTAAATGATTTATACTTCAATAAATTGATTTTACTAATATAAGCTACTTTGAATGGTTAGGGACCAGATAAGATTGCTGAATTCCGTGCCACAAGTCACGTTTTATGAGACTGGTAAATGGTAAAATGTAGACATTAAATAAATGTAGTACTCCAGTGAAATTTTATGCCTTAGAAGAAAAGAGTTGGGCCCAAATAGTTCGCATAGCGTTATTCTATTCAAACTGTAATATAATAATCTGACAGATGTTCAGTTTCTCTTTTACTTTGAATACGATTGGTATTAAAAACATATTAAATAAGCATAAATATCATAAAAATTCTCAGGACACGGATGATTGTTTAAGACAAAATACCAATAGAATGTTAAAAGAAGAAACTAAAAAAGTAAAAAAGAAAAAGAAAAAGAAAAGACGCCCATAAACAAATCCAGCTTTAATTTTTTGCGCACAAATGTACATCACGGAGTTATACTATATCATATAGATTTGCTGGTCATTATACGTATCTGTATATAATAATAAAGAAATAGGTGGAGAATACAACGCTTGTAATGGAATGTGTTGACGCAAAAGAGGGTTAGACCCTGTTAATCACTGCAAGATAGTATTTCATTTGAAGATCGCCAGCCTTTAGAGGGAGGAAAGGGGGAATCTCTCATTTAATTAGCGATAAAATACATGTTTTTGTTAAAGTGTGTATTTAATAGCTGCTGACGGAGTGTAGTAGCTAGAGGCATACTTTTTGATTTGTCTCTTTTTAGAAACCAGTAATTATATATCGCTATGTCTGTTTCCTAAGTTCAAGCTTTTGTTTTTTGGTGGGGATGGTAAGATTTTAGAGCTAATTTTTGTGGTCCAAACAGATAAAAGCATTGGTTTAAATATGTAAATAAAACAAGCCAATACTAAACAGATCAAAACAGAGCAAAGCAAAGCAAAGAAAAGCAAAATAATAATAATACTCTTTGACACATGAATTTTGAATATCTATGCATACAAACGCTTATAATGTAATGATTAATGAGTAGACGGAAACTGATAAACACATACAATTGTACACTGGGTATCTGGTAGAAATCAAAGCTATCAAATTTGCTTTTGTTATGTAGACATAAGGAAGAACTAGAGATGGTTGAATGTTGGGCTCCAAGTGAGTCGCGATAGTAAATATTGCATCAATATATACATATTTATGTACGTATCTATGCATAGAAATATAGTACAAGACACCTTTATAATATAATACAAAAAAAAAGAAAAGGCCTTGATTTTAGGGTTGTATTTCAGCTATTTTTTTTTCTTTTTTTTCTCTTGTACTATATGTCGAGTACTTGATTTGGGGATTTGTCGCTTATGTCTTTCTTTTCTATCCAACTATAAGCTTTGTGATCACAACCAAGAAAGACAAAAAGAAATATCTAAAACGCTGCCCCACAGTAATCTGTCCTCCCTTTTTTCATATGTTTCTGATTATTGGTACTCGTGACTCTTTCATCTAGTACACCATTGATCCAAAATTTGAAATAGAAATAATCGGCGACTCCACAAGTGTATTAAAGAAAACCAAAAAGCCAAAAAAGCTATAAGCTCAAAAGGGATATATTCAGAATCACTGCAAGCTACGATCAAAACAAATAAAAGTAAAAATACATTTTTTTTAAAGAAAAAAAAATTAGGGTGATGATAAACAGGCATAAAGCACGAGCATAGCATGTATAAATGATATAAATATAAAAACTTCGAAAATGATAATAAGTTTCTAAACCAAAAAATAAAAAAGTAAAAAATAAAAAAAAGCTCCTCTTCTTTCTTTTCTCTTCTTTATTCACTTCATTTCCTCCATTTCATTTTATCCATGTCAGCCACAGAAGTATTGAAGTTGTGCCAGTTACAGGGCTGCTGCATTTCTGCGCCTCAAGAAAACGGCGATCCATTATTGGCACCCAAAGAAACCTTGGTTTACCAAAGCACATCCCCTCCGCCTGCAATCTTTCGAGAGTTCTGTAGCTACGTTCTTGAGCTCCCTTTAGTTTCTACTTTAATAGCCAAGAAGCTATGGGCACGGTTCTCCCATGAGCCAAGAAAACCAACCTGGGATCTAAAGACAACTGTGTTCACAACCTCTATGCAAGTCATATGTGAGCATGGTATGCAAAGCAGCGTGGACTTCTGGCGATTCATGGTTTCTGCACCTACTTTTCTTACTCCGTTGACCTGCCTTATTGAGGATGGCACCTTCCGTGTCAGAAGACGCCAACAATTGCGGGGTATCCTTAAGGACGCCGATGAAGCCGAAGACGGAACGCGTCTGATCAGCGGAGAGTGGATCCAAACAGGCACCATTCAAGGCATTTGGACTAATTCGCGTTTTGCCAAAAGCCTCCAAGATCCCTCGACCATGCTATCACTACCGGTCTATCCAAAGGGCGAGACTCGCCCTCGATCCACTGAAAAAGTCATTCTTTACATTCATGGTGGTGGGTTTTGCACCATGAGTGCCCAGACTCACCGTAACTTTACACATAAAATATGCCGGGTTACAGGAAGAAGAATCTTGGGTAAATCTATCTTTCATGACTTTTTTCTTTAATTCTTTATACTTTAGTAGATACTTGTATGTCTGTATATTTATGCTTACATCAGCTTACCATGGTCCATTCTGAAATACTTATATGTATATATTGATTTAATATATTGCTATATTCAGCTATCAACTATCGGCTTTCTCCAGAGGTTATATTTCCTGGGGCATTGTACGACACTGTACAAGCTTTTCTCAACCTTATTGATCCACTATTTGGGGAAAACATGGACCCCTCCAATATACTTCTAATGGGAGATTCAGCGGGCGGGGGCCTTTGCATGTCCACTATACTTTACTTACGAGACCATCATCTGCCTATGCCAGAAGGCGCTGTCCTTTTGTCGGTATGGGGTTTCTTTCTTCGCTTTTTCTTCTAACACTGTATCCTTCTAGCTCAATCTTTATCTTACAGAAGATTAGAACAATCACAAAAGCGACTTTACTAAATATATATATATATATATTGAATTATTGTTATAATTTATAGCCTTGGGTAGATCTCTCTTTTTCACACATGAGTTGTGATGATTTGCCTGTGTTTGATTACCTACCATTACCACCCAAAACCGAAACACATCAGAACCCAGCTTTTCACTACCTTGGAGCAGAGCAATACAAGACTATGAGAAAGCATCCTTATGTCTCTCCACTATTTGCCGAAAACTTTGAAAATCTTCCACCACTCTTATTCCAGTCTGGTGGATGTGAGGCACTCAGAGACGAAATCAGGGCTATCGTTGAAAAGATCAAGGCTTCAAAGACATCATCCGTTCACTATGAAGAGTACGAGGTAAGAAATAATAATAATAATATATAGTCTCCTTGTTTTTTTTTGGAAAAATATATAAATTCGCAAACCCACTAAATATTGCAACCGATTAGGATATGATTCATGTATTCCAAGCCTTCCCGCTACTAAAGTCGCAAGAAGCTTTGGAAAATATTGGCTGGTGGGTAAAGGTCGGCCTCTCTCTCTTAGCTCAGAGAAAATCGTATTCAGAGACCCCATAACTACAAATATATTAGTATTCTTTTTTTTTGTTTTAATACAAACAACACGCACCACATATCCCACCTACTTACCTACTTACCTGCCAATATATATAAGCTACATAATAAAGAAATCATTTTTTTAAAAAGAAGAAAGTATCCTTGGTCCGAATTCTTTACACTCTAAAGTTTTATTAAAATCGAAGAATAATATTACACCTAGTTTTGAATTATATATGTATACATATATAAATATGTATATATATTTGTTATATTTTATTTTATTTTATTCTTGGGTGGAGAGTTTATTTATTTCCACAAGCCATTTGTACGTTTTCTACGGACCATTGGGCCTGCTACCATGATTCCTACAATAAGACCTACGATGGTTAACAGAAGCTGAGACTTGGAGAAATCCTCACTCAAGACATCAAATTGCTTGCTAGGTGATGAACGAGTGTAGAATGTATCGAGACCATACGCGAATACAAGTGAAGTCGACTCAAGAAGAGCAGGAGAAGTAATGATATGATTTATACCAGCAACCTGTGTAAGTGTTTTTAAAAATATACACATTAGTGAGTAAGGAAGGCTTTTTTTGTGTCTTTTTTTTACCTGTTCGTTATATGATAAGAATGAACGGCGCTCATCAGGAATTGGAGCGTAGGGCATCAAGCCTTCCTCAGTATCATCCTTGCTAGGTTTATCCATAGGACGACGAGGGTCCAAAAGTCGCTTGGTAACACCCAAGATCTGATCAGATTCCAGACCGACTATATGAAACAAACAAACCAATACATATATGTATGTATGCATGTATATATGATTAGTCAAGACGAAATAAACTTCTTACCAAAAAAACCAAGGGAACTTACAGATGATTTCACGGTTAGATACACCAAGTCTTGTGGTAGTAACACCCATCGTACGAACAGGATAAGGGAATGTAAATGCAGAAGACTGAACGTAGGGCTTGATATCTTCAAAGGAAGAAAACTCGGTACTAATAATGTATTTCATAGAACAAGTAAATTACTCTCGCCCAAAACATTACAAAAAAAAGTAGATATATATAATATCTTTCATTCATTTGTTATTTCTTACCTCACTACACGTTCGTTTTCCTTTTCTCCCTCGTAAAGCTCCATAACTACGGCAACGTAACCGTTTGTCAGAGGACCGTTGCTCCAGTAGTGGTAAACAACCCAGTTTTCACTCTGGACTACATGAACTTCGTTGTGAATAGTGTCGGCATTTTGATGAACGGCCTCATAAAGAATCGATCCTTTGACTGCATCAACAACACGAACCAAAAGTGTTTCGGTTTCAGGAATTGCGGTGATGACGGTGAACATGTGAGGATTGAGATATTTATAAAGCACATTGCGGTTGCCCAACGAACGACCCAAGGAAGCAACCTTTTCGTCCGGTTGACGGCTTGCAAGAGCAACAACCTTTTCTTCAGCAGGGAATCCAAGTGTCCAGACGGCGGATGCGGTAAGGCTTCCACGATATCCTTCAACAATCTGGTAACCACGGAACTCTCCGCCTTGCTTTGACTTTTGATGAGTGAAGTAAAAATTGGGAATAAACTTTGTGAAAGCCTCACGCGAGCCAGTGGTATCGGGGTAGATGTAGATGCGGCTAGTACCAGCCTCGTAGATCGCCAGCACCTGTGTATGCTCTTCAGGATCTTCAACCGGCAAGCGCATAACCTTGTCCACACCAGCTTCGGTGATCAACACCGATTCAAAGAATTCTTCTGCCTCTGGAATCTGGGATACATAATCCTCTCCAGTAATCGCATTGAGACGGTAAAAGTGGTTGTAGATATAACCACCATCATTCTGGTGACCGATTGCCACAATCAAGGGTGGGAACTTTACAGCAGAGTTGCGAACCACAAATACATGATCAAATTCGACATCAGCAAAGTATCTGCTCCAGATAATTGCACCTTTATTAGCCGAATCCTGAGCAATGACCTTTCCGGTATTTGTGACAGACAACAACAGTTTGCGGAAGCCAAAGTTGTCGCGATAAAGATCGTCATCCTCATTAGTTTTCTGTTGCTGGTGGTATGATTGGTTTGTCCAGCAAGATTGGGCAGCCAGAACTGCAGCAGGATTGGCTTTTTGTTGAGCTGGTGGGCTAACGACACCCATGACTCGCTCAATGGCCCAGGAGGGAACCTTGCGAAGCTCGGCAACATGGGTAGTCAAACGGCGGATATAGCGAGTGACCGGTCCAACAACTGCCTGTTCCTCAGGAGTCTCTGAAATCTCATCGGCCATTTGTGTCCAGCGCTGCTTCTCAGGTAAATCAAGGAATTCTGAATCAATCGCATGGGCCATTGCTTCTTCACGCGACCAGACAATACCATCTTTGCTATAAACAAAAGTAGAGCCACTTGCGGTCACAATAAAGATGCGGAAATCGGAAAGATCGAGAATCTTGGCGTGAGCAATATCACCAGTCAAAGTAAAATCGTGGTAGATGTGAATCTGGTGGGTTCCGATAGAAGGATCGTTGTTCAAGACATCAACAGCAAATGTATCTTTTGAAGTTGTGGAGAATACGGCAACATATGAATCTGAAACATCAACATCATCGAATGATTTCTATAGGATTTGTACGTACAATTAAAATAATTAAGGTCCATAAATGTTTATTAATATACTCTCTCTATATTATTTTGTTGGCTTTAATACTTACGCGAACACCTAGGTTCTTGACCAATTCCAAAGAGCTACCGTCAGCAGAAATACGGAATGCAGCAGCAGTGGCACCAATAAGTTCATCTAATTCAATTTCTGCACCGAACACAAAGGTCTCTAATCCAGGCTTGCAAGCGGAAGGAATCAAATGAAGAGACTCGAGAGAGGCAACTTCAAAAGAGTCAATAGAACCAACAAGTTCCTAAATTTACGTCAAATAATAGTAATATTAGAGACTCGTTATTCACTCCCTCTTTTTCTAACACAACTACATATATATTTAAATTACCTTTGCGGTTGTAATAGCCACTGTAGAAGTACCGATTTCATTCCATTTAATATCATCATGATCAATCCACATAATGTAGTTTCCAATGACAGAGATCTCATCAGCCTTGACACGGCAAGGGATCTGTGTAGTTGTCAAGACCTCTCCTGTAGCCGCATTTAAAGCTGTGGAGTAAATAGTGGATGTTCCGTCGTATGTAATAACAAAAAGTGTTTCGGCTAAAGAGTGAAGAGCAAGGACGTTTCCGGTACTTTTATATTGTTTATAAAAGAAGAAGAAGCAAAAGAAGTATCATGTATATTGTGTTATTTAACTTGATCATATACAAATACTCACCCACCCACAAACACACACATACACACACATATATATATATATACATATACACGTACACTGTTCCAAAGAAAAAGAAAGAAAAAAAGAAAATATATCTTACCCATTTTCTAATTCCCAAGTCCACAAGTCTTTTGCATTATCAGATAGCTTGACAAGTGTCTTTCCATCAAACAAAGCTACATGATCATCCTCCAAAACAATGATATTGAATTGACCGGGTTGACCACCTTGACCAGCATAACGCTCCCACACTAATGTTCCAGTAGTACGATCCCAGTATTGGGCATGTCCAGCCTCATCAGTCAATGTAAGGATACCTTTTTTTAATAAAAACAAGTTTGCATATACAGATAAATGTACATATGTAAAGAAGAAGGGAGAATTAATATACATATAATGTATTCAAGTTACTTCTTTCAATGAGCTTTTTTTTCATGTTTTTTTTTTTAAAAGAAAGCATTTCTTTCTTTTGCTCTTACCACCATTGGTAATCTTGGCGTGGGTAATAGTCTCTTCCAATACTTGGCGCCATTCTATAAAATGATGTGATGTGATGAATAAGAATCATACAATTTCTTTTTCGCAAACATAATTCATCACCAAAGAAAATGAAAGCAAAAAGAATTGTTGTATCATCATCTTACCCAACTCGCCATTATCGATGTTCAATGATGCCACTACATTGCGTTCAGTAACAACAGTGATGTGAGATGAGTCGAGTTTGGATGACCAACGCGTCTTTCCAATCCAACTCTGATGCCTGTAATAACAACACAATTAATAAGAGATATAAGTATATACATATCATAAACAGTTAGATGACAAGGTTTACCAGTCGAATACACCGGCCTGTGACTTATAGAGAGCTGATACGGGTGTAATGCATAAAAAACATAATAAGCCGAGAAGAAGCAAGATCGGCCTGGACCTATGAGTGATCGTGTCCATTGCTCGATATATTTATATATATATATTCTTTTAAAAATATATATATATATGTATTCTTCTTTTATTTTTGGTCTTCTTGTTTCCACTTTTTTTTTTTTATATTCTTCTTTTTCTGGTTTAATTCAAGTACATCTTTAAAGAAGTCGGAGTTCATTGGTGACGTCGAGTCCAATCAAGTCTCATAAAAAAAGATTGGGGGGTTTTTTTTGTGAGACCGAAAGCATTGATTTTATTTATTTATATATTTATTTTATTTTTTTTGATTATTTTTTTTTGAAAAATAAAAGCACATTTTTTCTGAGATTAAATAATGAGTATATTTGATAGGCCAAAAATTAGAGCCTTGACTTAATTTATTTATATTGTAGGAGGATTTTTAATATGTGTATTCGAGAGAGAAAGAGAGAAAATAAGCGCAAGTTGCATAAACGTTTCTTTACTTAAACTCTTACATAATAAAGAATGTCATTCAAGGTAATAATGTACCTCATTAAATCACCAGCCAGACAGCCTTTTATTTTACTCTTTTTTACCAACAAGACCAAAATCTGTACAGTTTTTATCACAAAAAGTAGCACAGCTTATCGATGAGGAACTCATGGGAGCTTCAGGCGGGTTTTCAGTCGATCAGCTCATGGAGTTGGGTAAGTTGATGCACACTCTCAAAAAGATTATGTTTTCTTCTTTACTGTTGTTGTTACTGCCTTTGCTCTTACTATTGCTCTTATACGAAAACCAAACTAAATAGAAAAAAAATAAAGAGAAGAAGAACAAGGAAAAAAAATGAATTTCAACAAAGACATTAATGGAAATCTATTTATTCTTATTATAGCTGGACTTAGTGTTGCTCAAGCTGTTCAGAAAACTTATAACAGCGAGAAATATTCCCGTGTTCTTGTGTGTGTCGGTCCAGGTAAATCAAATAAAAACAATAAGGAATTAACACAACTCAAGCCTTAATTTTGCTAATATCTATACTACTACTAATGATAATAATAATCATAGGAAATAATGGTGGTGATGGTAAGGACAAGCAAACAATAGCTTTTTATATATTAATTTTGTTTATTTAGGACTGGTGGCTGCTCGTCACCTGTATCATTTTGGCTACAAACCATCATTATATTATCCCAAGCAACCCAACAAAGATCTCTATCAACGTCTTGTAAAGCAATGTCAGAACCTGGGCGTGCCTGTTTATGAATCGGCATTTGTATCTCATCTCAACGAGGCTGATGTGGTAATCGATTCGGTTTTTGGATTTAGCTTCCATGGAAACCAGGTGCGCGAGCCATTTAAAGAGATCGTACAGGCTTTTCAGACCACTTCTTTGCCGATTGTATCGGTAGACATACCTTCTGGATGGGACGTAGAGAAAGGACCTTCTGGAGAGGCAACATTCCAGCCAGATGTTCTTGTGTCTCTCACGGCCCCAAAGATTTGCGCAGAGTTTTTTAAAGGCAAACATCATTTCCTGGGTGGTCGCTTTGTTCCCCCTCTTTTGGCCAAGAAATACGGATTCCAGGTTCCTCATTTCCCAGGTGCTGATCAAGTAGTTGAACTAAATTAGCCGCCCACATCTCCATTCTTTATTTTATATTTTTCTTAGAGTGGAGTGAGAGGTTTCTTTCATAACACTTGTCATCCCTAGATACAGACTATTGCTTCTTGATATATATATGGGTGTGTGAATAAATGTTTTTCTTTTTGTATATGCTATATATATGATATGGGCTTAGGGTCTATATAGTATGTATTATGTTGTAGCTTAAAAGATATTTTTCTCTTTTATTGGTAAAGACAGTAGGAGTGCTCAAGTATTAAGATCAACATAACCAAAGAAAAAGTAAGAGAGAGAGAGAGAGAGAGAAAAAAAAGATTAAAGAAGTGTGGAAAATGATTCATAACAAAATGATGATATATTTGTGTCAACACTTATAAAGATTATATGTTTTGTACAAACACATACACAGATGGAATGTATATATATATACTATTTTATTTTTGTGGTTTAAATGGCTTATGTCTCTGTTTTGATTACACAAAGTAGGTTAGCTATATCATCATGATTCCAAAGGGATGCTGATGGACCAAAAAGAAAAAAAAAGGTATATCCAATAAGTAAGTACAAAAGCTCACTCAAAGTATACAAGAATATATATATATATATATATATGATGTACTTGCCTAATTCACAGGCTGTTCTTCCCTGCTTGTCACGTAGACTTTGGTCTGCCCCTACTCTTAAAAGGAAGCGCACAGTCTCAAGATGGCCTTCTCTCGAGGCATGCATTAACGGAGTCCAATGGTCCCATGTGTCGAGCGCATCCCAGCTTAAGCACTGTGCCTTTTTGGACAGAATATCAAGTATATCAGTGTAACCCAGCATGGCTGCATGGTGCAGGACAGTACGTCCCAGGGAGTCTGGTTCATCTGCAAAGGCATCTTTCTTTTCTAATAGATATTCGACCAGTCTGAGGTTGTGCGCCACTACTGCATCCTGGAGAAGATTTCTGCCGGATTTATCCTTGTGCTGTAGGAGTAACAAGAGCGAGTCTGGTACGGAATTGGCTTTAGATGTGTAGGTAGATATCAGACTGACTGTGATTTCATAAGCTGCGTCAGGAGATTCCTGAAGAGCGGTGGCTACTTGTAAAGGCCAACGTCCCGATTTTGTACTCATTGTAATTGCACCAGGGTATTCTTTTGCAAGAAACTTTGAAATCTCAACATGTCCTTTACAATAGAGATAGATAGATAGATAGATAGATATATGGAGAGATATACGTGGGCAAGAAATTAGTAATTGTATAAATGGACTGTCAATCAATTATCATATTGTTTTTTTTTGTCATTATTAAAATGTATAAATGTGTACAGTTAATTGATACGCATACATATATATATAAATGTATTAGGTATTTTTTTACCATTTTGTACTGCCAGATGAAGGGCTGTCCTGCCATCTTTAGTGGAAAGATTCAACAATGCGCCTGAATTTGAAAGTAAATGAACAATTTCCAAGTAGCCCTTCATGGCTGTAGGTGTAGGAGAAAAAAAAAGACAAAAAATGCATGAATGAATGAACGATTTTTATATATATATATATATTGGATTGTTGACAGACAATAATCATGTATATATGTATTTATGAATATACATATTCGTATACATATATTTACCAGCAATCATAATAGGTGTCCAATCTCCTCGTTTGAATGCATTAACATCAACATGGCATTCAGTGACAAGAAAGAAAAGGCATTCAAAATTATCAATAGTCTCATGTATAGGTCGTCTACCTAAAAGAAAAAAAGATCCAAAAAATGCTACCATTATTTTCCTTCTTCTTCTTATTCTTTACTTTAATTTAATTGATTTCAAATTTGATATATATGTATATATATATGTATGTACAAAAAAGATAGAAAGAAAGAGATGAACAGACTCACAATAAATCAAGTCAAATGAAATGAAATTAAAAGAAGTAGAAGAAGAAGAAGAAGAAGAAGAAGAAAACCAGTTGTTGCCTACCATAGTCATTGATGGCTTCAAGATCAGCTCCATATTTGTGTAATAATTTTAATAGATCCAAAGCATGAGCTCGGGCAGCATAATGAGCAACTGCATCGCCATGCAGATCTTTTTTATTAATTACATTAGACAATGTGCCAGCTTGTTTTGAGGTTTCTAAAATGTCTTTTATGCATTGAGGATCCTCTAGATTCTTAACAATCTTTTTAACAAAGTCTTCATTGATACTATTACTAATACTATTATCGCTCATGATTATATATATATATATACCGTTGTATCTATATTATATTATGCTTCTTTTAATTAGTACTATTAGAATTTTTCTGTAAGTTTAAAATAACCTCTTGATAAAAAAAAATACTAATAAAATATATATATATGCGTGTGTGATCTTGTACATTGGCATAATCTTGACATGTCACGTGTTACGTTTTTTTGTTTGTTTTTTTTTTCGAAGTTCTTTATGTGGTGATTTTAGCACATCATTATAATATAAAATATAATATAAAAAAATAGGGTTATTTTCATTTGCCTGTGCAAAAGAATAATACATAATTATATAAAAAAAAAGACACTACTACTACTACTACTACTACCACTGTCATAGACACTTTGAACATCGGCAATATAATACAATATAATATAAAGAATGTCTTTAAATAAAACTCCAGCCTTTTGTGTGGAGTGCAAGGATCAAGAGGTTCGTTTCGTTTTTATTTAGTTTCGTTTCGTTTCGTTTCGTTTTTTTTATTTTATTTTTTCTTTACTTCTTCTTTGTCCAAAGCTTCTCTACATGTCTCTCTACCTTTTCTTTATTATACATATATATAGTCACTCTTAATGAATATCAATTCATACTATTAGACTTTTAACATTATTAATTAACTAATTAATAATAATGTCCCAACGATGAAGTCTATACAAATTTTCTCCTTCTCTCCCTCCATTCCTCATTCTCTCACTTGCTTCTTTATTCATCACAATTGGAAGAAGAAGAAAAAAAAACATAAAAACATAAAAACAAAAAAATGAGAGAAAGAGAATGATGCACATCTTATTTATCTAATTACGAAATGCTCTTGTGCTCCAGGCTTCTGTCTTTTGTGAACAGTGCGATGAAGACTTTTGCGAAGTGTGTCATGGTGTGTTTAATTACTGTTTCAATTCGTCATAATTTTCTATATTCACTATTATTATTCCTCATCTTTGTCTCTCTCTCTCTCTCTCTCTCTCGCTATATATATATATGTATGTATGTGTATGTGTGTGTGTGATTTATATATCTATATATCGGTTCTTTGAATTAGCCATGCTTCATCGAACTGGTAACCGCCGTAAACACACCATGAAAAACTTGATCGTAAAGCCACCTGCAAATGGCTCAGATGAACCAGTAGTCAATGGAGATGTGACTGAAATCCTCTTGTCAAATAATGAGGTAAGAACATTGTGTATATATATATATATATATATATATATGGAGAAATAAGCAATTGGATATATGCTATTACTACTGCTACTGTTAGTATTTTGTAACACTTTTATATGTATATGTATATATATGTATTTTTTTATATGAATGATCAAGGTAGGCAAGGGGAGTAGCAGTACATTGACAAGCTCTGGTGAATTGGATGGTACTGTGATTAGCGGTGGAGGTGCGACCTTGGGCGAATGGATGACAGCAAGGTGAGGTTTATATCGAGTGTATACATGTGTAAATATTACTGCTTTTTCTTGGATTTATATATAAAGACAACAAATACATACATAAATGAATAAATAATTAAATCATTAAATAAATCATTAAATAAATACATATATTACTTGAAAAGAGCAAAGACCGTTCCTCTTCGGCTGGATGAAAAGGAGAGAAATATGCTACGATTGTAAGTGTTTGATTTAATAGCGATATACATATATAATATATACGCGCGCGCGTGTGTGTGTGTGTTTGTTGGCAGGATCAAAGAGATATGAACATTTTGATTTTTGATTCTTTGGTATATAGGCTTGAGGCAGCTTTGAATGTATCCGAATATACTGGTAAGTTACTGTCTTATCGAGGCATAATTCTTTCCCTTTATATTCCCTTTCCTTCCCTCTTCTTTTGTTTCTTTTTTCTATCTCTTGCTCTATTTGCTCGAGTATATACATACATACACATTTGATGGGTCAGGATAATAATTTGGCAATGCGTCAAGACAAGATCGACATCATTTCATACTCCAACAAGGCCAGGCGGATTGTGCTCCAGATCAAGGATATATGTGCAGTTATATCAGGTCTCTTGGTTTCTGGAGACTACAAGCTTGGAAGTCGCCTTTTTGCAAAGCGTAACATTAGAGAAAACGAGGCTTTCTTCCAGCGTGTTTTTGAAGTCGGAAGACGGTAAGTATGGCTGCTGCTATTATAGTTTGTTTATCAATTCATTTTCTTATGTGGGTGGATCGAATAGGTTCAAGATCATGAATCCTGAAAAGATGCGCTCAAACTATGGAAAGCTTATGCATATGTTAATGGTAAATAAATAAATAAATAAATATACATATATAACTTGGTACTGATCATACATGAGTTCATAATTATATGTATATATATATATATATATATATGATTTTTATTTATTTGTGTAGGATTCGGTGGTTCCAGAAGTAGAGGAGCTTTTGGGATTTTCTTGTGTTATTCCTATCAAGACAGTTTATGAGTTTTTGAAGAAAAGAAACAGAGTGGATGTGCTTCACGATGATTTGATTGCTCTTGCAACCAGAGAAATTGCACCTGAACTCAAGACCAGAGAACAGATTGATGCCGAGGTTCAACGAAAGAGACGTGCGGTAGAACAGCTGGGTAAAAAGTATGCAAACAGTGATATTTCTGCAGAAGATATCGAGAGATGTCTGTCTTCTTTGTCAGACAACCACGCATATCTCAAAGCCAACAGGTATATATATATATATATATACATATACATATACATATAATATAATATAAAATAATATCATTTGAGTAATAACTCCATTCCCACCCTCTCTCTCTTTTTTTTTTCAGAGATCCTTGTGAACGCATGTCAAAGTATCTCGCAAAGTACTTTAACCCAGCAAAGACAGAATCAAACTACTCCCTTGCGATTATGGCTGGCCGACAAGGGCATCGGTTGACCCACAGCCACTCGAACCAATATGCATATGTGCATCAATCGCTTGGTCTGTGGCGTGAGATTGTGCATGAGATGTTTATGCTCTGGAGTTTGGCCGACAGCGATCTACTTTCCTCAAGTCCCTATAGACTCACGAACACTGGCCAAGGCTTGCAGCGCATCCAGACTTGTCCTGGAGTTGGACGTGCGATGCAAAAGATCCTCGGACGCGCTCAAAAGAGGGGAGGTTCTTGGGTTGGAAGCAGTGCTGTTCACTTGGGTGACAAGAATGTACCGAATTCTTTTATGTTTATTGACAAGGTAAGTAAATGTATTTATGTTGGTATTACAGGCAATTAAAATAAAAAGGGAATGATATACATGGCACATATGTATGCAAATATTATAGTATAACCAAGTTTCCCGTATCTTGACACCGATCATCAGAACTCTGGACAGATTAGACTGTCTGGATCAAGATAAAGAGCTTGAGGCTTATGTGAAAGATACTTTTGGTGGTGTAGAGCAATGCAGAAAGGATATACTTTGTAAGTTGTTGTCCTATTGTGACCAAATGCCACAAATAAGACAGACAAAAAGGAGAATAATAGTTGATGATGAGGATAATTTGTTAACTGTGGACTGGATATGCATACCTATCTTTCTTGGTTTTCTTGCCACACGTTGTACTTGTGCTTAGATGACTTTTTTCGATTTGGATTTGATGGGTCAGGAGGAGATAACTACTTTGATGCCGGAAGCTGTATTGACGGTCGTTTGACATCTGCTTGGAACTGTAGGTTTTGTGATCTATACATGTTCAAAACATCATTCTAATGTATGCTGTATGTATATAATTATATATTTTCGCTTGGTTTCATTAGGGTGTTCATTGATTGAAAAGAAGAAATATTTCCCGATCTTCTTGCTGACGGTAAGACAAGAAGATGATTTTAGATATATTGCTTTAGAACTCATCGTTATATTTAGGGATTCATTGGATTTGATGGAGAGGATTGGAACTAAAGATATATATATATATATATATATTATACAAGCTATACTACACACGTACACGCGCACGTACAAAAAAAAATGTATACACACACAAAAATAAATCACACAAAAAATACACATATTTAGATATGTGTAGATATGTATATGTATCTTGTATTAGAGTGAAATGATAATAATAATAATAATAATAATAATAAAACAATAATAAATTGTACTAAATAGGGTGTGTGGGAAATATACATATATTTGTATGCAAAAGATCGATGGTGATAATACCTGTAATAATTGTAGTGATAATGATAGTGTGAAAAGAAGCAATCAGCATCGCACCATTCGTGATTTTAGTAGAATTCAAGTGCCAAGGTTGTAATTCTAAAAGGTAAAAAAAAAAAAAAACAGACATAAAACGTAAAAATGTACAGCTAATATATATATATATATAATATTTGCTTGCTTACTTGCTTGTGCGTGTGTGCATTTCTTAAAATTGATTTGGAAGTAGGAAATAAATAACACAAAAAAGACACGATGTTATCTCGTGGTGACTAGTCTGATGGATCGTGCGTTACATAAACTTAGACTTTTGGTAACACTGTTAGTCTCAAGTGCGTATCAAAGAAAACCCTGTGGTAATAATATATCTCTATGGCTACAGAACTACGTGACTATACTGATTCGCATGGATAATTTAGAGTAGGACATTACACCATACATGCGTAGAGACAAAAATATTCAACAAGATGTATTTTGTACTTTTGGTTATCAACTCATTAAAGAAACAAAAAGTTATACCTTGGATACATATACATATATTTGCAATATCAAGTAATAATATATTTAATTAGCATAAAAGACTAGTAGCTGTTTTGGTTCTTCTTTTAAAGGCATCAAGACCACTCTTGTAATATTGAATGATCCCAAAAAATATAGATAAACCTTGTATCCAATAATAATAGTTATGATGATGATGGTGCTGATGATGTTATCCTTTGTATTTGTGTTTCTGATCGGATATTTGCTCCGAGAGACAAGTTACTTGTAGTTTGAGGTTCACTTCTATTCAATCAACTCTAAATTCAGTAGCACTTTGACTTTTTGGAAACACAAAATATATTTATATAAATAAATTAGAAGGAGCAAGAAAAGAAAACCAAACCAAACCAAACCAAACCCAAAAATAAAATGTCAGTTCTAGGCTTTGATTTGCATACAAGTACATACAAGTACATACAGGTACATACATAAAGATGCATATGTATGTATGTATATATATATATAAAGACAATACTTTGGATACCTTACTAAGGTTTCTTTACCGATCTTGGCTCCCATAGGAGAAAATGATTCCAACGGAGTAGAGAACAAGATAGCATGAGCTTTGATAGCTGCAGGAGATAGTACACAATACATTATACTCTATAAACTATCGATTTTGTCAAAAAGAAAAAAATGGACATGAGAAACCTCTTTTTTTTTATTATTATTATTTTTTGGGATTTTAGATTAAAAATGAGTTTTATATATTTTTGATATATTGGGAAACTTGGATAAACTAGGATTTGACTAGAATTATAGTTATTATTATTATTATTATTATTATATTTTTTGTGGTCTTTCTGAATTTGATAAATGGCTCAGTAACAAAGGCATATATACATAAATATAATGTAGCTTAATAATCATAACAGTTCTGGTAATTATTGGTATCAGGGTTGATTATAAAACCAATGAGATTTTTTTAAAAAAAAAGCATATACACATATGTATAATATAATATAATACAAATAACTAATAGAAAAAGGGAATAAATAGAGAAATAGAGAACCAACAACATTTGCATTATTCTTAATTTGGTATATTTCCCCATGCTTAGGTGGTCCCCTCCCTCAGTATTTGGTTACTTTCTTTTTGACATTGACTCCTTTTGAACCACAGCAACAAAAAACAACGACAAAATAAGAAGAAGCTCTATGTGATATTATGCTCACAAAGTTTTTGTTTTAATTTTTTTTAATTTGGCTTTAGTGTTTTGAGATATAGGTGAGAAGCTTGATGTATATAAAAGATATAAAGCAAAGTAGATTGCTATCTAATGTTCAAAGTATTCTTATTATTGGCTGGTGTCAAAGCATAGACAGATATGACTTTATTCTTTCTTTTATGTATTAGTGTCTCTCTGTAGCTCTATATCTTCTTCTCCTCGCAAGATCTACGGTCTATATATATATATTTTTCTTGAACTAAAGTAAAACAAAGAGAGGAATCCCCTTGGAAGAAAATCCTAATTGTAATAATTTGATAGGTAAATGTTTGTTATATTCTAGGTGCTCCCTATTGATTGTTTTATTTTTTTATTTTTCGACAGCTAGATTCTCCCACTCCCCCCCTTTTTTTTTGGTTTTATTTTTGAAGCACTATCTGTATCTCTTTTTTGTTATTATGTGCTACCTTGCGAGTTAATTCTCCCTGATATCATTGATTTTCATTGATTTTCATTGACATTGGGTTGTTAGTATGTCAAAAAATGGTACCCCGAGTTATATTTGAATTAGTATATTTCTACAAAAGAAAAAGAGACACCAGGATTAGACTCGAATGGCTAATACATCAAGGACAGCTGTTCTAATATTATTGTATGATCGATTACTTGTTTTATTACATCTTGTTAAGCAAAACATTTATTACATACAATTCCCTTTTTTTTTTTTAAAAAAAAAAAAAAAAAAAGAACCGAAAATGCAGTGTCTGTATTAACTAACAATAATAAGACCAATAAGACCAATAATAAGAATGACAAGCTTAATATGATCGATAATTTTAGTTAATCAAGATACAGCTCTTTATCCTTTTGTAGGATTTTGCCACCAAATACACACACACATATATATATATATAAAGGTTTGGAAATTATACATTTACATTTACATTTTTGCGTGTGTGTGTGTGTGTTCCTGTGCGTATGGGTGCTTTAGGGTACACCAAACTTCTCTGCTTTAAATCGGATATAAGAAAAATGCTCAGACCACTTTAGAGTCAAACGTGTGGGTAGCACGATAAACTTTTCATGCCCTTTTTACTTTAAGATCAAAAGGAAGTAATTGAATCTATTATCAATTGCAAGTCTTTAATTTCTCTTTCTTTTTCTTTTTATTTTGCTCTCTTTTCTCCTTTCCTCTCTTTGCTTATATATATATATATATACATTGTGTGTATATCTGCATGTATAATTGTATGTATAATTGTATGTATAAATGTACGTTTGGGTACCTTTTTTTTTGGATATTTTTTTTAAGATCCCCTCCCTCCTTTACCCCCTTTTATTTATATATTTGATTTGTTTGTTTTATTAAGTTGATATATACTTTATGTATATTGTATATTTCAGATAACCACTTTTTAATTGATTGCTTGATATATTACATTGCATTTATATTATACATCTTTAACCTACAATTTACATGTGTATATATCTACATATTCAAAATGTCCTTGATATATATAATGTATGTATATATGTATATTTACTCACACTAATATTATATACAAATACAATCTATATATGTATTCTGCTTTATTGGTTTCTTTTTTTTTATAGATTTAACTAGTAATTGTCTGGCTATCTTTTATTACTATTATAATTGAAATCCTGTATTTTTTATATATTATCTTTAATCGCTCAGTAAATCGTTGGCCGTGCACCCAGAAATCAAATCAAAGCAAACCAAAACCAAAACCAAAAAAAAAAGGTATAGAAAGTAAGAGAGAGAAATAAAACTTTATTACAAGGTAAATTGGTGATCCATTGCATGCAAATGTCAAGCTTATCATCTGTACTCCTTTCTTGGTCTACAGTCTACAAATCACCCTCCAAATACTAAATTTATTGGACTCTATTTTATTTTACTATTTTGTGTAGTAAGAAAAGAGCCTTTTATTAATTGATCCATTGATACATTGATATATTGATACTTTGATAGATTGATATATATATACAGATATACGTACGAATGATGCCTAGCCACAAAAGTATGATTTACAACCCCTCTTGCCACTTGTACAAATCCAATGCACGTGTAAAGAGCCTCCCAATGGAACAGTTAGTAAAGAGTTTATTTTTTATTTTACTTTTTATAAGAAAAGATGTTCTAGTCCTAAAAGTCGGGTACTATCTCTGGCAAACAAAGTTAAAATTAGTAGTAGTAGTAGTAGTAGTAGTAGTAGTAGTAGTAGTGATTTCAAAGGAATAGTAAGAGTAAGAGTATGAATATGAAGCATGATAAGAGTAATGATATTGAGGGGGCAAAGGGATAGTTTGGTTGTTTCTTTTTCTTTTTTGAGCTAGGCTTTTCTTTATGTCTATTTATGTTTCCAGTATCATTAGTATTACTGTTGATATTAGCATTAGTATTAGCATTAGAAGTAGCAGTAGCAGTAGCAGTAGTATTAGTATTAGTATTACTTTACTTTACTTTATTTTATTTTATTTTATTTTATTTTATGCTTTATTCTAAAATATATTATACTGTATAATATAAAATATAGTATAATATATAATACATAACTTGTATATAAATATAACTATAAAAAAATTGTATTCATAGGCCATCCTATACCCCTGATCCTTCAACATATAAGCACGCCAGTCAGTCTAATACATTATCATCCTTGTCTCGGTCACATTCAACACAAGAATACATCACTATTATGTTGACACCAACCTTTGAATATCCATCGCGCACTTGTGTCTCACCCCATATCTCTCCAATCCACACCACATTCTCCAGTCCAGAAATCCTAGAGCATGGCCACCATACCCACCACCACCAAAACCATCAAAACAGCAACAACAACAATCATTCTAACCCGGTCATCTCTCCAGCAAGCCTCACATCTCCTTTGTCTTCTACTGACCTCCAGCCAACTTCTCGATTCTATTCCACAGATTCTGCCACATCCGGGTTCACCAGCATCCCAGCCTTTGGAGACGGAACCACCTTTGGGTCCCACACAACACCTTATTCTTCCAGCTCTTCCCTTCTCCAGTCCAACAACTCTCCCATCCTTGCCTCTTCAAACACTAACTCCCGCGTGCCGCTTCTGACTCACTATGACACCACCCCTACTGCTACTTCAACTACTACCACAACCACAACTACAGCTACAGCTACTACTGGCAGCAGTAACAACACCAGCATAAACAACAGCAGCAACAATACTTATAACTATAATAACTATAATAACTATAATAACTATAATAACTATAATAACTATAATAGTTATAATAGCTATAATAGCTATAATAGTTATAATAGTTATAATAGCTATAATTACAGCAACAATAACAATAACAGTAACAGTAACAGTAATACACTTCGTTATCCGGCATTTCCGCAAATGGTTTCGGATGGACTTAATAGCCATGGAAAACGACCCCATTCTACTTCTCCTGGTGTCTCATTCGGTGGTCTGCCCTCACATCTTACCCAGTCTAGATACCACCCACGACACCAGAGTGCAAACGACACTCTCTCCAGACGCGACATGTATTCTCTGCACTCGGCAGAAATGGTGGCCGATACAGCATCGTCTTTTATGAAACACTCAATCGAAACAACATGCCCTCCTTTTTTTACACTACACCCGACCATGCCAGATCCAGTTGATGAAGATTCTCCTAAAACGTAAGTTTTTTATTTTTATTTTTATTATTCATGTGCATAAAATATGCATCTATTTTATTTATTATAAAAAAATAAATAAATGGGAGGCGCAAATAAAAAGGGAAGGAAAAGAAAAGAATATATATATATATATAAAAAAAGAAGTCAAAAGGCTAAAAGGAAGCCACAGCATGATTTCAAAAGGCTACCATAGATACTTAGAGAAATAAATGAGGAGAAGGAAGGAGAGCGAGAGAAAGAGAGTAAAAAAAAAGGAGAACTGAATGATTTTAAAAAAAAAAAGGGAAGAGAGAATAGACTCAGGAAAACATCTTATTACGATCGACTATCTACTTTATTGGAGAAGTCAAAGGGAAATAGATGGAGATAGGTAGAGAGGGATGATGAGGAAGGGTAGGAGTACATAGATACATAGAGAGGGGAAGTAGGGGAAGGTAGTGGCAACCCTTGCTTGGCTTAAACAAAATGGAGATTTCCTTTATATATATATATCATTATCTTTCTTTCCTTCTTTATTTGCCCTCCACGTTCTTGTTATAACAGTGGCAAAGATCATTGCTACCTAAATTTATATACAAAGAGAAAAAGGCCTCCAAGGAGTATTTTAGGGCAGACACTCAATTGGATCGCACGGTCCACCATCATTACTTACACGTGCTAACATGTTCTTATTTATATATCTATCTATTTTTCTGCTTTACACCAAATAGCCATTTACGCTTCAATATTGTCCTACAAGGTAACTATATATATTCTCACTATTATCTTTTCAATAAGAATAAGAATATGAATACGTAGCAATAGCAGTAGCAGTAACAATACAGTAGCAATACAGTAGACCACAGAAAATATATGTATATATTTAATACATTGATATATCCAATTATTTCTTATAAGCCACGCACACACACACACATATATATATATATATATATATATACAAATATATATACAAATATGTATATATGTATATGTGTGGGTTGGGTTACTCAATTGATTTCATCTCGTTAGTCAAATTGTGAATTTTAATTTTATTTACTAAAATAAAAAATCGATCAATTGATTGATTGATTATTATTTTGCATTAGCTCCAACTGCTGTTACTCAAAAGACGGAAGAGTCCCCGGTGACATATCTCAACCGCGGTCAGGCCTATGCTATCCAGCTCAACGATCGCCAGGGGTTCGATGGGATTATTACCAGTACATTGGTCATAATGTTTCATGATCCATCCCACCGTAAAGTTGCACTCAACTATTGGAAGTTTTGGGTTAGCCAACAGAAATGCTCTGATGAAGCCAGAGCCATTGATATTGGTACGAGAAATATAAATAAGAAATATAGAATACTAACTTCTTATTATTTTGTTGCTATAATATACATTTAATCTTTAGATGTAAAACAATCTAGTGGTGTACATAATGTACAGTATCCAAGCTTTGACAAGATCACTTTTGACTGGAACGGATGCGAAGGCGCAAAGATATTTGCTCGGTTCAATTGTCTGTCTACCGACTTTTCACGCATCAAGGGTGTCAAGGGAATCCCACTAAGAGCACACATGGAAAGCCAGGTGTTCTGGCCCGAGGTTGACCTCAATAGTCCATCTACCATGCTCTGGGCCGGGACTTTCACTGACCTGAGTAGCCAGTTTCCAACCGAAGACGAGCCAATAAAATCATTTGGATCGTACAATTATATCGAACGTTCGTTTAGTAAAATCAAATTATTCAGAGACAAAGTAAGTAAAGCCAAAAAAAAAATAAAAAAAAATAATAATAATATTATGTGTGTGTCTGGATTTACAAATTTAGGGCTATGATGGAGGAGAATTTCTTTATTTTTATTTTCACCTAACCACAAAAGGCTGATTTTTTTTTGATTTTTTTTTAGGGAGCAGAACGAAAAAACAAAGATGATGCCAAGCAAATTAATAAGCAATTTGACAAAGTGTACAGTATGTCAAGTAATACTATCAGTAAATAGTAGTGACAATGATGTCTTACAAAGCAATCGAGCCTATCATATTGACTCCCCATTCCCAATTTTTTTTTGCTTTATATAATTACCCTTGTAGCTGAAGGAGATCTGCAGAATAATCCCATGTGGCTCATGTACAACCATCCTATGCCCTACAGTATCTTTGGCGAAATCCCTACATCTCCTAGTCTCGATTCATTTCGCCACGCTGCAAATGACGACCAAAGACATTCAGGAGGAATGTTTAATAGTATCAGTAATAGTAATAATAATAATAATAATAGTAGTAGTAGTAGTAGTAGTAGTAGTAGTAGTAGTAGTAGTAGTAGTAGTGGTGGTGGTTGTGGTAGTAGTAATAATAATAATGGATCAGGATCAGGAGCTGGAACTGGAACTGGAACTGGATCAGGGACAGGAAGCTACAGAAATAGCCAGCTTAGAAGCCACAATAGAACCATGACAGCGCCATCCTCTCTATTCCACAAGACATTCACTCCTCCACCCCCGACCACGTTCGCCTTGCGCCCTTTTTCTGTGCCCTTTAGCACAGACACGGTCTTGGGCTCTGAAACTGTCACTGGCCAGATGAGCCAATATAACGTATCCAATGCCATCACTTTACCACACCAAACACAAGTACCACACCCCTTTTCCTATGACCAACCGATCATCTACAGTGGTTCCAGACTCGGATACCCACATAGTCTAAACAGTAATGTTATTAATAACAATAGCCACAATAATGATACCACCACCACAAACACGAACAATACTATTGATACTATCTGTAACAATGTTACCTCCACTACAATCACTCCAATTACTCCAATCAATTCAATCAATTCAATTCCTTCTCAGGATGACAGTGACTGGACAAACCACACCAACTGCTTGGGTATCAAGCGAGGATACGAATACCCTTTTGAAAAAGATTACGAGACCGAGTCTCACTCAAGTTATGAAAGATCCTTTTCTGGAACCAGTCCAACAGAATCCAACAAGAGAACAAAAGTTCCTGGTGAGTTTGAATGATGATAGAATTAAAGTGATAATTATATTGTCTTTCTTTCTGTTATAATAGCATTGTATTATATACACTCCTTTAATTTATTAATATATATATATATCTTATTTGATATTAAATATTGTAGCGCTCTCCTTTTATGTGGATATCACTACACCTTATCGGAACCAGTCGATATCCCAGTCAATGATGATGACCCCTTTGTCAAATATACCAACCGGCTGTGAAAAATTGGAGAGAATCCGACTGGAGAGTCTGACTGTCGAGGAACTGACCATAAAACTATGTTCGCTGCTTGTTCTTCACACCGACCGAGTATCGGATGTGCTGTGGAGACGTTCAAAGGTACCGTCTGGAGATATCCAATCCCGGACAGACAAGACTAACAAGCACAAGAGTGACACAATTCTGGTACTAGTTGAGGATGCAGTCGTTGCCCAGCACATCCTTGAAAATTCTGTTATTGTTGTCGAGTGGGAAATTAAGGCAGACAGTACAGTTAGAATCATCCTTCAGTTCTAAACAACATTCCAAAAAAAAAATTCAATTCAATTCAATTCAATTTCTTACTTTACACTACTTTATACTACTTTACTTTACAACTATTCCTTACTATCTTTTCTTTTCTTTTTTATCCTTACTCTTCTTGTTCCTCTTGTTCTTTTTACATTAAGCAAGGAGATAATAAACTTATTTTATCTACCTTGTTTTTTTTTTTTTGCTTTTTGCTTTTTGTGTATGTATTTGTATATGCATTTACCCTTTATATTTCCCTTTCTCATTATCTACTCTTTTTTTTCTATTTTTCTATTATCATCATTATCACAAGCATGAACACAAGCACAAGCACAAGTACAAATTTCAGTCATTCATTGATTTACTTACGCAGTAATTCACAATAACCCACCCAGACACACTCTTTTTTTTTTCTAGATATATTAATTATTTTTAACACTTTGAACGTTGTATGCACACACACACACACAGATATATATATATATATATATTGTGTGTGTGCCTTGTTTTGTCAAATTTAAAGAGAATTCTGATTTATGCATTTATGCATTTATCACCATGGTTATGGCTATGGTTATGGTTATATATCAAGGACAGTGGAATCAATTAGGTAATAGTTTCTTCTTTAAAATATGCACAGCTTTGTTTATTTTATATCATTTTTGTTCTTTTATATATCCATATAAGATTGAACGCAACTTCTTTTTGGGTTTGGGGTTTTTTTTTCTTTTTGCAGCACAACCTATTAGAATTGCAGCAAAACAAAGCAAAAAATTGACTAAAGAAAGTAAAGTAAAGTAAAGAAATTGAATTTCTTTTTCTTTCTTACTTATTCATATATGAATATATTGTGGTGTAAAGCAAATTCAAGTTCAAAAAAAAATATTGTCCTATTTGGTAATAAAATCCAATAGACAAGACATCTATTACCTTGAAATCCAACCATCCTGGGAAAATTCAAAGAAAGAAGGAATAAAAGGAAAATGGCCATTTTTGGGTAATCAAAAAAACACACACACACACACACACATACAAACACAAGCACAAGCACAAGCACAATGTAGTACAACGATTGATATTTTATATATATATATATATATATATTTGTTTGTCCTTTATAGTATTATTATTATTGTTTTGATGGTAGTTAAGCATCGTACAAATGTACAACCTGTAGAAACAAAAACAAAAAGGGAACCTTTGGTTATTCCTACCTAGTTTCACATTTTTTGAATTTAATAATAATGATGATGATGATAGGCCGCCGTATGCACTTTGGACCAACAGAATATGAAGGATGAGCAAAGGAATAAAGATAATAATAATGGTAGTAAGGATAGTAAGAAGACACAAAAAGGGAAATTTCAATGATTTCTTGGCAAAATGAAATAATAAAAAAAAAAAAAAAGATAGATGCGCTGTGGTTAAGTGCTGATTGATCAATTATTATGAATTATTATTATTGTTTCTTTAAGAAAGGATCAAATATATATATATATATATATATAGACTGAGTGCTAAATTAAAAAACTATAGCGTCGTAAGCTTGAATTTGATCAATTGGGTATCTATGTTTTCTTTAGAGTATATAGGTTACATATAATAAAGGTTGACTATCCATTTGTTTGAATGTGTGCACATACTTGCCTTTTTTTTTTTAAAAAAAAAAAAAAAACATCCAAGTATTACTGCCACCAAACAAATAAGCAACAGGAAATAACCTTAAATGTATTGAATTACACAATGCCTTGATTGCCTTTGTGCCTCTATATAGTTCCTCTTCTCGGCTTTGCTTGGATATCTGTGCTTTACCTTGTCTTGGCCTTGTATTAGTAATTATGATCCATGTCTATATCATAAAAACCTAAGCATTGTTTCAAATATAGATGTGTGATAAAATAACCCTTGTATACTTTCAATCTATAATTTATTTATTTTTGATAGAGTGTGGCTTGCTTACTGTGTTCAGTGTGTCTCATCATGTGTTGGTGGGGAAGGAAGAATACCTTTCACATACACATATAATACAAGGCTTTCCAAGTTTGAATTATCTAATCTGACTCAACAGAGAAGACCCTAATTTGGTTAAAGATGTCAAACGTTCAGAGTAGAAAATAAAAATATCAAGAGAAAAAAATATTTTTATTTATATATATGTGTGTGACAGAATATTTTATTTTATGAAAAAAAAAGACCCCAAATCTCTACACACAGTCATAGTTAATCAGACGTCCAAGACAAGTGTATATATATATATATATATATATATACAATTAAGCTAATAGAGTGTCTTTTTGAGAATTAGTCGAAGGGGTTTATGAGAAGCTTTTCTTTTTTTTTTTACATCTTTAAATAGCTAATGATTAATTAGATATTTAAATGAGTATATATAGATAGTGTGTGTGTAGTATTAGCAGCAGTAACAGCAGTAACAGCAGTAGCAGCAGTAGCAGCAGTAGCAGTATCAGCAAATGGCAAACAGAAAATAACAAATAGTAGTGGTAGAGGATGGCTATTAAAGTGAAATCATGTGCAAGTATTATTGAAAATGGATCGTCTGGATCAAGAGAGTAAATCCACATGTGAATATCTGAATGTGGGTTGGAAAAAATTAGGTCCGGTTTCCCCACACATACATATATACATTATTCTTTTCATTCAGGCTATGGACGAGAATCTTTTTTTTTTGTTTTTGTTTTACTAGGTATCGTGTAACCCTTTATTTTAATTTTTATAAAAAAAATAGCCTTTCTCTTGTTAACCCGTGTACATCATGGCTAGACTGTTTGTCTGTCTACCTGTCTATCTACCTGTCTATCTGCCTGCTTGCTTGCTTGACTGTATGTCTGTCTGGCTGTTTGTTTGTGGCTGTATAAATAAATAAATAAAAAGATATTAATATAATTAGGTATGATTCTGTGTATATATAAAGCTAGCCCATTAGCTTTCATTTTATTTTTGCTTTTCTTGGCTTTCTTTCCTTCTTCCTTTAATTTCCTTTTCTTTAAAATAAACACCACCAAGTACTTCTTTAGCCTGTTTAACTTCTTTTACTACTACTACTACTACTACTACTACTATTACTACTTTGTCTTCCTTGGCATTATTTTCAAGTGTTCAAGCGTTCAATTACCCAATTACCCAATTATCCGAATAATCAATCAAATCAAACTAAAGAAAAAAGAAATGTCTTCAAAGAAAATAACCCTTCCACACTCTGTGTCTACTTACGTCGGTGGTGCTGCTGTTGCAAGTCTTGCCATTCTTTCGGCAATCTACCATGACCGGGCCATATTTGACGAGACCCGCAAAGATATCTTGACCGAAAAGGGCTGGCCACTGGTTGGATCCTTGCCGGCTCTTATCCAAGGCAAAGATCGACTGCATGATTTTTTGGTCGAGAGCTTCTATAGACTTGACAGACTAACTTTGTAAGTATAATTATTCCTTTTCTTCTTCTTCTTCTTCTTCTTCTTCTTCTTACTATTATGATTCTTAACTGCACTGCCCTACAATGTAATTTAAAATTACTATTCTTATTATTATTATTATTATTATTATTTTTACTCCTCATAAATATTCTTCTATTTAATATTAATATTAAAGATAATAATAATATTGATAATGATACAAAAACTTAGAACCATGTCTGCACTCGGGATTCCTCGTCATATTGGAACAATTGATCCAGCAAATGTAGAGCATATCTTGAAACGTACGTTTTATCTCTATTTATTATATATAAATCTCTCTCTGTGTGTGTGTGTGTGCTTATTTCTTTCATTTCATTTCATTTGATTAGATAATTTTGAAAATTATATCAAGGGTCCTGAATTTCACTCTGCTATGAATGATCTATTTGGAGACGGGATTTTCAATGCCAATGGTGAAGATTGGAAGTATCAACGAAAGACAGCCAGTCACATTTTCAATGTCAAGAACTTTAGAGATCAATTCACAGAGTGAGTATTCTTCCAACAACAAAAAAAAAAAACAAGAAAAGATGTTTATGTTTCTGTGTAATGATTCTGATGAACCTCTTTTCCTTGTAGTGTGTTTGTTCATGAAATTGATTTTATGTCTGATAATATCTTGGACAAAGCTACCGAGACTAGTGAATTGGTCGATTTCCACGACCTGATGTATAAATTCACGCTCGATTCATTTATCTTGTGAGTCCATTTGATCGTGTTTCCTATCTTTTATTTTTTAATTTAATTAATTAAAATCAAGAAAGAAAGAAAATTATATACTCCCTTGTCTGTCCTTGTTCTCTAGACAGCTTCTTATATTCCATCATACCTTCCCCCTCTTTTTATATATATATATATATATATATATATACTTATACTTATTTATATTCATTTGACTTTTTTTCATTAGACTCGGATTTGGTGTTCGATTGAACGGTCTTGCGTCAAAAGAGGTAGTACCTTTTGCTGAATCATTTGACATTGCTCAAAAGAACACCTTCCAACGTTTTGTGAATCCGATCTGGAAAGTGACGGAGCGGATCCAGAGTGTGGTGATGCCCTGGCGACGCAGTATGAACTACCACCTCAATGTGGTCGACACATTTGCGCGCGAGGTGACCGAGAAGCGCCGAGTACAGCTTGCCAAGGGAGAAATCCACACCGATCTGCTCTCTCGGTTCATGAGTGCCCGGAACACAAAGGGAGACCTTTTGAACAACACCGAGCTACGGGACATCGTCCTCAATTTTGTCATCGCCGGCCGTGACACAACTGCCCAGGCTCTTTCCTGGACACTCTATATGCTTCTCTGCCATCCACGCGTGGAGCAAAAGCTGCTCAACGAGATTAATGAAAACATCACGGATAAGGTCATGCATAATTCCCCTGAGCTCTATGAGACTATCAAGAACATGACATATGCCCACGCAGTGTAAGTACCTAAGAAGATACAAATATATATATAGAAAATTCGATCCATAGATATCTAGACACATAGATTCATTAGTTAAAAGCACAACATGATATGTAGTCATAATACTAGTACTAGTACTAGTATCGGCACTAGCACTAGCACTATTCATCCAATCCTTCCTCCCCTTTTACCCCTTATTTATCATGCTCCCTTTATCTTGTTATCACTATCACTCTCTCGTGTTTATTAATTACAATTATATGATTCTAATGTCTTTTAATGTGCTTTGCTATACTGTAGATTTTATGAAGTACTTCGGTTGTATCCTTCAGTACCCCAGAACCAAAAGTTTGCTCTAGATAATGACATCTGGCCTGATGGTACTCATGTCAGAAAGGGGGATTACATACTGTGGAGCCCATATGCTCAGGGACGTTGTGAGAAAGTATGGGGCCCAGATGCCAAACAATTTAACCCAGAACGTTGGATTACACCTCAAGGAGATCTACGTCGTGAATCCCAAGGACAATGGCCTGCTTTCCACGCCGGTCCGCGTGTGTGTTTAGGTAAGGATGAACAAGTAAAATGCTTATCAAGATAAGAAAAAAGGGACAATGTTTGACAATCTACAACATACTACTTACTAGGCCAAAACTTGGCAACCCTAGAGACACTCGTTGCAATTACGTTTTTGATCAAACGATACAAATTCCATTTGGCACCTAACCAGGAAATAACCTATCAGATTTCTCTCACTCTACCAATGATGAATGGAATCAAAGTGTCTGTTGAAAAACGACAGCAGTAATAAAAGAAAAAGAAAAAGAAAAAGAAGAATCAGTGATAATTATAATGATGTTATATTATATATTACGTATAAAGATATACGTATGTATTTAAAGAAGTTGTGTAATATCCACTCTTGTCATTCAAATTTGTATTTAACTTTCTTTTTTCCCTCTTCTTCTTCTATCAATATATCAATATATATAAGAATCACATTCATTAAACATTGAAATCTTTTGCACTTTAGTTATAAAGGCCCTTTCTTTATTCATTCCCCTCTCCTCCCCTATCCTACTGCTCCTTCACCAATACTTCTTAATCTCCTAGTCAGACATCTTTATAGGTATAAAGGTCTTTTTATTCTTTTTATTATTAAAATCAAACCCTTATACTTATATAGGCACGTTTATAAGAAAGATTAAAGCATTATAGCATCTAAACTTACAACAGCAGGAAAAGGACGACCTTTAACGAGTAACATATACATACAATATCTTATTGAAAACATGAATTAATGACAGTTGGTATGGACAGACTAAAAGTTCAAAAAAAAAAAACAAATTAAATTGATTGGCTAATTGACTGGCTGAGTGAGTAATTTTGATAACAGTCTGGATCAAATTAGTAAAAGGTCATCGCTTAAAGGGCAGTCAGTCGTTGATATTCGTTTAGTGCGAAAAAAAAAAAAAAAAAAAAAAAAAAAAAACTGGTATAATTGTTCCAGTTTTAGGGGAATGTTCCATTAAAGATCAATAATTAGTATACACTATTTGTCTACTTGATAATTGTATATATAAGTGTTTCTGTAAAAGCCTCTTGACAAGGTTTATTATTTTATTTTTATTTTTTTTTAAAAAAAAAAAAAAAAACGAAAAAGAAAACCGGCTCTTCGTTAAAACCAGGAATTGATGACGTAGATAATTTTTCTTTTGGTTGGGTTTTTCTTTTTTATTTTTTTGCCCCTGCTTCAAGACAGATTCCTAATTTATTTATTTTTTATTACAAAATTTAATATATATATATATATATATATTATATATTTATTTATATATATAAATTATTTCCTGCACTTTTATTCCTAAAATAAAAATAAAAATAAAAATAAAAGAAATACTTCTTTTAAATAAATATAAAAAAAAAATCATGTTCGGTTTGCGCAAGTGGTCTACTCCTTTCCTCCGTCCTGCCGGTCCCTTTATGGTCGGTGGCGCTGTTGTCTTTTACTTGGTTGCCAAGATGCAGGGTGCCATGATTGACTGTAAGTAATCTAATGTTTAAATGTCAAAAAATGAGAGAGGGAATATGATGAAACAAATCCCGGTTTGAAATGTCTTGTTTTTTTTTTTTTTTTTGGAATTGGCTGCATCTACACATTCTTTCTATACTAGTCTTTGTATATTAGCTTGGAGTAACACTGCCTATCCATTTGCTTAACGAATCTACATCTACGTGTATATTCTATACTAATTTGTTCTTTCTTTTCTTTTCTTCTTCTTAGCTGATGAGTACAGAAACGATCCCAGAAACCCTGCTGCCGGTAAGTAAACCAGTAAAATTCTTATATATATATAAAAGTTGGTTAGATTATGGGGATTTAGTAACATACGTTTATGTTAATTTATGATAATTTTGATTTATTTATTCGTTACTCACACGCATGCGTATTTTATTTTATTTTATTTTCTTTTCTTTTAAACTTTACTAGTTGCTGCTAACAAGAACGCCCATTAAAGCAATGCGATAAAACGAAAACAAAACAAAACAAAACACAAACCCATTCGATTTTCTTGTTGGATTGTATTGTAAAACAAATTACAGATATTAATATATTAAAAGATGTAAATTATACATGTATTCTTTTACTTGAAAGACGAAACAGGGCGCCTTTCTTCTTGTGGGCAAATCAACTACATATACATATTGGACGCGTTATTTATTTATTTATTTATTTATTTATTTATTTTCTTTGGTCAACTATAGATACAATTGAGTTGAATTGAATTGAGGTGAATTAGAGTATGGTTTAGACTTGGTTTGGTTTGTGCTGTTTGGGTTAAAATTCTGGTAATTTAATCTACCTTTTTTTTTTTCTTTCTTTCTCTCCTGTGTTTTTTTTTTGGTGGTTAGGATTAAAACAAAATGTTAATTAGTTATAGTTGTGTAAAGGGTATTGGAATCAATTGGATAAACTGGACGACCGATCAAGAAGAAGTTGCATTACAACCAAAACAAATCAAATATATTATTTATTCATCGATTTATACGGGTTTCCTTAAATGGCCATATGAGAATCTCTCTCTCTCTTTGTTGTTGTTGGTGTTGTATTGTAGTGTCAAGATCAAAACTTGGATCCTGCTTTTTACAAATTGTGCAAATCAAGACAAGGGAACACATAAAAGAGGCGCCATTTAAGAAGACTTGTTTGTTTTGATCTTCAAAACACATATATACTAACGTACAAGCCAAACAAAGCAAAGCAAAGCAAAAAGATGTATTTTGAGATTGGCAGATGTTTACAGAGTACAACAAGTTAAACGCCCTTCTTTTTTTTTTTGCTATATAACAAACCTTGTTTTTTCTTATTTTATTTTCATCCCCTTATTCGTGGTTCAATCCCCACAAAAGCAGCAGCACACAACCACGCGCGTGTATACATGCTTTTGTGTGTACCGGATCGCCCTTTTCTCCCCCCCTCCTCCTCCAAATAACAAAATTTTAAAAAAGCATAAGAAACTGATGGTTGGAATCTCAAGATACACAAGCAAGCAAACAAACAAGCCAAAAGAAATACAATTTTTTTTTTATTCAAATACACTAAATTCATCTTCTACAGGATCCTGTTGTCTCAAAGCATTAGTTTGTTGGAGAAGCCTTTGGTTGATTAAATTCTGCTGTTTCTTTTGGTCGTTGACCATTGGTGGCAATCGCCTTGAATTGCACCCTCCACAGAAAGGAGCACACATCCAGCATTGTTTGAAATGATAATCGCACGCCCAGCATTTTGCTACCTTTGACACGATTTTTTGACATGGTGGTGAGGATTGAGTTGGGTTAAGCTGATCAGTTTCTAGTGTTTGTGTTTGTGTCTGTGTCTGTGTTTGTGTTTTTGGTTGTGTGCCTTGTTGTTCGGATACATCACCGCACATCCGAATGTCAATATACACACTAGGATGCCGTGAGAGACGTTGGATTGTCCTTTGAAAGACTTCCAGATATGGCTCGGTGGTCATATAATGATGGTATATCTCAATTCTCTCCAACTCAAACGTTTTCAGCTTTATGGTTCCTGACTTGATCATATCCAACAAGGCCTTTGTGTCCTCTTTGATCTTTGTGTTGAACCGACGATTGCGAGCATAAAGTCGATGTAGATTAGGAAACTTGACTAGCATTACCAGAGGAGAAAACATTGAATCGTCTGTGCTGTCCATCACAACCTAAAACAGAAAATAAACAAGTAAATAAACATACATAAGATAAATATATATATATATACCTCTCTAACTAGTAATCTCAATCCGTTTGAATCTCGTAAACGGCGAAGTGCAGCATAGATTGCAGAAAGATCTCCGTACTTTAGATCAAATACAACTCGTCTCCACATGTATGTTGATCCGAGAAATTGGTATCTGAATTGAGTGCAGGTGTCCATAAGATTCATCAATGAGCAAATGTCAAGATGGCAGGCAATGAGTTCAACCATTTCAGGAGGAATGAGTTGGATTGTTAAGGTTTGGTTGAGATTTGACATTAATAATGGCAATTGTGATTTGTATGTATTATCTATATAAAGTTAAGAATTATATCAATATTTGTTTTAATTGTGTATATATATCTATTACAAGTCGCTTGTATTATTCAGCAGAATATTTATTAATTAGTAATAAATCAATTGTTTCAATTTATGAGATGTTTCAATTTATGAGCTGTTGTCCCAATGTCTCTACACATATTATTATTTCTTTATTTGTACTTGTTGGTGGTTGGTTTTATAGATGCAGGTGGCGGTGCAATGTGTTTACTTATTTTTGCCTTGCAAAAAAAGAAAGAAAGAATAAAACACCCTTTTATATATATATATATATATATATATATATATATATATATAGATAGAAAAGGCGGTTAGTAGTGATGACAGATTTCGTAGGGGTTGTGGGGAGGACAAGTAAATAAATAATTTTTTTTTAAGATTTATATAATTGGATATATGCGTACAGTCGATATGTATGTATGTATGTATTAGTGAGTGAGTGAGACTACGACTCATGCTCCCTGCAGAACATCAAGGCTTTAGACAATCTTACTTTCACTTCTTGTTCTCAAAAGCTTGGTTTATCTAATCTTCTTGACTTCTTATATACACATGTACATACATACATATACATATACATATATTTATAAAGAGCAAGGAAAATTAAAAAGGTCCTTTTACATCTTACTTGTTCTTTTTCATGTTCTTCTACTTCTTCCTACTACTACTATTATTGTTATTATCAGTATCATTTACTTTCTTTTCTTTTTATATGTTATACTTCTTTACACTCCTTTTGCACCTCCTCACCCTGTTTTCCCTTCTTTGTGTTCAGGGTTTTTAACGTTCTCTTGTTATCCTTAAAAGAAATCCATATAGGCAAAAAAGAAAAAAAATAAACGTGAAAAATGTCAAGATAAAGTATAAATAAACAAATAGATTTTCCTTTGCTTTTCTTTGTTGTTGTTGTTTTTGATGGCCCATTTGTATATTTTTCTGTTATCACTAAATATGCACATAAGCTTTTGTGACATGTAAATCATCTGTCTTCTCTTCACCCCCACCCAATACCCTCCCCCTTGCTTCCTATTCGGATAATTTTGTGTGTGATGTGTAGAACTTGACTTGAGTTTATATAAAATTACAACAATCTTCATTATTTACACAATCTCCATTCCCACCTCCACCTCCACTTCTTCCTACTCCTACTCCTCATCTTCCCCCCTTGTTTATATATATATATATATATATGCTCATACTATCATAATTCAGGGTGTATACATAGCATATACATATACATAGCATATACATATACAAATATATACATATATACCTATATACATATATCGATATTCTCTAGTAATAGTGCTATATCCTTTATTGATATTTTCATTATTGCTAGAATATATACAAGTGCATATATAGATACATATATATATTTAAGGAATAAAATAATAATAATAATGGCAAAAAAAAAACAAAAAAAAAAACAAAAACAAAAACAAAAACAAAATTATTGTGGATTTAAGCATGTCAAAAGGAGGGGTGATGTTAAAAGGGGGTCAAGAAGGGGGTCAAGAGTTGGGGTTTTCTTTCTATTTCAATTATCATTCTCTTTTTTTTTTGACTCCCTCTTTTTCTTTCTTTCTCTTACTTATTCACTTACTCTTTTCTATACTTCTTTACTATCATCATCGTCTTTTTTTTTTGTATTTTGTATTTTTGTATTTATATACATATTTTTATATATATATATATATATATTAAGCAAGCCTCTGCTTATATTTCCTCCCTTGATTTTTTTTTCTTTCAAAAAAATATAATCTTGTATTATATACATTTATATATATATATATATGTGTGTTTCAAAAATTGAAATTTTCCTTATTTAAAACAATATTCCAAATCCAAAAACCAAAAAAAAAAAAAACTTTCAACGAACGCCATAGTATCAACACTACCCAGGCAATTATCAGCACTACCCAAAAAAAAAAGCATATATATCCAAAAACCAAAATCAGATATTTCTATATTTCACGCCAGCGTATTCCTCTTGTGGTGACAATTTAATTATTACTCAAGTGTATCATTAGTCCAAACCAAACCAAACCAAACCAAACCAGACCAGACCAAAAACGAAAAAAAAAGCAGCAACAGCAAAAGAAGAAGTAAAAGAAAACAATATATAATTATATAATTATATAATATCTCCTGTCTTCAGAAATCAATTAATCAACCAAACTAAAGAAAAAAAAAAGCAGAAAAAAAAACAAAGGGCAATTCAACAATATCCTACAGCCCTTCTTTTTCTTTTCTTTGCTTTCAACACCCAACGTACGCGCGCATTGATCACCAAATCTCACATTTTATTCTCAGTATGGCAGCAGCGCACCCAAGTTCTACTACGGTCGTTAGATCATGTCCTAGACCGGACCCGAACCCAGTTGACACGTCAGCCCTCTTACTCTCTTTACCACCACCTACAGACAAAGACGTAACTCTGCGTCTGGCACGTATTGACGAACTCAAATATTTTCTCGCAACTGCAACCAACAGTTGGGATCCCAATGTCCCCGTCAAGACATTCCCTTTACCTGCAGGCGAAAGCATTTCCTGTGTCTTGTGGAACAACCTATTCCACATCACTGGTACAGATATCGTCCGGTCCCTCATCTATCGTTTTCATGCGTTCGGCCGTCCGGTCTCTAACCTCAAGAAATTCGAGGAGGGTATTTTTAGCGACCTCAGAAACCTCAAGCCTGGAATCGATGCCTGTCTCGAAGAGCCCAAGTCGGAATTCCTCGACATGCTTTACAAGAACAGCTGTATCCGGACCCAAAAGAAACAAAAGGTCTTTTATTGGTTCTCTGTTCCGCACGACCGCCTCTTTCTTGATGCACTCGAACGTGATCTGAAGCGTGAAAAGATGGGCACAGAAGTAACCAGCATAGCCGTAACAGAACCTGCAACCTCACTCTCTCTTGATGCAACCCAAGAACTGTTTGATCAGTTGAGAAAGTCAATGTCTCTCTCGGCCGCCGCAACTGCCCAAGCACTCGGTGAGCAAGTCATTCCCCAGACCACATTCAAGGATCCTTCAGGTAAACCATCTTTTACATCATAATCTTCTTAATTAAATTCTCTTTTATATATCTTTTATTATATATATATATATATATATATATATTTGTGTGGGTATGTACATACCTGTATATAAATGTATACATTTATATACCTATACCTATACCTATGTCTATACCTATACCTATGTCTATACCTATACCTATATCTATATCTAAATACAAAAGAAAAGAAAATAAAGCTCAATTCAAATAAACCAACGAGTCTATACACAAGCATACAAATACATACAAACACACACACACACATACGCATATACATACATCCGCATACATACATATTTAGATTTATATATATAATATATATATATAAAGTATATATAAAGTATATATATAAAATATATAAAATATATGTATATCAAAATTTATTCATACATTACATTACATACATTAATACATACATTAATACATTATTATACATATATTTATCAATTTAACAACTTATTACTCCTGATAGTAATTTTTATATATAATTGCTTTATAAGTTACTATAATTCAATTATGTTTTTTTTTTATAATTCAAAATATTTAATATTATGCTTGTCTATTTTAGCTGACCGGTCAGAGCCTGCATGCATTCGCAACACAGAAAACGTGACATCCAGTACATGGCAAGACTCTTGGAAAGACGGCCAAGAAAGACCATCATGCCTACACTATGATACCAGTCCTAGCATTCAAGACATCCCCGCCAGAGAGAATTACAGCAATACACACCCACCAACCACCACAACCGCATTTGGCCAGCCAGACTTTAGACCTACTCGGCAAAGTACATCCAGCTCAGATTCATCTACAGATGATGTGCTTTCAATCCTCGACGATCACACCAGTTTTCCAGAAGCACAGACCTACGCTCCAAAAATCTTTCGACCAACAGAGCTCTCGATCTCTAGAGCCATCGGAAGACTCGACATTGACGGCTCACACGACCAACTCCAATCACCCACAGCCTCTATCAACATAGCCTCAGTAGCCACAGTAGGCTCCCTAGCCGCAGTTACCCCGCCAAGCTCGACAATCAAGACAAAGCAGCTTTTTGGAATGTTTTCACTCTTTGAAGGTTCTCCTTCTTACAAGCAGCGCAGACGACGGGCCACATCATTCTCATCTCTCATGGGCCAAAAGCAGACCCACCCACACTCTTTGTCTATGTCGGCTCACAACTCTCATAACCCATTAGAAAGAATCCAGACCATCGGAACCACTGGCGGCAGTAGCGGCTCTGATTTGATCCGTCGCCACACCAGCTGCCACTACCGTTCGCCCTCAAACCCCATTTTCTCTCATATGATGAATGGTCCAATCTACGATGCTGGTCCAAACAGACTCGAGATTGACTCCCTTGGTTCCAATGACTACTATCACTATCATAATCATCATAGTCACCATCATAGTCACCCTCACCATAACCATCCTCATACCTATCCAAATCTTCATATCCACCATACACGTGAACTCGAGCGATTAGAACCCAAGCGGTCTCCTGTACTGTCCTGTCCATCGATACCCAGTTTCAATCCTGCACTTTACAGAGCAGCGCACGCAACAACTGTCTGTCGAGAGGATGGATCGGATTCAGAGCGCGTCTTTACCTGTCCACTCGGATCCTGCGGTCGTCTCTTCAAGCGTCTCGAACATCTGAAGCGACACATGCGCACTCACACGATGGAGCGGCCTTATGTCTGCCCGCTGTGCGGAAAGCGCTTTTCACGGTCAGACAATCTTTCGCAGCACCGCAAAACTCACCAGAAACTGCAGTCCAAACAGACAAAGGAAGAAGGTGACAATGACAAGGATGGATCTTCATTTGGTCACAGTAACCAAAAGTCTCACCAGCGAAACAATACAAGCAATGCAAACAGCAACAGCAAAAACAATGTAGATAGCTATCAATCTCATGAAGATCCAAACAGCAACACTAGTAGTTATACTAACTTTTCTTCATCGTCCTTGTCATCGTTGTCGCTGTCATTGTCATCGCCTAATTCTCATTCCCTGTTTCACAGCAATAATCTTTATCATCGTGACAAACGAGATGTGCCTGTTGCTCTTCAGCTATCCAATCTGCCCAGCATTGGTAGCGACAGCAGCAGTCGCAGCAGCACCCAAAGTCCGATCAACATGGCCCTTAGTTTCGAAGGACATGATATGATAAACACAAGTATTGCCGAGGAATCAAAATACGAGATCCTTCCACATGAACAATGCGAGAAAAACATGAACATGAACATGAATATGAACATGAATATGAATATGAGTACCGATATGCATATGACTATGAATATGAATATGAATTTGAACATGAACATGAATCTCAATATGCCGGCCTATGTGGAAGAGGTTGACCAAAATATGTTTCCAGGCTTTATTCCGGTTGGTGGATCCGAGTACATCAAGCAAGAGTCTGTCAAAGATTGTAACATGGTCTACAACGCTGGTTTTGTCCGAAATACCAGCAATACCAACAATAATAGTAATATTGGGTTCAGTTCTGGACAGACATTTTCACCTTCTGATGATGATGGCTTTGATTCAATGGTATCCTCTCCAGAATCCATGGTATTTCCACAGCCACATTCACAAAGACAGCCTCAACATCAACTCGTCCAGCAAAGCCAGCATAACCACAGCAACCAGAGTCGGTTTGATCAATACTTGTCTGAGTCGTCTGTACAAATGATTTCTTCACCTATCCCTGAAATGACCTTTCCTTCGTTCTACCCTGGCCCACATCACAACAGATCCCGGGTTCAGTACGCAGGACAAGCAGAATTTTATGCAGACCCGATGACTGACACCTATGGAAATGACTTGGTCAACTCGGCCTCTTCTGACCAACCATCTCATCACCCTTACGCCCTCTCGTCCTCATCATTTCGCTCGTTTGATCAACCGTCCATGAATTGCTTCTAGAAGAAGTATTTTTTCTTTTTCTTTCTATTCATTCATTCACTCATTCATTCATTCATTCATTTATTTATTTCAATCACTGCTTCATTTACCCATACTCCATTCTTTTCTCAATCTATATATCTCCCTCCATTTTTTTTATATTATATTCATTGTTCTTGTTATTTATACTATTATTGTCATTACTATTACTATTACTATTACTATTACTATTACTATTATTATTATCGTTTGTTCGAATTTCCCTTTTTTTCATTTTTATTCCTTTGATTTTGTTTTGTTCTTCCAAATTTGCATTATGACATCTCTTGATCTTCCCTTAGCTATTTCTTATATATCTTACTTTTGCCTGTATATGTTTACCCTTTTTATTCGTCTTGATGATTTTTCTATCTTGTCTTTGTTTCATTCGTATCTTATGTTTTCTTTCCCTTTTCTTATATATATATATATATATATATATATCCCTTTCATTTTCATTTTCATTTTCAGTCTTGTTCGCAAACCCATCACAATCGCCAGCCAGAAAACAATAACAAATCCTAGCCAGAGAAAAACAAAAAAAAAAACAGCGAAAACAGCGAAAACAGCAAAAACAACAACAACAACAACAACAACAACAATAGCAAAACAAATTTTATTCCCATCATTTATGCCACCTACATTTTCTATCCTTTTGTTCTTCAAACGATGCATTGATTCCCCCCCTTTTTTTCCTCTTCTTCCTTTATTATTATAATTATAATAATAATAATAATTATAATTTATTTATTTATTTATTTATTTATTTATATATCTTATATATATATTACATTATATTTTACATGTATACATTACATACATACATATATACATATATACATACTTATACATACATACATATACATATAGCATATACATTTACATATATATACATATATATATATATATATATATAAAATTATATAACTGTGCCATTATGATAATCTACTTGTATTTTCTTGTCATTGGCCCAGCTGTTCTTATAGCGCTCGCCTTTTGTTCTCATTAGTTTAACTATCATTTTTAGCAAAGAGGCAAAGGAGAAATGAAAGCAAAGGAAATTTGTATTTCACTTTTTGATTTTGTGTGTGACACAAATTGAGCAAATAACTGCGCTTTTCTCTCTCTCTCTATACACAAAGTAAAACGAGTCACTTTGAGTTAACTCCATTTATTTATTATACAGGTAGACTGTTTTTTATTATTGTTATTATTATTATTATTATTACATGCGGTAAAGAGAGATAGGGTGACGAGGACCATCATCTTTAGATTTCTTTCTTCAATCACATCTCTTCTTCTTTTCAATAAAGAAAAAAAAAAATTAAAGTAAATATCTTCAATAAATATATGTTTATATTTATATCTATTTATTGCTAAACAATCATACTAATTTGCATTCTTCGAATTATAAAGAATCTTGCCTGACAGATCTTCTTTTGTGTCATTGTCATATCAAAACAAGCATTGTAGATGACCGAAACCGAAAAAGGAAATAAGAAAAACAGGCAAGTTACAACAACTTCATAGATAGATATTGACATATAAACTAATACTATACAATTTTGTAATAATATAGAAATTAAAGAAAATCGAAAGAAAGTCTATAATTCTTAGGCCACATAAGAACAAAACATGGCTCGAAATACATGTCCACCTCTGTTGGCCTTTACAACGAGATTCGTCAAGACCCAAAAGAAAACAAAAGAGTGGAAGGGAGTTTTGCAAAGATAACATGGAAGAAGAAGTATGTATAAATAATCAAGGAAATAAATCACATGATTACTAAACAAAAACAAAAATTGTGTATATCCAAAAATTAACAGGATTTACCACATTTAACAAGGACCAGTTTAATCGAATCTTATGGTGGCTGGGTGGCTGGAGGAACGGTTTATAGCTAGCTAGCTGTCCGCTGGAGGCGCAAGTATAGTGTTGTTTACATGACTTTGAAAAGAAGTGATTAACCTATTTTTATATGTGAAATTCACACATATTTAATATCTGAATTTCCATATCTTAATGGGCCGGCCTTTCCCTTTTTCCTTTTCCTTTAATAAAGAAAATACTTGCTGATGACAGCCAATAAACCTAACCCAACCCCATTCACTTTGATTTTTCTGTCTTTCTTTTAATCTGCTAGAATTAGCAGCACTAAAGCTAATATAAGTAATTGATATATACATGTGTATATATTGTCTGTTATACAACAGAAATAAAAGGGTCTTTGACTAAGCTCTTGAAAACCATTAGTAATTAGTCAATAGAGCAACTTATTTTCTGATATATATAACATGGATACATATCTATTAATTTCTTTTCATTTTATTTCTCAAAATCAAATCAACTTCATTTTGCGGCTAGTTAGTTATTGGGTTATTTAGCTGTCGTTGTTGTTGTGGTTCTATTATTCACCATGTTTATGTATAGTTGTATATATCTGTATAAGTTTGTGTTCATTTGTGTGCGCTTGTGCACATTTGTATGTGCTTCTGTACGCCTATGTATGCTAGTGCTTTTTTTTTTTTTTTTTTTTTTTTTTTATAATCTTTCTAAGCAATTGCCCTGCAGTATGCAAGGTTAGTACGCGTGCTAACCAAAAGGTGTGTTAGTCTGTAGTTTGTTTACATTTATGTACATCTTTTCCTTCCCTTTATTTTTATCTTTACTTTTGTTATTTCTTGCTTTGTTTTGGTTGTATTTATAATTAAATAATGATAGCATAAACCAAGTAAATTCAAATAATACTAATAATAATAATAATAACAATACAGAAAGCTAATATAAATAATCATATTAAGGTTAAGCAAATCCAAAGGAAGGTTAAATTGATATATAAATATATCCAAGATAAGCAATTATTATAACTATTATCAAGAAAAAGGGTATGGGAAATATGGCAGGAAGTAAGCTCAAAAAGAAGTTCTTTTAAAGAAAAATTATTTAGATTATGTTATGCCTATTATACTTATTATTATTATTATTATTATTATTTTGTGAAAAAAAAACAAACAAAAGTTGGTGGGGGGGGGGGGTTATTGGTGATGGCGGTTGGTGATGGCGTGAATGTTAAGATAAATTATACATACATATAAATATATACATATATGATTTGTTTTTTTTTAAGCTGTGGCGGGCTTCTTGGCAACAAAGAAGAACATTGGAGTAAAGAGGTTCTTCTGGGCACCGGCAACAAGAGCATCAGCAGCAACCTCAAGGAAGCTCTGGGTCTCGACAGTACCCTTGGGGGCAAGACCGACGGCCTCCAAAACACGGCACATGTTGGTGGTAGTGAAGCGACCGGCCTTGGTCATGGCCAAGGTGGTCAAGACATCACGAACGGTCTGGCACTTGCGAAGATCACCCTCGAGAGGGTAGAACCAGTGGATAGGGTCTCCCATGGCAGCAAGATCCTGGTGAATCTCGATCTCAAATCCAACGTTCTTCAAAGCCTGGAGGCACTCTCCAATAGGGCGCATCTTGGGAATACCGTTACCACGCTATATACAACAACAATTATTATTATTATTATTATTTAAAAGATAAATAAAGAATAGAAATGTTTAGTATAAGTGCTTATGAGTGTGAGTGTGAGTGTGAGTGTGAATGTAGTTCTTTAAACACACACACACAAAGATATTTAGTTCTTTACCTCAATTCCGTGGGCAATCTCACGGTGCTGGGCATTGTTCTCATCATAATCGTCAGACATACACCACTCGTAACAACCAAAGGATCCTCCGGGCTTCAATACTCGGAAAATCTCACCATAGACACCCTCAAATGTAGGTGCGTGACAGGTGGCTTCGATGGCATAAACGGCATCATAAGAGTTCTCCTCAAAAGGTATCTCCATAAAGTTACCCTAAGTACATGATACACATACACACAAAGAAGTTGTCATGGTTAAATACAGCTATATATATATATATATATATATATGTTTGGGTTTGTTTTTTTCTGCTACACCAGAATCTCCGATTATTTTTTACAAAGCTTTGCACGAGCATTTTCACCAATTGTACAACCCATCAAGAAGTGGTCTGTACTTTTTGTACCAGTAACCCTTTTATTACATTTCTTCTTCTTCTTCTTTCATTTTCACGTGATTGCTTCGGTCTATCTTTAAGCCCATAGTCCTTTACTACCAACTTGTCTATCTACCACTCCTCATATTCCCAAGTTTATATTCATAATATTTACCTTGACAAAGTCGGTCTGATCAGCAAGACCCTCCTTGGCAGCATAATGGAAGGCTCTCTCGATCTGATAAGCGTTGTTGTTGAGGCCGACAATGTTGGCACCTGTAAAGTGAGCAATCTCACGGGCAGGTCCACCTATTATTATTATTATTGTTTTTTTTTTTTTGAAAACAAAGATGATTATCAGTTTTGTGAGATCCAAGCACATATAACATAATCTTCTTCTTTATTTCCATGTTTTATCCTCTATCCTTTTCTCTTTTTCTCTCTAAGCATATATATATACTTCTTTAAAAACAGAAAAAAAAAACTTACCAACACCACAACCAACATCAAGAACCTTCATTCCCTTCTTAATTCCAATATTGGCAGCCAAGAAGTGCTCGTGACGGGCGATGGCACGGAAGAACTCCTCTCCAGGATAATAACGGCAGAAATGGAAACTAGTTCCCCAACCTTAATAATAATAATAACAACAACAACAATAAAGAATTAACAAACCGTTTTCTTTTTCCTCTTCTTTTGGTTCAATGGGCTTTTCATTATTTATAAACAAAAGTATATATATATATATTTACCGTATTCATAAAAGTCGGTAGCCAAGTTATAGTACGAGTTTACCAACTGGGTATAGTTGCCCAATCTCTTCTTCTCATCCTCCTTGGTCTCGACATCAGACTTCTTCCACATCTTGAGGTAAGTATCAGTGGCGACATTGTGGACATCGGCGTTCTTTGACTTGAGGTTAGCAATAAGACCAGACTTGATCTTCTCGCCGTGAAGGGCACGAGCAAAAGCAATATCCTCAGAGTTGACAGCAGAAACGGTGCTTTGGGTCATGATGAAAGAAGAGGAATGAACAAAAGATGATGATGAACCCTTTTTTTTTATTTTATTTTATTTTATTTTATTTTATTTTTATATTTTAATTATTTATTTATTTATTTATTTATTTTTTGTTGTATATATATATATAAATTATATATAAATATTTTATCACTTTAAAATTTCGTAACTGGACACAAAATCCAAGTATTTTATTATTTCGCGTTTCTATTGGAAGACTAAAAAGGTTGTGCCAGAGCGTTACATATTTTGTTGTATAAAATATATATATGTATATGTATGTATGTATTCCTAAATACAACAACACAGCACAAAATAGCACAAAATAGCACAAGATATGATAGTAGCCTATAATACAGTTCAGTATACCACAGCACATTACAGTACATTACAGCATACAAAGAGAATAATAGTAATAATAATCTGTATCTATTCAACAAAAAAGGGAGGTTCCACAAGCTTGAATCTGTCTATTTGACCGCACATTTCTTCTGTCTCCGCATCCGGATTGTGTCGGTAGTTACACCGCGGAACAAATAGGGTAAGAAAAGAGGGGTTTTTCACCTTGTGAACCAGAAAAAATAAAAAATAAATATCATACACATGAAAAATAAAGAAGTAAAGAAAGAAAAAGACAGCCTTTTGATGCACCTACCCACCCGCCCACATATAGGAGAGAGATTACCAATAACCAAACACATCGTACAGGTACACTGTAGAGGTACAAAAGAACACCGATAATACGAATGATAAATAAGTATCCGGCATTTGCTACTGAGACCTTTTTTTATTTATTTTTTTATTTGTTTGAATCTCTGTATATTGATAATAAACCTATTTATACAAAGTCTATTTTGTGTCATTAATCAGTAGCTTTCTTTCTTACTATTGATATTGGTATTTTTCATTAGTTAGTTTGCACTACAGTTTGTCGCGGTTTCTATTTTTTTATGTTCTTAAAAAGAAAATCCACATTTGTACTTCTTTGATACAAAGACAAAGAGAAGCCTGTACAATATTTCGGGTTTCTCAACAAGTCAAACCACCTGCACTTATACGTTTATACATTTTGCTTTGCTTTATAGAATGAAGCTATTTGTGATATTCTTTTAATTTACCTTATTTCATTTTTCTACTATATTTATATTTGTCTATTAAAAAGAAATAACTACAGAAGCAATCAAATATTTTGAATGTCTTTAATCTCTAAACACATTCATAAAAGATAAAAACATAGACGTCTTTTGTACTTTAATTTTTTTCTCTTTGGGTTGAATATTATTTAAAGCAAGAATATACCCTATGTATGCGTGTACGCATGTGTGTACGTATGCATATGCGTATACGTGTATGTGTGTGTGTGTGTGTGTGACACGAGTTGAAATTACGTATTCCTTGGGATTTGCTTTTTTATTTCCTTGAATACATATATCTTCTACGCGTATACAATGTAATATGTATACGGTTCATAGTAAAGTATCTCCCAGGCATTTAATTAAAAAGAAAGGAAGAAAAACTTGTATATATATAAGATATTGTCTTTGTACTAATCAGTTCAAATATTTGTGCTACTAAATAGCCATGCTATTTTCTTTTATAAAAAATAGGAATAATAAAAAAAAATCTATGTATTTTAATTCATGATAGTAATATATATATATATATATACCTTGCTCTGAAGCCTACCTCGTCTGATATTAAGTTATTGCTTTGCATAGAATGATCAATCGGTGTCATGTACTCAGGATAGTATCAGAGTTAAAAGAGATACCACCAATAGGCTTATAAAAAAATAAACATAAAACCAAAATGAACAGTCTAAAATTCAGTCAACGTACAGCTCATCTATACACACACATATATATATATATATGTATGTATTAATTCTTTCTTTATTATTTTGGTTTAAATAAAGATATCAAAATTGAAGAAAACAAAAACAGTTAAAAAGAATCTATATAGATTGTCAATTGCTCTAAAGAAAATCAAGTTTAAAATAAAATAATCAAGAGAAATGCAAGGGACCAGAAGATATATTTTATGAGAGATGCGATAAAAATACACTGGCAGAACAAAGACAATACACTCGAGTGTAATAGGTCATTGGACGGTCTTCTAATTTTCAAAATTATTTTTCAAGCATATTATGGACAATATTTTCTTTTCAATAATGTTGATAATAAAATGTGCTCAGAATAAAGCAAAACTTAGAGAAAACATAGTTTATTATATATATATATATTTAAGAGAAGAAGTATAAAGCTCTAGTAATGAGTTGTGTCACCACCTCTCTCGATTACTTCTTTAAACCTATCTGGCATTCTGGCTACCAAAGTTTCCAGAACTTGAAGTGGTATCTCCAACCATGTCTTGTGGATTACTGCTTCAAGTTCTTTCACATTGGTTACTTGTGCTCTGTTCTTGCGAAGTTTCCTCGCAAGATGAGCCTAAATATGCTCGATAGGATTAAGATCTGGGCTCTGGGCAGGTCAAAAATCAAAGCTATCTATTAGACACCTCTCTTTTTTATACCATGTGGCATAAGCGCCCGTGTGACATGGTGCACCATCCTCTTGGAACAAAAACTGTTTGTTATTATCTCTGGACAGTTCCTTGTACCAGGGGAAAAAGTACTGAGCCAAACAGTCGATGTACTTGACTTGATTGTTTCCTTTCAATGTTACTAAGGGGCCAAGACCATCACCCCAGAAACAACCCCAAATCATAACGGAACCCTTACCAAACTTGTATGTTTGGACAATATAGTTCTTGTCAAACCTCTCGCCAGGATTTCTGATGACTCTGACTCTTCTATCATTGCCAACTACCATGAATCTGAACTCGTCTGACCAGACAACTGACTTCCACTGCTCAACGGTCCAATTCACTTTGTTAAGGCACCATTTCAGCCTGTTTTCCTTCTGTTTCTCAGTCAACCCTGGCTTGCGAGCTGCTGAGTGAGAATTGAAGCCAAGAAGTTCCATGTTCTTACGGAATATAGTCATGCAGATAGGAATTCCCGCATCAACTAATCTCTGATGCTGAGCCACAATTGACACGAATGGCTCACTATGAAATGAGCATACCATCGCAGATTGTGTTCTTTTTGTAACCTTAGGTTCCCTTCCTAGACATGTCAAGGGCTTGAAAACACTTTTATCTCTGAAGGCTTTCACTACATTTCCAACAGTGCTCTTCAGAATGTCAAGGGCTTTAGAGATTTCTTCATATGTAGCATCCTTCTCCCATTGACCTATAATTCGGCCCCTAATGAATGCATCTAACTCTTGTCTTTTGGGTTTTGTGATGCTAGAAGTTGGTGGAGTCATTTTATGCTTTTGTTTTATTTGTTTAAGAGTTTTTAGTGGTTTTACAAAGAAAAGAGTATTTTGATAATGCATAAAAAAAAATCAAAAAATCAAAAAATCTGTGACTGTCTAATGATCTATTACACTCGAGTGTATATTAAAGCTAGTATTTTTAGAGAAGCATGCAATATATTACTGTAAATAAAATATATTGTTCCAAATAGTATAGTTTGTACTTCTTTAACAAGAAATGAGAAAAACAATTGATTTTAATAGTCAGTTTGCTATCTAAGTCGAACGTCTATATTTTCGAACGTCTATATTTTCTGGTAGATGGTAAAGTATTAGCCGAAATTGAGGCTTATCTACCAGAAAATAAGACAAAAAATACAACTACCAGAAAATAAAAAATGCGATAATTTGCTAGGTCGTTTTGAAAGTTGTTTTAATTTACAAAACATTTCTTTGAGAAAAAAGCTAGATAGTTATAATTTTATTCTTGTGTATGAGATCTGCGAAGATGAACTTCATATTTGTTTTTTATAGACTGAAAGATTTGTAGAGAGCGTTGATATGCATCAAACAAAGTCTGACCATCATCTTCAGTCATATACTGTTGCATAGTCAGTAGATCTTAGTTTGCATACCGAAGTGTTTGATTGATGTCAATACATTGCTGTATAAAAGCAGATGTACGACTGATAGTTGGTGTGATTGTAGCTGTTTCAGAGGTAGAGACTGGCTGTATTACGTTTGTACTTGTGACAGAAGGTGGAGAGAAGTAGAGAGATCGGTTTGTATGCATTTTAAGCAAATACATATGCTTACAAGGTTTATATCTTTGCTGATAATCAAAGCAGGTGCACGAAATAATCAAGTTTGGCTCTGCAACCTGAACGACATATGCTGTATTTTCATTTACAAACGACCGAACTTGCCAATTTACATCTTCTGCAGTACCAGGAGCAACAATCATCATTTCCCTGTCATCATCATCGACTTCTTCAGCTTCCATCTCACGTATTCTTTGTTGTCTAGTAAAAGAACTCATTGGACCATTGTTTGACATGACGCATTCGTATTCTTGGGTGAGATAATACTCAACATCATGTACTAAAACAAAAACAAGCTTATCAAGTCTCTTGTTTCTAGATCTTTTCATGAAAACTGTTTTTAATTGATTGTGCCAGGACTCGATATAGTTATTTGTGAGCATATAGGAGAATTGTCGTTCATGGTATGCTCTACTCCAGATCTTAAACTTTGCTTCTGTGCACCAGTTTCTCTCAAAGTAATCCAAGAAGCTTTCTTGGTCGTCAAAGTCTTCTTTAAACTGTACAATTTTATGATGAAACTCGTCTATGTCTTCTTCATAAATGATCTCTTGCAGAGACTTCATCATCACACCACGTAAAATTCGTGCCTCTGATGGTAAGGATCCAGGAATCTTCACACTGTCAGATAACTTTCGGTTCCATGCTTGGGTTACATGAAAGATGCAAAATTGAATGGATGTTGCAGGGAAAGTTGTCTGAATGGCGTGAACTTCTGCTGCACAACAATCAATAGTAAATTGCTTTGGGTCAACAAGCAAAGAAGATCTCTTCAAGAACTGCAGCCACTGCACAATGGGGCTTACACCTCGATCATTGGTTAACATAAAGGCAACAGGCCATCCTCTACCAATATCTTCATCACGCACCAAAAGGGTATAAAGAATCTCATTCACGTTGCTAGAGATTGCATGAGTAGCATCCAAACAGAAAGAAGTTGCAGTTTTCATTTTTTCTTGCTGAACGGGTGACATAAAACCATATGCAAAGGCTGATGGATCTGGAGAATATGAAGTATTTGCCTTAAAGATGTTGAAGTTTAAGGCAGAAAGTTTGTTGTTCATCCAGATTAAGAAAGAAGTCATTTGATCTTAATCATAATGATACAGCTTTTTATTGATCTATTACAGAAATATATTAAAGTAAATGCTATAAGATATATTATTTTTAAAGCTTACTTTGTTCATCAAATTCCAGATATCATAATAGTTAACTTTTCTTTCAGACTTTCTACCATATCGATCTACAGCTCTCAACATATCAATTCTAATTTGACTAGCAGATTTTGACGACTGTTCTAATTGCTGAGCCAACTCGTGAAGATATTTCTTTGCAAGAGGAAGGGTGCAAATGTCACTACGCATATCACCAGGAGTATGCTCTGCATGATCTTTTGTAACAACAAATTCATAAAACTCGGGTGTCTTAAAGAATCCTTTCACATGAAGAAGAGCAGGACACTTGTTTTTCTTTGTTTGCTTTTGAACCACACGCAAAGCTGCCTTAGATTCATAGGTTCCCCAACGATGACAGGAATACTCCTGAGAAAAACACAACTTAATACCAGTTGCTTTGGCTTCTTCAGCAGTAATGTTGGTGGGTTGCTTATTGGTGTTATGAATGACCCACTTGACTGCACAAGCTTCCCCAATCTCTGTTAAACATTCTTTCCACTCAGATGTTTTTACTCTAATAATATTTTCTAATCTAAGTGTCATCACTTCTGGAACAGAAGAGCATTCCAAGGCTTGGGAGATTGTTGCCAAAGTGTAAATGGTTTCGTTAGATTGAGTGTTGTTGATTGACATATTTGGTGAGAGTGTGTATTTTAATAAAACGCGTAATTTAATGGATATAGAATATCTGTTTCAAATAAACAATTCAAAAACAAAGAAAAGGATTGGCAGTCACCATTTCGGTTAATATTTTATCATCTACCAGAAAATATAGACTTTCGTATTTCATTTGGTGTGAGATTGAAGCCATCCACCATGCCTTAGGGAATATGGATGAGTGGTTTCACGAGGACAATCCACGATCTGTTGATGGCCTTGGCTATGATCGAAACGGCGTTGAAAGAGTTTTTTTTTTTTTAAAAAAAAAAAAAGGCTCGTCAGGTGAAGGTAGGGTGGTCGTGGATAAGACAGTATACGGCGGCAGAAAACAGCCAAGCTCTCTTATGTCGATGCTCAAAGGCATCGCTAACCCGTATCTAAATGTAAACTTTGACATACTGCTATTAACAAAAGTCTTTGGAATCCAATCCGTCAAAACCAACATCATTTCCAACATCATTTTGTCGGAACTTAAATTACAAGACAATGGCGTTTCGTTTACCAAAGAAGTACGATCGGCTGAAATACCAAAAATGTACGCCCAAGGACACAAATGGCTCAAGGGGTTTGAGGTAATATGTCACTTGTTTGCTGCTCTTAAAGAGAAACATGAAGAGCACGGCGCAATCTTGGTTGTCCCTCAGTAATAGCATCCGTAGAAAGCTTGAGTTTTGAACATGAATCAAGTTGATGAATAATATTGTATTCCAGAGATACTATTCGTCTATTGCAATGATAAAACTTCACGCTATAACTAATATATATATATATATATATCAGTTCTGGGGAACTCATTGTGGGGAGATAATCGAAACTAGCTCAACATATGAGACATATGGGATATTTCATATCCATGTAAGATCACAATGTAACTCAAGCTTAAATACTCACAGAGAGTAGAAATGTTGGGATCCCTAAATATAATAAAAAAAATTAGATGGTGTTTTTAAAGTAGCAAAGGAAAAGCGAGAGAATGTAGTAGTATTTAATACAATAGAGCAAAACAAAAACAAGCCCCGAGATTTTAAGCTTTACATTTGGTGATAGGTAGTGGTTTCAAGCTAGAATTTTATCATTGGGCAATTGATGGCAAACGGTAATACCTTTAGTTTGATATAGCAGAAAAGAATGTATTTACGTGTGTATTTATATATTTATTAGAGTTGTCAATAGATATTGCAACAATATACTTTTTAGTTCAATGCTTTTGGTGAGTAATGTTATGGTTGTATATATGAGCAATAGATACATGTGTGAAGTATGATTTCGAGTGTCTAGAATTGGATACTCGAGTAAGTAAACGACATTGCACAGATTATTTGATTACTCTTGTAAACTTGGTTACTGTTGTTTTATTTTGGTTTCATTCTATTGAGAACATATATATTCTACTTTTGCTCTATTATGATTTTGCTGTCTAATATTCAAGTGCCACTTTTTGTTTTGTCTCTAATTGGCTATGGTTATGAGTGTCTACTTTAGAACCGAGAAATATCACGTCCAAATACCCAAGTCAAACACCTACAAAAGTTTTATGTTTTTATGTAAGCAGCATTAAATATATTTAAATTTAAAGATTCTGCGTATTTTTTTTTATATATTTTTTAATAGAAACCAGTACAATTGAAAAAATAAAGATAAACCACATACCAATACATAGGAATTAACATTTTGTTTCTTGCACTGACACTCATACTCAAGTAAGCCGATCTGTTTTATATATATATATATATATAATTGGTTTTATGGCAAAAAGTATCAGTATGTATATTCAAGACAAACATCGTGTGTCTATATATTTTTTACCTCCAAAACATCCATGCCATGTGTCCTCCTTCGGTTGCCTTTTCATGAACTGGTCTCATATCAACAACAGCTTGCCATGACCCGATGTATGCCTATCATGATAAACGTTTCTTTGGTTTAAAAATACGTTTAAAGATAGATGCTTATATAGATATTCATATTACCATTGATCCACGATTCTCAAAACTAAAACCTTTATCCACATGTGAATTTGATTTCAATGCCGCATTTAGTTCTATTATAATTATAATTATTAGTATTAGTATTAGTATATGTTATTTTATATTTGGGTTTCTTTTTTGTTTTTAATAATTAAAGATAAGTAGGTAAAGTATAATGTACTGCATGCTTCTTGTGTTTTAAAAATTAAAATGTTTGATACAAACCATTGCCTAAATATATAGCCTTCTGACTGGCAACTATATATTTTATTTTTGGATAGAAAACAAGCCGTTAGTTGCACGCACCAGATATTATATTTATAGGCTTTTAGTACTACTAATAAGAGTGAAATCATACCTTGGGCAGTAGCTGGAAGATTATAATCTTTAATTGTAGCACAATCTCCAAGTGCATAACTACACCAAGATATATATGTTAACATCAAGTCTATTAAAAATCTATAGACTATCTAAATATTTTGTGTTTTATATATATATATATATATATCTTTGTTATGGTTATGATAAAGGTTAGTGTTCCTTACATGTTCTTCAAAGGCTCCATTGTTTTGCTATCCAAAACTCTCAACTTCTTATCAGTCAGAATACTACCAAAAAAAATTTATTACTTGTTCAGTTTAATGCTTAGATAGATAAAGAAACCAAGAAAATGGAATATGTTTTACCGGCGAGTTCGAGGGTCTTTGGCAGCTGTCATCATAGACTCCACAATCGGATTTGGCATCAATCCAGTAGACCACACAAGCATACCATATGGAACTAAATATACATACATAAGTATTATTATTATTATTTTGTAGGTTAATTTCACCAACAACAGCAAAAGTAATAGTCGTAGTCGTAGTCGTATTCTACTTATAGATAATAAACAGATTGTACCTTCTCCTTCTTCCTTGATTGAAATCACATCCTTTTTGACTTCAAGTACATGGCTTCCAGGCTATAACAATAAAATAATAATTGATATTCAATATTCAAAAAGAGGATTGTCAAGGTCTCGGAAAATATCGGACATCAACACAGACCTAAACTAAACTAAAATATATAAATTTATATAAATTACCTTGATTTGGATACCATTACGTTCAAACTTCTGGGTAGCGTAATTAGACAGCTTTTGATCAAAGCTTCCCAGGATGCTTGGTGACACATCATAAACTGTCATCCGGGTGTACTCCATTAGTTGCGGATACAATCGGGAAAGATCCTCGGTAATGAAGTCATACAACTCAGCTGAAAACTCTACACCCTAAAAAAAAAAATTAATATTAAAATTAAAGAATTAAACTTTTTCTTATATATATATATATATATATTATTGTTATTATTATTAAACAGGAATATGTTTTATGCGCATTATAGATAATTCTATATCGATTTTGAATCCCCCGCTTTCTTTTCTTTTTTAGATTTTTTAGATTTTAATAATAATAATAGTAATAAAAAGGATACTTGATATTTGATATGCCCGTGTGTACTTACGGTTGGACCACCGCCAACTACTGCAAAATGTAATTTGTTTGCCTTTTCTTCATCTGTAACTCCAGGCTGTGCAGCAAATTCGAAACCTAGAGTAGATAGATAAAAGTGGATAAATGTTTATAGACAAAGATAATAAAAAAAAAATAGAGATACTTTACATTCCAATACTCTTGCACGGATTCTCTGGGCATCTTTGATATCTTTTAGGAAAATACCATATTCTTTCACACCCGGAGTATTGAATGTGTTGGAGTATTCACCAACAGCAATTACCAATTTGTCATAATCCACAGTGAACTTTTCTCCCTTGTCTATTTATTTATATATATTTATTATATATTATCATATAATTAAAGGCCTCAAAACAAAAGCTTACTGTCATCTAGATTTGAGGTACAATGGATCAATTGATTCTCCAGATCTATACAATACAGATAAATGTCAGTCAGTCAGTTGGTTGGTTGGTTGGTTGGTTGGTTGGTTTCTTTTTTTTTTTTTTTTAAAAAAAATAAATAAATAAATAAATTAAAGGTTGCTGCTTATCAAAAGCACGTTTCTGTTTTCATACCAACACTGTTGCACAGAGCTTGGTGGTAATCTACATCTTTGGAATAACCTCGCACGGGCTCTGTGATACATCTGAATTCAAGAGTTCCTACAGCCGTACTTCAAATAAAATAAAAATAAAAAAAGAATATCAATGCTTAAATTCTCACTCCTTGAATAGCTGACGCTTAAACGATTAAGCAAAACCAAGTACTCTCAATGATAATAACTATTATGTAAAGAAACCAAAACCAAAAATAGACTATTGAATATTTTTGTTATTCTAAAAGTTACCTTGCCAAAAGAGGAGTAAAAACAAAATAGTTTCTATACATATGATAAAGATATTAGTAAATATATACGTTCAATCGATGCTATTCTTCTATTTACCTGGGTGAAATAACAGTAACATCATAGTGTTCCTTGTTAAGATCTCTCATCAATTTGAAACCTGTTTAATATAAAATCGAGTTACATCAATCAACTATATTTAATCAATTCTAGACAAGTATATTTACCAGCCCATCCGGATCCTATATAGTTAGATAATTCATTCATTCATTCATTTATTGGTTTAGTAATCGGTTTCATTATGGACCCTAACAAGATCTACAGCATATACACATATAAAAAGATACTTGCCTAGGACAACGATTCTGCCTATTATAATGATGTCAAAATTAGGTCAATTTTTTCTTTTTTTTTTTGGGAAATTCAAAGAGCGTTTGGAAAGAGAGAGAGAGAGAAAGTGGGTTGAATTGAATTGAATTGAATTGAATTGACTGAAAAAAGTCACTTACCATGAGATTTGGCAAGAGTTCTGGTCCTATTGGATGCATTGGCAAAGCTTCCTGTAGATGATCCAAAATAATAATAAAGTATTATTATCATTATTCACCATTGATTAATAAAGAAAAGATATTACTTTGGGTTACTTCAATTGGACGTGTAGATAACGATCGTTTGATTATCAAGCTAGGAAGTCGAATACGAGTAAAAGCTTTTTTTTCATGATTTGATTAGACAATTGTATTTACAAGTTAGTTTTCAAATATGTTTGTATCTCATGCTAATGGCTTGGTATTCTGTTATGATTTGTTACCAGAAAAGTGCTGCATATTGTATGTAAGACAATTAACTAGAAATGTTAAAGAAAGAGAAAGAGAGAGTGTGTGGATGTGTACATAGCATTCAGGAGATTAATACATATATATATATATATAAATATTTAATTAAACTATGTCATCTGATGGATAGCTTAATATATAGTACAATATAATATAAAAGAATTTGTGTGTGCTTGAGGAGAAAGTAGGAAAGACAGAATCCTAAATATTAAAAAAAAATTACATATCGGATAAGCTTTTCTCTGTAGCGCATTGAAAATTGTACCATTTAAATGCTCAACAAATTTAAAACTAATGAATGAATGAAAAAGGTACAAATTCATATCAATGTTTGCGTTTGAGTTGTTGTTTGATTTGCTTAAAGATACACTTATCAGATATGCCTTACTATATATATATATATAATATTATATTATAATGATTTTCTTTAGATAAGCATCTCAAATATTTCAAGAACAAAAAATATTGCACGTTTTCTCTGTTTCTTTATCTCAATGGGCTTTATGTTTGAAAACCCATTGATTGAATTTGATCCAATAGAATATTGTAAGAACAAAAAAGTTGTGATTTATTTTGATACACTTTTTATCTTTTTGGTAAAAATAGACAGTAAATTATTTGCGATTGTGTGTTGAGTGGTTGAGTGGATATGTTTTCGTGTGGATAGAATATAATATAATATATATATATATATATATTGTTTTGTATTGATCGTGAAAGAAAGAATGCTTAATAGACATTTAGCCCAAAATAATAATCAACTCACGCTATCCTGTGCATAATTATTTGATTGATACATGGGCATGTGTCTTGTATGGGTCCTTCTTTTAGACTACCCTTATTAATAATGATGTGTACAATTTGTACATTTTGTACATTTTATATATAGACCCTCTTTACTTTTTGTTGATGGTTTTCTTTATCGCTTGTTTTAGCTTTACTGATAATTAAGATTAATTGACCTGCCAGACCTGTCACATCAAATATAAAGAAATATAAAGAGGATAGTGATCGTATGTTTACCATGTGTGTAAAAAGTCAAATGTGCATTAGAAGCTGTCGATCTTACTCTACCTTTTATATATAGAAATCTGAAACACAATATACATACCAAAGGGATAATTGGACGTCAAGGATAAGGTTTGTATGTTTTTAGTGGCTATCATTTTGACACAGCTGTGCTACGACAACTTCATGGATGAAGCATGGATATCACCATGCGTCTGGTGAAACAACCAGTATATAAATATAATGAATATTGAATAAATCTATCGCCTGATTTACACCAATGAAAAGACAACAACAAAATGTTACTGCAGCATCGATTGACTTCCGCTTGTCAGGAATACATACAAACAAACCGTACATGCTTATAATTGATTGTCTATATACAATATATATATATATATATATATAAAAATATCGTCTTATCTTTCTATTCTATTCACCTCTTCTTTATTCATCCTTTCAATTAAAACATTATGCCTCCAGACAGAACAATCCGTGGTCTTCCTCTCCCTCGTCCTTATCCAAGCCCTCCAGCGTCAACTAATGTGCCCAAAAACAAGGAACCACATCATGCCCAGGACTAGAAATCATCCTATCATTATATTTCATTACAGCCAGCATCTACCTACACACTTAACTTGCAAGCATAATAACAACTTAATTGCGCGTTGTTTCATATCATTCAATTTCATGCAAATAAAAATAAAAGAATAAACCAAAGACTTCTGTTGTACAATCTTCCATACTAATCTTTATCTTTTCTGTCAAACATATGTCTTTATTATTTTATGCGATTTGAATTCAAAATGTATAATAATTATTATCAACGGCCCCCGGTCCTCAATCTATATAAATATTTAATTGGTTTGTTTAAAACGTATCAACATGTAAGGTCAGAGTCTTTATAATAAGTAGGCTTGAATTACTTGATTTGGAAGCCATAGTTCACAGGCTTTAGAAATTAATAGATGAAAAAAAAAATGGTTCATAAGGACAAAGACCAAAGTGAGGGTTTTACAGATCAAGTCATCAGTCATTCGACCCACAAAAAATAATAATTAAATGGAAATCATGCTCTATTCAAAATATCTTGGTTCATTAAACAAACGATGAACTACACTACCCTCTTCTTAATAAATAAATAAAATTTTTTATTTATTTATTTATTTAATCAGCCACCTTACCCACCCCTTCTTTATTTACCTATTTATTTTGTCAGATCACTTTCCTCCCCCTCTTTGGTTGCACATCAATATTATTATTTTATTTAAAAAAGGAAAACAAAAAAAAAAATCGCCCTGTAATTTTTGTTTTAATTATTAATAATAAAAACAATAAATTAAGTATAAATATAAAAATATAAAAATATATATATATATATTTCTCTTTCTCTTCTTCTTCTTCTTTAATATATACATTTATTAAAAGAACCAATCATCCAATCAAAATGCCTGTACAGATCAACCATCGACCAACCACTGAACCATCCCGCATCTATCATACCTATCCACGCAGCAATACACGCCACAGCTGCACCAAAGAAGCTGCAATTGATGCTTCTTTATACCAAATACTTGCACACTACATGCCCCAATCACCACCATCATTTGACAAATTTAACCATCCAATTGATAACAACTTATCGGATGCTACGGCTCTTCAGTTCCCGATTTTACAGCGGCGCCAAATGTCCCACAACAAGCCGACTTTTTCCTCCTCCTCACCTTCCCAACGTAAAAAGGTCAAAGCTCCCTTGTGGAAGGTCCACCAGACCTGGCTTGGCGAAGATATCCTGAAATCAAACGACTGTCTGTTGTCCAAAAAGGAAACCCTAGATACCAGTCGCACTTGTCTACTGCGCCGGAACACACTTCTTAATACCCAAATTTCACGTGTGGCTCAGGACCCTAGAGAATCAGATCCATCCAATCATTCAATTCCAAAAAACTCATTTCCATCAATACAATCCACGGCCCAAACATGGAAATCGGTTTCATTCAGCGACACCGTCCAGGTCTTTTCCCAGCTTAATCAGTCAGACGCCACCCACATACAAACACAAAACCACAACCTTATTAATAACCATAATCATAATCATAATCATAATAAAAATGATCAGCAAAAAGGATCCTATGATGACGACAATCATAACGAAGAAGACGAAGAAGACGAAGAAGACGAAGAAGACGAAGAAGACGATGGTCTCTTTGTAGATGCCCTAGAAGACTAAGTTTATCTTTTTACCTCCCTGCTTTTAGTCAAAAAATCAATCAATCAATCGTTGTTTATATATCATATCATATAGCATATTACATACTGCATACAGTGCGGACAGTTGGAATCTTTGTTACTTTGAAACAATATGAAATCAAATCAAATCAAATAAATTATCGGGTTCCCTTTCCCTGTCTACCCCCCCATCCTCCCTCCAAAAAAAAATGAATTGAGAAAAGACGAAAGGAAGAAGGGAAATTATCGATTTTGGTGCTTTTGTAGACTATGTTGGGCATACATGCTTCAAGGGAAGCAATTGAACCCGCATACACACTTTAATAATAGTATTATTATTATTATTATTATTATTATTATTATTATTATTATTATGTTTGTGTTAATTTACACCACTTCCGTAATTGTATCCGTTATTCGTCATCCGTTATCCGTTTCCGTTATCCGTCATACCGACCCTTTATCCCTAGCCCCTGTTCACACTCGCTTTCCCTTTCCTCCTCATACTTCATTAGTCCGCAATTTTATCCGTAGCCGTGGCCGTAACTCCCCACCTTTTTGTGCCATGCAAAATATGCTGTATGTACTTTAAAATTTCTTGATATGATGCAACCCACAAAAGGAGTTGTGCAATCATGTATATAAAATATAAACTTTGTAAAGTAGAAGGGTCAATTTAAAGATAGCTTTGTAATTCTTTAAACAAATATTAGTCATAAGAGCCAAGTCCCGTCTATCTTGATCTTGTACATCTCATTCATATATAAACTCATCTCAATTTTCATCTTTCTTGAATTTATTTTAACTCGATTATCGATCAATTTAATCAATTATGGCAGTATACAAAGTAAAGCTTGATCAAGGAGTGGTTCCTACCAAAGACACTCTGATTCAACTCGGTGACAGTATTAATGTCTATCCTATTGGTAGTTCAATACATAAGCACATCGTTTGTTTACTTACTTATTTTCTTTGGTTTTCAATGTAGCTATTGGTACATGGCAATGGGGTGATAAGCATGGCAAGTTTTGTATCCATAACGACCATTGAGACTGTCTTGGTTTACTAAACAGAATATGAATATATTTAAATAGTCTGGGGATGGACTCCTGAGGCAGAGAAAGATGCCAAGGAGGCGTTTGATGCTGCACACAAACTCGGTGTTCCATTTTATGACACAGGTCAGTGCACACAGACAAATACATCATATATATATATATATATATATATATGTATAATTTTGTTTTTATTTTTATTAATCATTCTATAACATCTTTATGTCTTTTTTCTTTCTTTTTTAGCTGAGGTGTATGGTGATGGAGAGTCGGAAAAGGAACTATCTCGGTTCCGTAAAGTCTATTCTGCTGAAGAACAAGAAAAGCAGATCATTGCCACCAAGTTCTTTCCGCACCAACACCGCACCCAGTTCCCTGCCGTTCTGTTTTCTGCCCTAAAGGATTCCTTGGACAGAATTGGGATCCACAAGGTAGATCTTTACCAGATCCATGCTCCCATCCACCCGGCTGCAATTGAAGTTGTCGGTAAGCATTGAGATATACATCTATTCTGTGTGTGTGTGTGTCTTTAATTAATTAATTAATGGTATAATAATATTAAATTGTTTTTCGTTTCGTTTTGTTTTGTTTTGTTTTGTTTTGTAGCTGATGCTTTGGCCGATGCTTTTGATGCCGGACTCGTCAAGAGTGTGGGAGTGTCAAACTATGGCTTGGGTGAAATTGAGCGGATGCACGCAGCCTTGAAAAAGAGAGGGATCCAGCTGGCATCTAATCAGGTCTCATTCTCTCTTGTGCGCACTATTCCTGAAAAGGATGGCTTGATCAAGCTGTGTCATGATCTTGGTGTTGGTATCTTGGCCTATTCACGTAAGCTTTTCTTAGATGTTAGCTATCCATTACTATTATTATTATTATTTAAAAAAAAGTAATGCTTATATATATCTTAGCTATTGGTATGGGAATTCTGAGTGGAAAGTATCGTGTGAATGATCCAGCACCGGTTGGTCGTGAAAAGGTATTCGATAGCCTGGAGAAAGGACAGCTACAGAATCTTTTGGATAGCCTAAAGAGACTGGCCGAAAAATATGACAGACCCCAGAGTGCGATTGCTCTGAACTGGTGTATTGCAAAGGGTACAATTCCATTAGGAGGAGCCAGAAATGCTAGCCAGGTTGAGCAGAATGTTCTTGCACTTGGGTTTATCTTGTCACCAGAAGATGTTGCCGAATTGGATAGATTTTCGTTCAAGGGTGTGAATAATGACAGCTGGAAGCACGGATAAATTATTATGCAATAAATAATTTATTTTTTTTTGGTACAAAATTAGATAGACAGAAGGATCGTACATAAAGTGATAAACATAAAAGAAAGAAAGAAAATTATTATTATTATTTGAAACAAATAATGTCATTAGTCTTTTATGTACTTTTTTGTTTGTTCGCAAAAAAACAAAAAGGGATCTCCTTGATTTACCTGATAATCGACAAAACCCGATGATACACTAATGATGACTATAAGCATTAATATCTTGAAATCAACCAAAACACATATACACACTATGTAGACTATGTACACCATGTACACTATGTACACAAAATAAAACGGACTAGTGTTTCAAATTTCAATAAGAATAAGAATAATACTAGTATTTTATGAAACCAATATAAAATGTACAAACAACAACAGCAGCAGCAAAAGAAACAAATAAAGAAATGAATTAATAAACAAAACAAAAGAATATTAGTGTTTCGAATTCTTTTTTTTTATATATATATTTATTTATTTATTATTTCTGATTTATTGTTTCAAATATGTATAAATATATACAGCTGTGCGAGAACCACAAAAAAAAAGCACAAACATTATCAAGGAGGTAGGGCAAAGAACAACAAATTATAATCATAATCATAATAGAAGATCCCCATGACGCAGGATGAGAAAGATGACGAAAACACACATATATCAAAAAAAACAACAACAACAACTTAAAAATAAATAAATAAAATAGAGAAAGGTTGAGGAATAGGGTGCTATTATAATGTTTAGAGCAAAAGAAGTCTATTCCTCATTCTATTCCACAAATCAAACTGAAATTTCAACAGCAAGATAAACAAGAAGAGGTATCAATAGAGAGAGATATTTATTTTTTTATTATTGATATTAATATTTGAAACAAGTAAATAGAAAAAAATTAAGGATCGAATAGCAATAGCAATTGCAATTGTAATTGTAATGGTAATGGTACATGTGTCGCAAATAATAATCATAAAGACAAAAGAACAGTAGAATAGAATACAAAACAAGGTGCATATATAAAAAAAAATAGTAAAGAATAATGAAAACATGGCTTTTCACAGAGAAATAATAATAATAAAAAGAAGAAGATGGATTATGGTACAGAAAATAAAAGAAGTATAAAGAAATCAATAGCAATAGGTGTAAAGTGTATGAGCCTAAGATGTATAAATATATATATATTTAATAACAGGGTTTTATAGTATTTAAAGAGGTTCCTCTGAGAATTCATCTTGATAGTCAAAATCAACATCTTCATTATCATCATCTTCTTCTTCTTCATTATTGTCGTCTACAATTCCGTCTTCATTCTCTTGATCTAATGTGACTACCGGATATTCATGGTTTTGTTGATAATGGGGTGCATAGGTGTTGGTAGAGCATAGGGTCTGTTGTGGTCTTGGATTGCAAGATAAAGATCGAGATAGAGACATGGACGAAGGCAAAGGCAAAGACGAAGACGAAGACGAAGACGATGATCTGGTCATCTTCTCTTCTGGCTCTTTGTGGCGGCCGATCCATTGTCTGAGCATCTTTTTGGCCACCATATTACCGCGCAATCGATCGGCCGTGGCTCGTAGGCGCTCATTTTCCAATCGAAGTTCCTGAAGCTGACGGCCGAGAACAGCATTCTGCTCCGAGATCCGGCCAATCATCTGGCGCATATCGTTCTGCTGCTGGTTCTTCTTTTGACGGTACTTTGCAGAGGCCGCCTTGTTACGCTGTCGTCTTTCTTCAAGAGTAAGTGGTGGGGCTACCATCACAATTGAGCCACCGTCATTATGCTGCAGCTGGCTTTCAGCTTGTTGGCTATAGATCAGGGTTTGTCGCTGATGATAGTTTTGATGGCTATGGCTACGTTGAAGGCTATTATTACCATGGTGATTATGGTGATGATTATGGTTGTCATAGCTCTGGGTTTGGGGAGATAAGGATTCAGAGGATGCGTATGAGTTTGGAGAGGATGGAGGTGAGCTAAAGGAATCTTCTCCTGGGGTAGAGGGTGGAGAGCGTAGGGATCGATATTGAGGCCCACATGTTGAGTAGTTGAAGAAACGGCTGTCTTGAGAGTAAGGTGTGACAAGAGAGGGTGACATTGGCAGCGACATTGGTAGTGACAGAGACAGTGACAGAGACTGCTGGTGCTGGTGTTGGTGTTGAGGATGTAGTGGTTGGAGAGGCAGAGAGGAAGTGATAGAAGATATAGCCATTGGCTTCATAGAAGATACGAGAGAAACAGGAGAGCTCATGATATGAATATATATAAAAAAATATTATTGTTATTATTATTTTGGGAATTAAAGTCAATTGGGGGTGTTTTGAGAACAAGAGTATTTATATGACTTTCTTGCTTGTTTAGTTTGCCTGCTCGTTTGCTCGTTTGCTCGTTTGCTCGACTTGCTTGGCTTGCTTGTTTATTTATCTATTTATTTATTTATTCATTTGACGGCAAAAAATAAATAACAATGCGATAATAAATTTTTGTTATGTTGCACTCATCTACTAGACTCACCTTTGTTGTGTTTGTTTATTATGATTATTTTGGTCAAATTAAAATGAACTTGAGTTTTACACCTGCCTTATTATTGTTTTACAGTCAAAAGTAAATAAATACACAAAAATGTAGTGCATAAATGAAAAGCTTCTTTTTGGTCTTTTCTAAGCGTGGAAACACAGACATATGTACAGAACCTTTTTATAAGTTTTGTATCTAGAAAGCAACAATCCCAAAAACAACCAAAAGTCTGTTCACCTCTCCTTAATAAGTGAATAGATTGAAGAAGAAGAAAAAGAAGTGTTTCTTTTTGTATTTGTACCATTATAAATCATAACAATAAGTAATAATACCAAAAACCTGATACAAAGAAGAATAAAGAATAAGAATATGTAAAAAAAGAAAAGAAAAGAAAAGATCAATCAATGGTCTCAAATGTCGTTTATTCAAGCTCAAGTACTCCAGCAAGACTTCCATTGTTAGCCGATGGCTTGATATCGAGAATCCTGGTCAGGACTTGGTACAACTCCACGTTCCAGAATGGTCTTGCCAGACCGTTTTCCAACAAAGGTCCTCGGCCGACAAAGATGGCTCTGGAGTGTGGAGACAGATTGTCGTATCCATGGACACCCTGAGGTGAATACTCACCATCGTCGTGGTCGGGATCGTACTCTTCATGTGTCACCAGAACCCAGCCAGGGTCTGGTAGGACCAGAAGGGGGGGAATACGCGTGTGATGACGGAAATGATATCTTTCCGGAATATCTTCTTTTTTGTAGACCTTAAAATGTGCATTGTGGTCCGCATTGTATCTTTCCAGGTGTCCCTGGAACCGCTTGAATGCCCTATAGAGTTTCTCGGTTGCCTCGGCTTGGTCAGCACACGGAGGAGGTCTGATGGCCAATGAAGGGTAGGCCTCGATACTCCAGATCAGACTGAGCTCTTCGTCCGTAAGTCCATCCTCATAATAGATCAGTCTTGACCTGTCTGTCTGGGACATGCCATGGTCGCTCACAACCATCACATGAACAATCTCTGTTAGGTTGCGTTTTTCTAAACCAGCCAACAATCGGCCGATGCTTGCATCTGCAATCTGCAACTGTTTCATAGTCTACAATAAAAAAAAACATTATTAGTACATGCGATTATAAAACACACATATATATCTCTATATCTCTATATATGTACATATGTATATATGTATATCTTGTTTCTTAGCATTAGGTTTCATTCAACCCAAAAATAATAAATCCAAAAATATATATAAAAAAAAAGAAGTTATTTGTTCCCATGGCAACAAAATAAATAAACAAAAACAAAAAACAAAAAAATCTATTCATTTATCCTTTACTTGCCTCATTTGCGTACGGACCATAGCGATGCCCGGCTTGGTCCACGTTGGGTACATACACACCAACAAATTGTGGTCTCTCTGAGAGTGGAAGGTCCAGCCAATCCAGTGTCTGGTCTACCTTGGCATCGAAACTCATATAGTCGCTGTAAGGAACCTCGAATGTCGGTCTTAATCCTTGTAAAAGACTGCTGCAACCCGGCCACATGATTACACCAGACTTTAGGTTTTGCTTTTCAGCCGTTATCCAAATCTTTAACGGAGTCCATGTTTGAGACAAAATATTCTTTCTTTCTTTATATGTAAAGCAATGTAATGTAAAGCAATGTAATGTAAAGCAATGTAATGTAGATAGTCAAGATAGACAGATGGGTAGAATCTTAAACCCTATTTTCTTCTATTCCATATGTATTCTATATGTCTTCCATATATACTCTTCTTCTTGTTGTTGTTGAGTCGCTTTTTTTTTCCTTAAAAAGAAAGAAAGAAATAAAGAAAGAATAGATAGAGAAAGACTTACTGGTTCACCTCCCCACCATTTACCATCCCAACTCTGGGCTGGGCTTTTGTAATTAAAGCTATCGTTGAGTTGTGGATCATAAAAGTAATTGCCAACAATTCCATGTGTTTCAGGATACAGCCCAGTGACAAGAGACCAATGATTCGGAAAGGTGATTGGCTTTTGTATTGTTGTTATTTTATTTTTTTAAATAAGGAAAAGAAAGATTAGAATACTCCAAAATCATAATCATAACCATAATTAAACACTTTATATAAAAATATACAATAGTAGATCTTGATATTATTCTCTATACTATCTTTCTAAACTTTGTATAATAAATAGAGTAGAAAATCTTACTGGAAATGATGGAGTCATCCAGCGTGCCTGTACGCCATCCTTTGCTATTGAAAGGTAGATATACAGAGAGAATTTGTATTAAATAAGAATTGAATTATTAATGACGATTAAAAAAACAAAACCAAAAAAAAAAAGGCTGTGTCACTTTTTTTTTATATATATATTTTTCTACTTTCTATATATAATTATATCATTCAACATCTGTGCGTTTATTCTACTGTGCTGTGCTGTGCTGTGTTGTGTTGTGTATCACACTACCCAGACTAACAGTATATATATATATATATATACAGAGAGAGAGAGAGAGAGAGAGCGATACAAACAAACAAACAAATATTATTATTTCTTCTGTTTCTTTCTTTGCTTACCAAGTTGACTGATGTGAGGCGTAATTGACAGGTGAAGATCATGGTTCACAACACCATCCAAAGAGATGAAAATAACGGTCGGGTTGTAGCCGTGTGTACCATTGTTATAGACCGTGTCCTGCTCAGCCCGTGCAACAAAACCTCCCACAAAAACTCCCATCAAAATCATCAGCAGAAGGACAATTATTGCCAGGATAATTCGCTTGATAGATAAAGGTCCTCCTGCACGTCTCTTTTTATTTTATTTTATTTTATTTTATTTTTTTAATATACAGAACAACAGTTATTATATATATATATATATATATATTGCTATTATTTTTTCTTTACCTCGTCTGATGGAATACTTTGGTAATCAGGATTCCCAGTACTTCGATTTGAATTAACATCTTGGGATGGAATCAATGGTCGATTCTCTTCATCTCCATTCTTCTGTGTACCCCTGTCAATGCCCATTTACTACTTGCTTTATATTTCTCGTAACTTCTAAAGAGTACAAAACAATATATAATATAATATAATATAATATAATATAAAAAATAGATAGAGAGAAAAAGAAATGTATATATATATAAATAAAAAAAAGGAAGAAAAGAGGTAGATAGATAGAGTAAAAAAAAAGAAAAAAAAAGATAAAGGCACAGAATGATTACGTATGTATGTATGTATGTATGTATGTACCTACTATATATATATATGTTTTGTATGAATATAGATGTATATGTATTTGTGCGTATAGTGTTGTGTGTAGTATGTATATAAAAAAGTAAAATAATAATAATATAAAGTCCAAAGGCGTAAAGGCGTAAAAACGTAAAAAACGTAAAAGCGTATAAGCGTATAAGTGTATAAGCGTATAAGCGTAACCAGGGCAACGTATCAATCGGACATTTAATCTCCACAACTCTATTTATATATATAAAAAGTATTGGGTGGGTTAGTGTTGTCTTGATCCTTTTTTTTTTTTTACTCCTTAATTATGGTCCGGGATTAACACCTAAAATGAACTTACGTAGGTCTTTACTGCCCTAGACCTTTATGCCTCTTATGATTATTAAGATCTGTTTGAATTCGGTTCAATTCAATTCAATTCAATTCAATTTGAAAGCATAAATCGATAAAAACAGTAAAGATATCTTCTTTAATAAAAACATATACGTCTATAGAAAAGAAGTATAAAAATATTAATAATAATGAACAAATTCTTCTTTATTTTAACTTGCAAACTAATTCATACAATGTTTTCTATTAAGACATTAATCTTGTTCTATCATAATCGCATGGCTCTTGATAGTCTGTCTACCCTTTCAGTTAAACCATAGTACTTGGCAAAATGAAAGTAAATGCACACATAGATAGTAATTATTACACGACGCTCTGTTCTATAGTATCCTATTGAGTTTCCTGGTAAACTTGCTATAGCTTTGTAATTATTATATACATATTTAAACCTTTTTTGATCTCCTTTTTTACGTTGCCTTGAGACATTTATCAATGTCTTTTAAACATTAGCTTTCGTCATTTTTGTATATACAAACAAATATATTTACATATATACGTATGTGTGTGAGGGGTGTGTATGAGTATGAATGTATGTATGGAAGAAATAAGAATATCCCCTTTTCTTCTTCTGGGTACATGTACATTTACACAAGCACAAGCACAAGCACAAGCACAAGCACAAGCACAAGCACAAGCACAAGCACAAGCACAAGCACAAGCATAAGAACAAGCACAAGCACAAGCATAAGAACAAGCACACACACACACAAATATATACAATATATATATGTGTATGTATGTATGTATGCTTGGCTGATAGCTGGCTGGCTGATAGCTGGCTTGTTTGTTTGTTTGTTTGTTTTCTGCCTTGTTTTAGTATATTCTAGCAATACACCAGATACCTCACATATTCTCAAACCATATCTCGTCTTGTAAGTATTCAACAGTATAATTATTAATATAAGCACTCCCCCAGAGACTGAAGCCGATTGGCTACCTTTTATCACACTCTTTGAAATATTCTCTACACATAGATATGTACAGAGCTTGATTTGAAATGTGTTGCAGTTTTTGACGAAGCTTATAGAGCTAGCTTGGAATGTATACCAATACCAATAACAACAATTTGTTTATGGAAGGATTAGGTTATATCATCATTACCAGACATTTCTATCAAATATAAATATTTATAATACGAAACCAATGCAAGGACAATCTTGTGACCAAAGAATGTATGCACATCTGTCTCTCTGTCTGTCTCCCTGTCTGTCTCTCTGTCTGTTTGGATGGCTCAGCTCTAGATAGAAAGCGAGTGCAATTTTTTTTGGGCGAACCTTTGTCTTCTGATACGCTCGGATGAGATATCTTTATTTAAAGATCTGTGTATTGATATTGTGGCCAAGACGTTTTGTCCAACATCCAGTTCAGTGACTTTGAATGGGATAACTGTTTTGATAGCTGACATATGCATATAAGTTAAACAAGACCATATTACAAAAAAAAAACATTTGGTGAATTCAACATTCTTTTATTACTAAAATACAAAAGCAAAATTAATATTAATATCAATATCAATGTATAAAATTGCATTGACTTAATATGCTAATTATCAGGATAACGATATATACAACGCAACAGCTCCAAAAAAAAAAGACTAAATAACCCCTTTATCATCATTTGGTCTATAAGGGTAGTAAATCAACATACCTTAGAAAGAGACTTGAGTGCATTGCTTGCAAAATCATGCAGTACTACATCACTTGGCTTTAAAATAAGCTTCAAGAAAATCCCCATAACCTAAAAAGAAAGAATAGCATACAATCAAATGCAAATACAAATATATATTATTTGGGATACTGGTACTAATACCACAAAAATAAGGGGATGGTGCGTGTATTGGTGGTGCATTTACATTTAAAATTTAGATGGTTCAGTGTGTATGTGAGCCTATTAGAATATCAGTGATATTAATTCTGTTCCATAAACTGGCACTTGCTTTTAACAAATCTCTATAATGCCTCTCTTTATTTATTTTACTCTTATTAATTCATCAATAGATTATTGATCAGATACGCAATTGTGTATATATTTGTTTTATTTCAATACACACAAAACACACTAGGAAGACTAGAGTTGAGACAAGATGGATTTAGTTGTGACAAGTTATATCCAATCATATCGATTCATCAAATTGAACATTCTAAAGAGGTTAATTGATTGATCAGGTCTATATTACATTAGGTCATTTCCCAGATACTACATTACATTACATTACATGACATTACATGACACTACGTTTACATTTACATGGTATCTATATACATTGAGTACCAACATGGACTATACGTTTCTTCGCTCTCAACCTTTTAATTTCATACTAGTTTTACAAGCCATATTTTTATATAGATATAATTCTTTAATTTTATTTTATTCTGTTTTATTCTGTTTTTCTTTCTTTCTTTTTCATTTTATCGGATCTCGATATTGATGATTTTGATGTCATCGTATGGTTTTGCGTTCTTGTCCACCTTTGATTGTTCAATAGTATGCACCACATCCATACCTGCAGTTGCTCTCCCAAAAATAGTATGTTTTCCATCCAACCAAGGCTACAAAGAAAAATAGTAATAGTAATTAAGATTAAGATTAAGATTAAGATTATAATTATAATTATATTGATCCTTTGTAAACTTACTGTAGGCACAACCGTAATGAAGAATTGACTTCCGTTAGTATTGGGTCCGGCATTTGCCATACTGACTGTATAAGGACGATCGTGTCTCATCTCACGAACAATTTCATCTTCAAAATCATCTCCCCAGATAGACTCACCACCAGTACCATCACCTACAAGCATACGTTTAAATATAAGAACATATATGTATATATACAACTATAAACACTACTAATTGTAGCAGTAGTAGTAGTAAATCCAAAGAACAAAAGAAGAAACTTACCAAATGGACAACCAGTCTGAACCATGAATCCCTTGATAACTCGGTGGAAAATCAAGTTATCATAATATCCATTCTTGGCATGGGTCACAAAGTTCTCTACTGCTCTTGGCGCAACATCAGGGAATAGACGGATGTGAATATCTCCAGCAGTTGTTCGAAGAATGGCATGTGTTCCAAGAACCTGCTTAGGCTCCTGTGCAGCAGCAACGGTCTGTTCCTCACGCGATGGCTTTTCGTTGAATACATCACGATCACCCTTTTTACTATCATCCCTATATGTTTTTGATTTTTTTTTCAGGTTAGAATGTGAAATAATACTAATAATAAAAAAAAACTTACTCGTATGGCTCTCGTCTGGTGAACATAAAGAATCTGTTTCTTTTGAACGCTGTGCAAAAGAGAGTAGGATCGAGCGCTGCTCTTTCCTTGATAACAGCGTTTTCTGATGCAGCCATTGCCTATTTTTTTTTAAAAAAAAAAAGAATTATTATTACACCAAAGTAATTATATATATATATATGTGTGTGTGTGTGTGCGTGTGTGTGCGTGTGCGTGTGTGTAGAGGGACCACACTTACCAAAGTATAAATACCCTTCTTGCGTGGTGCTCCTTGGTATAAACTGACATTGACAAATCTGTGAGTTTCAGATTTACCAATCAGTCTCGATACTTTGTTTGTACTAATATTAACCACTACAAATGTGTGTAGATAAAAATATTAGAGAAGAAGAGGACCAATTAGAGATACAAGATTCCATACACATCAATTTTGGGTTTGTATGTAAATGAAATCAAATGAGGCCTTGTTGGGTCTATTTACCTTTGATGCCCAAAAGTGTAGCATAAATAATAAAATTGCTGCTTTCATCAAACACTACACAAAACAGCAAAAATATTGATCCATAAATTAGTACATCAGTAAATTTATAAATACACATAAATTCAACAATATATACAAAGAATTCCATCCGACTAAAGGGTAATTGTTCAGTTTAAAAAAAAAGACTCTTCTTACCAGCATTAATAAAGCTAGCTTGAGAGGACTTTTCAAGTTCCTTGTCAATTGCAAGACGTCTTCCAAACTCCATGTCATCTAGTTTGTACAGAGCGGTACCAGCCTAAGAGAAAACAGGATAATGCAGGAATGATAAGTAACAATCTTTAGTTACTCTACACACTACATATATTCCCAAAATCATAATACTAGTAATATATTACCTGCTGCATTTCACTGATAATCTGAAGACTTTCGTCATATTTGCGATACATTTTTCCTGACAAGAACTTGAATAGACGAACTTGGCGGTCAGGGAAGCTCATGGTAACAAAACTCATTTCATCTGGAGAGAATTTTATACATGTAGGAACAGATTTGGTCTAAAGCCAATAAAGAAAGAGAATTGGTTAATCCCATCATTCATTCATTCATTTTTTTTGTTATAAAATCAATTACCCACACACCACACATGAATCTATTATACCTTTTTAAATTCGTAAAGATCTGTCTGTGACTTCATCTCGAACGAAAGATTTGTGGGAAGTTCAAAAGGTTCTTCTGGAGACCAATACTCGACCATTCCAAGTGAGTCAGCAGAGACAACACAGTTGAATTTTGAGTTAAACTACGAAACCGTTTCAGACAAGAGAGAATGAGAATCACAATCGTGACAAGTAAAGGAGAGAATATTACTGTCATGATGTGCACTGGGCCGTGGTGAATTGTGGAAATGCTGTGCAAAGGTTTTCCGTCTGCGCGTCCATCGTAAATGTGAATAGTCGAAGTTCCAGCTTCAGAACTACAAGTATATATAAATATACACACACATATATAAAAAAGGGAAGAAAGAAAGAACAAAATCCCACAAAATTATGCTTATCGTTTTATCCTTTGCTTTCTCTCTATATATCTCTCTCTCTTTAATATATTCAAAAATAATAATAAAATTGATCAACACTTACACTGCAGCCAATGCTTGAGCTTGTCCCTTTTGATGGATCCAACATACACTCTTTGGCTTATATCCAAGTTTGATCATATTAATCATGTCTGTTTTTTTTAATATACAAAAGTTTGATTGGTTAATGTATATGTTATATAAAATAAGATCCAAAAAAAAACCACCCATCCACATGCATATACATTCAAGCTACTTACCAAAGTTTGTAACATCATACACCTTGAGTGCTTTGTCGTCAGAAATTGTAGCCAATAATTCATGGTCAGCCGAAAGACTGATCCCAACAATACTTGAAAGATGAGATCGGTAATGCTTCACAAACTCGATTCCAGTAGCTGTCTTTTTCCAAAACTTCAAATGACCATCGTTTGAGGTTGTGATTATAAAATCGTGCCTATATCATTATTATTATAACCATCAGTATATATATTTCAATTGTTTTTCATATAAAAAAAAAGAATATCTTAAAGAGGTTGAGAGAATCCGTTCAAATTGGCACACTTCTCTTTCTCTTTTCTTCTTCTTCTTCTTCTTTTTTTTTACGCAACACAATAAAGCATCATCAACTCATAAAATAAAACCATTTCTCACTTTGTAACTTCGACATGGTTGAGAGTGTCACGATGCATATAACTGGTTTCATACATGTCAGACGAAGGTAGATGTGAGAGGAAAAGCTGTTCATGAGCCAAAGCTAAGACACACAACGCAATACAACATAAATTACAGACAGCATAAGAGTTTTTTTTTTCCTTTTTCCTTTTGTTTCTTTATATATTGTACACTACTACTACATAACAAGTGGGGTAAGGTCCTACATCTTTTTTTCTTTCGAGGTGCCTCACTGTCACCAGTAGGCGGTAAAACTGGTCCAATATCTTCTTCTTCTTCTTCTTTATATTTATATAAACATATAAGTGTAAAAGTGTGTATAGAGTGTGTGCGCAAGTGTGCGTGCGTATTATGTGCAAGTATAAAGTTTTTTTTTTTTAAAAAAAAAAAAAGAATGAATGAGAATCGATGGTGTTGTGTTGTAGAGGATCCTCAAGATTACCATCTTCTTCATCTTTAATAGGAGCGTTGTCTTCTTCGAGAACACGCTTGTTTGTGGGCTTTTCGGGTACTTGATCGTCTAAGGATGACATGTTACTGATGAATGAGTTAATGCTTAAGCAGCACTTGGTGGCGTCCTTTTTTCAGCCAAGGCGGTAAGATTTGACCGTCACAAAGATATTCACCACCACCACCACCACAACTACTACTACTACTAAAAGAGAGAGAAAATCCTTTAATTCTCCCCTTTCAATATATATATATGTATGTATGTATGTATGTATGTGCTAGATAGCTTGGAAACTTTGGTTTGCACAAGTTCAAAATGGTCTGGACAATATTAATTAAGAAAAATTGAATAAATAATTTAAAGAATAAATAAGAAAAGGCAAAAGTAAAAAAAAAAAAAAAATGAACAATGCATAATGAAGATAGTTGAATAATTTAATTTAAATATATTATAGTGTAATATAATAGCATAGCACTGTGTGCGTGTAAAGTCTTATAAGTAGCAAATTGATGTGTGATTCTGCTAGTAAAACACACAAAAGACAGTAATCTTACGGGGACGACGTTTCTATCTAATCGGACTAATAAATCGTGACTACTTTTCCGGGGGCCGCTGTCTCTTTAATCCTTCGGATCAAAATAACGTGTCCTGAAAAATACAATATATTCAATTAATAGCCCTACATTTAGACTTGGCCATAAAAAATACACTATATAAATAGCCAGTTAAGCAGAAGATTAAAAGGAGTTGCTTCATTAGATTGTGACGCAATCGTGTTCGATATTTCTACTATATGTTGGCCTTTATATGTATATGATGTCTTGGTCTTTCTTTCACATATCTATTACCAGAGTCTAGAAGCACCAGCTGGTAAGTAATCCCACCCCCTCTTTTTTTTTTGGAAAGCACAAGAAAAACTTTGATACGAATGTTATTCATTCTTAGGGACCAGATATAATTATTCAATCCCGGGAACAGGGACACAGCTTGTTGTCCGATACAATCAAAATGTCGTGCCCCACCAGGAAACGTCGTCCCCGTAAGAGTAAACGATGGCCGAATTGATTATATACGGCAACTTTGAAGCTTATGAAGAGGTAAGTATCTGTCAGCAATATTGCACGAGCTATCTTATTTATTAACTGAAGAAAGTAAGTATTTCGGGAAATATCTAGGCATCCAAGTGTCTCTTTAACATGGCCATAGACGATCCACAATCGACCGGAGTATTACCCCACCGATTTCATTTACTCAATAGTCTGATGTAACCCATGTGTTACTCGGCACTATTGACTAATTCTTATTTATTATGAGCTACCAAGCTTTTCTTGACTTTATTCAATCTCAGGAAGAGCACCTTATAATCCTTGGTCTGTCATGTGTTGAATTGTTACTATATTATGTACCAGACGTAATAAATGGTAATTGTTATTATTTTATTTTATTTTCAATACAGGGAAGAAATATTTTAAATTATACAAAGCAAGGCAAAAAAAATATTACTTTTCTTAATCCAACAACCCATCCAACCCTCTATGTGTTTTCTCTGGATTTACATAAACAAATTAGCTAACTATCCTAATTCCTTCTAAAGAAGCCATATATATATATTCTTATACCCCAAAAAAGAAAGTTGGCTAAAGGACCATGACGGTTACTAGAATCAGGTTAATAAAAGATCGATTACTTTGCACTCCTTTTTTGTATTTTACTACGGTGCAATCGGAAACAACTGTATGTTTTTGGGTACTTTTTAAAAGCTTAATATGCAAATATTAGCTTACCAAAATGAGAGTGAGCGATTATGAAAGGAAAGAATGTACTGTTATCCATTTGGCTCATTCTTACTCTTTTACATTTCTTCAAAAAAAAAGAAGACTTGGATATTCAAAGTTAAGTAGTAAAGAAACACTATAAAAAAAGCCAATTTTAGTGAGATTATCGCAAGTTTTCTAGGGTTTAAAGTGTGTTTTATCCCGAAATCTTAATTAAGCACCAATTATTCTCTCTTTTTATACATATTTCACTTTTTACCCACCATGTTTTTGTAGTAAATGCAAAACTCCTTTTTCCTAACTTCTTCAACCTGGCACAAGGATTAAAGATAATATAAAATTATTCAAATTTAATAGCTTACTATTCAGTAACAAACCCCCCTCCTGAATCCGGGCTACATCCGATTTCATAAAACTGTCTACAACGATCTCAAAAACCCATATAAGCAGGTCAAATATCTTTTGGTATAGATAATAACAATACAAGAATCATTTCCAAACATAATACACTGTAGAAAAAAATTACTAATATGATTGATTCAAAGGCCTTGTAACTTTGACACTTCTAGCATACACTAAGCTTAGCGTGGTATTCAATTATCATCATTTTAACCTTCAATCCAAAATGCCATTTTATAGGAAGATTGTACGTTAGACTGCATACAGGTTGCAAAATTGGTTAAAGAGATAAACATGGCCTTCATGATTATTTGTATATTTAATCTGAACTTTAACAAGTGTTTACCACCAAAAAAGTAAGGACTTTGATTGCTTTCAAATTCAATATTCTTTTGATTTTATTTTTCTTTATTTTCTCTACAAAAGTCTAAGTTGTTAAAGACGTCTATAAGAAACACACTTAATAGTTATTAAGGTCAGTATTGATAAAATGTAAGTTACGGAAGTTGATAAAAGAAAGCAAATTCAGCAAAGGCAACAGAAAGATATTTGTATCATGCACAGCTTAGTTATCAAGATTACTCGCATGCTCAATAGAAAAAAAAATTGATTTAGAGAATTGTATGGAATATGTCTTTTGGCTTTAAAAAAGTAGGATTAAGACATAGAAATTTCAACACAAAACAGGTTTATACTCTTCGATAGAAAGGATCAATTAAGGAATTTGTATGCCTTCATCAATATTATGGTATTTAGAGAATAGCTTTTTTTTTTGTAAAAAAAAAAAGATAAAAGTCGCATATAGCCATAGATATATGTATACTATATATCATGTAAAATAATACTTCTTCTTTACATACTTCTTCTATTATTTTGCTCAATAAAAACCATAAAATTCCAATATAAAACTGTGTATTGTTGAACCAATTATAGGAAGAATAGAGATATCTAAAAAAAGGTATATAGCTACCATATTTAGAATATTTGATTGTATTACATTGAGTGAAGCAGAACTTTGATAAATTCCGAATGTTACAGTTGATCCATTGATATATGTATTTGTGTACCAGTTATTTGTTTAGCTTACGTGCAATTACTCAAGTAATACTGTCAAGATATACATATTTTATATATTGTCATTCATATAAGCTACCACCAGAGACCACGTATTAGTATTTATTAGGAAACTGTCTTTCTCTTTTGTCACATTTTTTAATTAAATTTTCTTGCTTAATTTCTGGATTACACCCTACATAATTGAAAATAAAACCGAGATAGGCATAAAGAAGGCAAGTCTAAAGTAGTGATTTGATGGTATGGATTGCGTAGTGATTCAATATGGAACATATTGTCTGGTAAAATATGTCGAGGTTTTGGCACCTGATAATGATTACGGGATGAAAATTATTAAAATGACAGTAAAGATTATGTAGAGAATGTGTTATAGATATATACATGTGCAATAAAGATTTCATCTTTTAAAGGTGTTTAGACAATGAGTGCTTTTTTTATTACTTCACTCTGTGGTACAATTGATTGATCAATAATGCAAACGACAAATGTTTTGCTTTAATAAGGCGGGTTAATGGATCACTTTGTTGTTGTGATGTACACACCAAAATTGAGTAAATTATAGACTCCACAGCCAAAAATCTGGTTTCCTTTTGCTAATAAACCGGATAAGTTAACAATATCCAAAACTATTACACACTAGGCATACGTACGCTATATACTCATACAGTGTAAAGCAACCACACCACAGTCGGGAATTTATTTACAGAGATTTTAATAGTAAAAAGTATAAGCAATATCACTTTGTCTCTTTCAAAAACAAAACTTTCATGTTAACTACTTTTCCCGTCATTGAAATAGATTGCACTATATCCAAATCCCTTATAATGCAAATCTCTGTAGTGTAATAATTGATCTAGACTATAGAGTGTATAGTGCACATGTGTTCGAAATGTAACAGTTTAAAGGTTGTTAACTTGCCAGGTTTATTAGCTAAAAAGAACCAGAGTCCTAGCTCAATTTTGGTGTCTATACCACATATACAAAATATATTCTTTATCACCTTTCCTTCATTTTTTTTTAATTTTTGCTATAAAAAAAGAAGAGAAAATAGATTTAATCATATGCCATTAAAAAAATAGGAAAGAGTTATATATAAGCTGTGTAGGATAAAGAAACCCTAAAAAAAAAGAGCTGTGGGAAAAAGTACAGCTTACTTGATTTTATATAGTGTATAAAATTTTTATAATACAAAAAATTATTAAATTTTATAAAAACCCACAACTTCTGTAGCGCGGGAAATAAATGCATATATCAAGTGTTTTGGGACATTTATTTTAGTCGACAAGTGCTTGCACCTCTGTCACATATTAAAATTGGAACGATACAGAGAAGATTAGCATGGCCCCTGCACAAGGATGACACTAAACTTCTGAGATGGAACGCTCTACGGAGCATATTTTTTTTTGTTTTGTCACCACCTAATATTATTTTTATTTTATTTTATTTTTTGTGTCAAATCTTGAAATTACTTATAAAATGATACCATACTGAAGAGCATGTCATTTTCACATATAATGTACACCATTTGCAAACATCCCTCAAAGTTCAATCCTTAGCCGTCATCTATATTCAATATATATACATACTTCAACTTCTTGTTACATTTTCACACAATTGCACCATCTCATTCATCTAATGTAAATTCAATTCTTGCTCCTACTGCTGTGGAAGGCTTTTGTCATGCGATTTCATTAACACCCATTATCACTCTCCTGTTTTCTGACGATATTGAAGTCTTTGGATTAGCTTCAAACGCTTTTCTCAGGTTCAACCTGAGCCACACAACACTCCTTGTAATCTTGATTATCATGTGGAGTACTTTTGAATGTGTCGTCATATATATATATATATCCAACTTTCATATTCTCTGAAAAATTCTAATCTTTCTCTAAGATATGATTCCTGCCATTGATAAAATGTCTATACTTGAGTGTTCCCTTTCCAAAATATGGACATTTTCTTTAAAGAAAATGGGTGTTCAATGTCTCTCAATGTAGATATACAGTTGAGAGAGAAGTGTGTATTAAAATAACCTTTACTGTACCGCAACCAAAGAAAAAACTTTTTTAACAATGGCTTGAATTCTCTTTCTACATTCCCCCATCCCTACATTCCTCCATCTCTGTCGAGGATCTTTATTCCTGTTGGGGATCGACATTCATATTGTATTGCAACTCAAAGTGGACCAAAAGCGATGCAATACAAAAAGGAAGCGCACTCTTTTTAAAAAAAACCAAAATATTCTTTATTTTATTTTTTAGACGGCTGTCCATGGTATATACAAGTCGAGCAAAAAATAAGCCCTTGGTCATACCTTCGTGTCCCTATAAACTGCTCAACGCTTTAAAAACCGGCACCAATAAATAAAAAAAAAATCTATTACGTCTAGCAACACCAGCTTCACAATGCTATCAAAATTGACATCAACAACCATAATATCCTTTTATTCCACTATCACTGAAAAATAAAAATTGAAATAATATCCATATAATAAAACTTCAAAACTCAAAAGCCATACACTATATTCTTTTATATTTGAAGTGCTATATACCACTGTTCTCAGAACTACCTTCAAACTCTTGCACGCACATAACACTTGTATGCTTATGCTTCCAAGACTGTCTTCAGTGACAATGACCCCAGCCCATCATACATATTCTCCAAAGCTTCCGACTTTTACTATATCTTTAAATAACTGGCTTTACACCAAACAGAAATCACCCATCACAAAGTTCTACCATGATGTGATAGTTGTCTTTAGGGGAATAAACTTTCCTGTTTATTACTTGTAATAAATAATAAGGATATGTAATGTTGTGAGGTTCGGGAGTCATTGACTTTAAATGGGATGTGGTTATGTTTCTTCGTAGACGAGAATGACCGACACGGACAGAATTGGGGATGTAGTGAAAAATAGGGGACGTAAGATGGCCGCAAACGTTGTTCAACTAGTAATAAAAGGGTATTGCTCTACTTCTGTTCTGACTACTATTATGGACCTATGCGACCACTGTCATTAGCTCCAAGTATAGAATTTGCACGAAAAAGAGAGATGTTTATTTGAATTGTGATATTGAACGATTTTGTTAATGTTGTTTATCGTAATACAATGTAAATTGAGTGTTAAAGAGGTAGTTTCCACTGGCTCCTACTCCAGAGCTCGCGGAACTGCCTGTAGGCCCAGTTCGGACTACATCGCAAATATAGTATAATTTGTGTAGCTGATATATAAGAGGAATATGTTATAATGATGAGATATTGCAATATGGTAATTAGGTTTAGACTGTCACATCATCCCCCCTCTAAGTGAAAACTATTTGGACTGAGGAAAGAAGTACAGTTGATATCGGTTTGACATGGTGGTTTTCTTGCTGTTTTTTTTTACATCGTCAATTTGGCAACTGGCTCCCTTGTCATATGTTATCTTCTTAATAGACCAAAGACCTGTGAACCTTGCGTTTAGAAGCTTCCATGTTTCCTTTGGTTTGATTTTATTCACTACGTCTCCAACTTTGACGTGTTGTCTTTCCTTACGATTTTTGTTATAATATTTTTGCTGACGCTCTCGGGCCTTTTGTATGTTGACTTGTATATTTTGCTGGAGGAGAGGAAGATAATAGTTCAGGTATGCGATTCACATTTTGGTGGTATGGAATTGCATGTTCTGTGGACTAAGGTTGGCTGTTGTGGGAAGGATCGCTTTTCTACCAAACATTACTTGAAAAGGTGATGCCCCAGTAGATGCTTGTTTCGACATGTTAATGACAGATGTTATGAATGAGAGATATTCATTCCATAAGTCTGATTATTTTTCCACAAATATTGTCAACACAGTCTTTACTATTTTGTTCATTCTTTCTACCAGTAGGTCTGACTATATATACTCTATGCCTGTCATTGATTTTTGTATTTCCAGTCAGATGCACACCATCTTTGTTACTTCAGAAACAAAATTTGATTCATTGTTGATAATTAGTATGTTTGGCATACTATATTTTAGAGCAATTTGAAACAGTTGAATGTTTCCAATTTCTTTGCAGTCGAACTGGGATATTGCAACTGTGACAACCCATTTGGTAAGATACTCCATAATAATGAGAAGATATCTGTTTCCTTTCTTTAGTACTGGCAATACTGCTATGTTGACAACCCACACCTTCTCTGGTAAGCATAACTATATGCTTGTCAGTAAGCCAAATTTGTGGGTTGTGTGTTTATGCTTCAAACATTTTTTGCATTGAAAAACAAAATCACAAGTGTAATTATGAATGGTAGGCCACCATGCATTTCCTTTCGACTTCACTATTGCTTTGTCTCAGCCGAAATGATTAGCTGTTGGGTGACTGTAGATGGGTTCAAGATAAGCTTTCCACAAGGAGAACAGTACTATGATAACTAGTGTTTTGAGATTGTAATGGAGTATGCCTTTCTTCGAAAGAAGCATGTTATTATTTAATGTGATAAGATACTTAATTTCAGATCCCATTGCTGAAATTTTTGGACCATTCCTTTAGTGATTCGTTGGTTTTCATTTTGGATTATCATCATGACAAGTGTTGAGTTGGTGTGGTACAACGTTTTCAGAAAAATAATAAATGAAAATAGAGTTGCCAACGAGTTCAGAAGGCAAATATATAGAGAGATAGAGATGAATAACTGTGATAATGCTCGGGTCTACCCAACAGTAAGGAGATGTAGTAAAATGTGTATAGAAAGGACAAATATAACAAAAAGTATGTTTATAACTATCGCAAAGAGTTGTTATAAGTCAGTGACGATGAAATAAATGTATAAACAAAAGTAAAATAAAGATAGATAAGGATTTTATTTTATTATTGATTCATCTGAAGACTTTTATATATGAACAATCTATACTACTTTGTTATAAAGCTCTATTAAAGCAGCACCAATGATGAAATACAATGCACAAGGATATGTTTTGTGCAAGGGGATTGAAGGAAATCCTGCAAAGAGCGTCATATTTCTTTGCAAGATATTCGTGGTCTGAGCGGAACCAAAAGAACACACACCGTGTCAATCATATTGTTGCAGATACTACTCAAGGCATTATCATCTTTGTTATCTATGACTCGTCTATGAATAACTATGAATTCATATGTTATAGACTCCACGACCCATTTGACTATCTAACTATGTAAATTGTTTGTTGACAATATTACTTTAAAGGCAGAATTATTGATGTATATGGTGAGGATTGAGACATATATATACAGCCATGAAAATATCTGAGTGTCCAGACAACTTCTACACATTCTCTTTCTGTTGCATTATAATTGTGCTTGGCTGGAGACAACAATTGACTGACAATAGTGACAGATCTTGTATTTTGGATGAGGCTGCTCCCAATATAGTATTGCTAGCATATATATGCAGATCATATAGTAAGTTTCAACCTGAATATACTAATTGGGGTAAGTCAGCTAATTGTAACTTTAATTGAATGAATGTTTCATTTTTTGTGGCTGTCTAGTCCAAGTCTGTAACATTTTTCAGAAGTTGATATAGTGAGCAAGCTATCTGCTTCAAGTTTTTTAGGAAAAGATGATAAAAATTGCAGATATCTAGAAATAGTTGAAGCTATTTAACTGATATATATTTTGGTCATTCTATTATAACTTTAATTTTTGTGAGATCAGATTGTATGCTGTTTTCCAAAACTAGAATATCAAGACATTATACACAGTCCAGGATTAAATAACTCCACATTAGTGTCCACCTAAAGGTGCTCTTCAGCGTCCTCAGTGTATTACCTAAAAAATCATCAATCGGTTCAATTGACAAATATGGAAATGTCAGCTATTATTATAGTATTATTGTGATAATAGATAATGATAAATATATAATAATCTGATGAAAAATGAGCATTTATCTCAGCAAGAACAGGGTAATTACTGAGCTAGATCAATTTGCAGAGAAATAATAGAGTCATATTAAGAGCAAAAGATACTAAATCAACCTTCTAAAATGACAAGACTAATTCTTGTTGACAGCCATATAAATACTTTAAATTAATATTGTTTTCTCTCATACAATTCTCTACAACCTCTCACAACCTTTTTCTATTTTTTTAACTACTAAAAGCGCTTTTGATAACCACAACATACATAATTATCAAAACCAAGAAGACATCATACAAGTGACAGTAGCTCCTAGAGTAGGCCAGCGTACAGAATAGGACAACACAACCATAATGGTGCTGCTTTGTCTAATAATAGAGACACTATTCTATGTCTAGCATCTAAATGGTGACAGTAAAAGAAAGGCAAGCCTATGGAGTAATCTTCACAACGAGTTCTGTTTCAAATCTAATGTGATATGCTTTGCTGATACTTCTGCGGAACACCAGCTTTCTTTGAAATAAAGGGATCTTAAATATGTAAAAGATAAGTTACACACTGTCAAGAAGATGGAATCACATATTCCAACACCTATCTTTCTAGCCCTAATTTTGTCCTAGAAATTATAGATGCAAATAAACGCGGCATTTCCTCTGTGACAACTGATCGGGAGCCACTACCAATCTCAGAAGGCAGTCTTGAGCCTAGCTCTTGGCTGTCTTACCAGCCATCATTTCGACTCCCTTTCATATTCGCGTCTGCAACTATGCTAGCATCAACATCAGAAACTGAAAACAGAAGAATGACACAGTGTGAGTTCCAGTCTGCCTTCTTGAGAAATTCTGAGAGACAGACTGCTATCTTTGATGAGGTCATTACCTCCATAAGTTTGCAGCTAGAAAAGATAAAAGATGTCTTCGTCTACTCAGTAGAGTGCCAGTATATACATGCTGTGTCATTTTGGGGAGGCATGTTGCTTGGACAGGACATCAAGAGACAACAATGCATGGGAAGACGTCCTCGCAAGAAAGTAGATTTTCAGAGTCAATTTTCTCAGCAGAGAAATAATTGCAAGAGAAGAAAGAGAAGCAAAATGCAAATTATTGGCCTTTCTTAAAAAAATGCTGATATAATTACAAAATATCTTTCTGTTTCTACTAATTTTCACAATAATGTATCTGCCTAGCATATTTCTATCCTATGTCTTCTTCTTTTTATATACATGAACAACATATCTTTATTTTTTTTCACTTTTTTTTTATGCCTTCTTTCCTTCTTTTATATATTATTTTTTATTTCTCTTACTAGGGGAGTGGTGCTCCCTCCCCCCCTTTGGGGGGGGGGGGGGGGGGGGGGGGGCAGACCCTACCGGAAGTTAATATAAAACATTTCCCTATTGGAAGTTCAAATACTGTATGCCACAATTAATATGGTTATTTTTCTATATCCTTTTGTTGAAACAGGAGCTTATAAAATAAATTATATTATTAAAGATATAGATATATATGGAATTGAGAAGGAAAATAAGAATATAAAAAGATGTTTGCATGTGACATAAACATAAAACAGCATAAAGAGTACATAGATTTGATAGTAAGAAAAGAAATTAGCATAATTTTGTTAAAGTACTTGGGTCATATATCATAGGCATAGGTTATTTGGTTTAGTCTTTGGAAAGTACTTCGTTATATACAACGTTTTCAGTATATACAGTGGCTTGTGGTATATTTGGGTCATATGTATTATTGAACATAATTTTTATACCGGATGGTTTCCAGATGCGGGAAAGGGCAACATATAATTGGCCATGAGAAAAGACTGGAGAAGGGAGGTATAAACTTACTTTATCAAGCGTCTGTCCCTGGGACTTGTTTATAGTCATTGCAAAAGCAAGACGAACAGGGAATTGGCAGCGTTGAAAAGATATGGTTGAGGTTGATTCGGAAGGACTGAGTTTGATCTTAGGGATCAAAACAACTTTTCCGGAGTGTGAGCCAGTTACAACAGTTGCCTTGATAACATGACCCCCAAAAGAATCACAAATTAGACGTGTACCATTACAGAGGCCGTTCTTAGGGTCGAGGTTCCTGAGGAGCATAATTGGGCAACCTTTTTTTAAATTGAGTGAGTGTGGTGGAAGTGATCCAGGTTCCAAGCTGTTGAGTAACTCAACTGGAAATTCCAAAAGAGCATCTTCATCAAGTCCTTTGTCAATACTCTTAAATTCCCGTGCCTCTCCAGGAAACTGTCTTAATAAGATATTATTTATATTTTTGGCATCGTTGTTTTTTGGAGTGAGTATGGCACGGTCCATAAGGTAATCCGAGTTTGTTGAATTGTCTTGGAGGTCGGAAATTATGGCACTGGCCAGGTGAGAGATAGTAGAGCCATGGATAAGCATTTCGTTGCGAACAGAAATTGTATAGTCCCCCCCCCCCCCCAACTGTAGGAATTGATCGGCTTCCAACACGCAAGAGATAGGCAGCATATTCTCTAAGGTCTGTTTCTTCAGCTGGACTACTTGCCTGTGCAATGCGCATATTTGTTGTTAGTTTCAGGTATTTAACCTGATTTTACATTCGTAATTTACTAATGCATTGTTCTACTATTTGAGCTCTAGAGGCTTGAGGGACAACAGGTAGAACCTGACAGAAATCTCCTCCAAAGACAGAGAGATTTCCCCAAAGGGTACATGCTCAAGTAGTGGATTCATTGACTTCATAATGTCTTGCATTGTTTGGCTAACATCATGGAACATATCCTTGCTAATCATTGATGCTTCGTTCAAATAATTAACTTGGTCATTTTAAGTAGCTGAGCAACTTGAGAATTTGCCTGTATATTACACATGGAGTTTACGTCAAGCTTAAGTGGGATCTTGAAGAGCGAATGTTCCGTGTGGCCCCCATCCAGCAATAATGCAGCAATTCCACTTGTTTCTACTGCAAGGGCAAACTTTACTTACTGTCTAACCTTTCTCAGTAATGCATTGAATATGAACGTCTTGCCAGTACAACCAGAACTATCGATAAAGAAAAATCAGGAAGATATCTCAGTTGCATTTAGTGAATCTAATATTGTGTTGTACACTGTTCTTTGATTACTGTTCAACAGAAAAAGGTCAGAATCTAGTAAAGTGAATGCATCGGCACAGAGGTCTTCTTGTTCTTTATTAATGTGCGTTTTCTTTGAGCATGTGCATGCTCTGGTATAATTGGCAAGGGCCGAAGTGTGAAACCATCAAAGGAACAAATGGATACGGAATTCACAAAAAGATGATTCTCAATGCTCCATATGCACCTATCATACATTTCTTGAGCTGTGTTGTGAATGAGTATTGATTACTGCTGAGTCTGAGAGTAAGACTGAAGGATAAAATAATATCCTCAGCTATTCCAGTCAAACGGATCTGCCTTTATGATATTATATAATACACAGATCATCATACACATAATTGATTATTTATTATTATCACAATGACATGGGATATACAAATACATACACATTATATATATGGCACCATTATATTTCATCTACATATTTCTTTTATTAGACAAATACTTAATTGAGAGACTACAACTACAACTATTTAATATTATGAAACATTACCTGAGTGTCTGGGTCGGAATAGTAAAATATTACCAATAGCATAAATGCTCTTCTTTACCAAAACTCTCGGACTGATCTGACTGGAGAAGTATCATATCAATTGGTCTTTCCGGATCTTTCCAGAAGAACAATACTCCTGGAAGATGACTCATCGTAATAAAGATTACTTAAGCACACACTGAATTATAAATTAGAAAAACATATAAATATCAGTAGATAGTTCCATGTAGAAAGAATCGAATTTTATTATTCTTTACTTTTCCTTTGAAATAAACAACCTACACAAGTTCTCACGAATTCTTTCGTCTATATTATATTTTGCTTTATTTTCTCCCCACAACAAGTTGGTTCCAGAGAAGGGTCATTGTGCTCTGTTCTTGCTGTGTGGAGATAGTCTTTGATCATTGAGGAGCGATGGGCAATCCAGAGAGCATAAGGATCAGATACCTGACAGAATACCAAGAGAACAGCAAATAATTGTCTCATTGATGATGGCAACTAATGTGCAGCGGCTTCTTCCATGCAAGCATCCAATTCACAATCATCGATCAATAAGCCAAGAGCTCTACATGCAGCCTGATTTGACTCATGAAGTACACCCTCAACAGTTCGCAGATTTTCAAAGCTTGTGGCGCCTGGTACATTGTGTAGCAAGATCCACAAGAAATATCGCTCTGAATCTCTTGGGGATACAGCGTACACTCTCCCAATTGTTCCTCGTGAATATCTCTGTCTCGGTTTCCAAGTCTTGTCTTTTACATTCCAAACGAAATGAGAAGGAAAATTGTGGTAGAGATGTTTGCGAGCATCTATGTGCTTCTCGTTGTACTTGAACCATGCCATCAATGTTGTGCCAACATTTGTCATTGAGAGGCCATCCAGATTGTTGTTATCCTGAAAATACACATTCTGGGTATTCTTGGTATGTATTGCCAGTCTTTGATGTGTTGGGAGTTCTTGGTGCAGCTTAAAGAAGAATATTCTCCAGGATGCCTCTGAAGCTGAGACATACCTAGCATCAAGGAACTCGTTTATTTCATTTGTTAGCTGTTCTTGCAGAATACCATTGTTTGTGGTGCTGGCTGTTGCTGTTGTAGATGTGGTTGCTGTTGCTGTTGCTGATTGGATGTTTGCCATTGCGTGATCATGTCCTTTGTATACATACTGAATCCGATTTATTACAAAGAAAGCCCAAAGAAATACTTATTCCGAATTTTACCATCTGTCTACCACTATTATCTCTTTCGCGTAAAGAATACAGGCACACAAAGTTGATGCCTAACGCAGAATTAACCAAAAATAACCCTCCCATCACAAACCATCCACCAACACACCAGAACAACCTGTCCAACAACACACAAACGGCCTCGATATGCTTAGAAACCATGCCACGGGCCCAAGAACAAAGTATACCATACACGATCTTTAAGTTCGCTGCTACGGAAATTGAAACACCTGCAACATCCCCAGAGACCAACTTGCTGCCTGAACCCCAAATCCTGGCAAAAAGAAATAAAGCCCAGACTCTTGCTATCCAGAAGCAGAAAAGAGCAGTCAGCACGCAAAGCATGATCAACAAGAACTGTGCAAACTTGGTCGAGGGTGGCTTCACTTACAACAGGGACGAAGCTATGACTCTTGCAGAAGATCAACAGGAACGCGCTGCCTTTAAGGCCACCATTGCTGACTTAACTGGAAAGTTGGAAAAACTGGCCGCTGACTACCAGTCAGTAATGGAAAAGCTTAATAACTTACTTGCCAAGCACGACGCCAGCACTACCAGAGCAACCTTTGCACCCACTGGTAAAGACTTGCTGATGGCATCTAAGCATGCCCCAAAAACCCTGATGAACGACGACAGCAGCAACAATTGCACCCAATGTGCCAACTGCAACCCCGTCACTGACAACAGCAACAACAACAACAAAAGCAGCAATATCACTACAGATAGCACTGCCACACCCACTCAGACTTCATATGCTATGCAAGCCAAGAAGGGCATAGATGCCAAACAGGCCAAGCAGAACGTCCAAGTCCGCAGAGTCCAGAGACAAAGACTCCTACAAAAACCAACTGGCCCATCTGCATACGAATTTGTGTACCTCCCGGCCAAAAGATATATCAAGTACCAGGAAATGAGAAAAATCCTCAGCTCTTTTAAGATCCCCACCTCCCGCATCCTAGACATCCAATTCCCTGCCAGAGGAACAGTAGCTCTTCTCATCAACAGAGAGTCTCGCAAAGAACTCATCACACTACTAGGAAAGGCCAAAGTGACCCCACTGTACAACTTTGATCCCACCACCACCAACGTGATCGCCGATCCCAAGTTGAAAGAAGAATCCATTGAGGTTAGGGCAAGAAAAGCCCAGGCACTTTTTGACGCCCGACTGGTAAAGGTCTGCCTCCGCATGCCAACATACCTTGGCCACAGCATCATCCAATACTTCTCGTCACCAAAGGCTGTTGTAAAGATCTCACAGACCACAGTCTCCGACTACCTGGAAGGCTGAAAACCCACCAGCACCACCGCCTTTGTAGCCCCAACCAACGACATGGACAGCATAGAATCCACCAAAACGCCAATCACCACAACTCATGAATAGACTGAAGATCAGTTTATTTAACGCCAATGGACTACGGCCCAAATTGGTGAATGTGATAGATGCTTGTGAGACGAACGATATTGATATTCTTTTTGTTACAGAGACTTTTCTGCCTGAGAGCGCCCCTGCTCTCCAGTGCCCTTGGACCCAGATACACAACTTTGCTATTCCAATGACGTCACCAAAGCCAATGGACGGCATCTCACTACTTATAAGGCCAGATTTTTCTCATCATGTACACCCCCTTCCAATCATTAACCCCCACGTTGTATCATGTAGGATCGATCCCTATACTATACACTGCGTATACCTCCCACCACGATTGACATCCTCTGAGTGTCAAGAGCGGCTGGAATTGTTATCCATCAACAACTTCACTATTGTTTGCGGCAACTTCAATGCTCGACTACACCACACAACTGGGGACACTCGAGGAGGACCACGAAGTGAAATTATGGCAAACTGGATTAGCAGTAAGGATTTAACATTGTGGAATTCGGAGTTGGCCTTTGGCATCCCAACATACAAGAGAGTCCATACATCTGGCAGGGTCTTCAAAAGTATTATCAATTTCTTCTTGTCGTGAGAGGAGCAATTCCATGATATGCAGATGAAAATCCATGACGAACTCGCCTTGGACTCTGACCACCACCTTTGTGAGTTATTCTTTCAGCCTGTGTTCATACCACAGCTCCTGACAGAAAACTCTGTCTGTCAACTTTGCAAGCTTCAACGACTGGAAATCGAAGAGGTCTACAAAAAATACCAAAGACGGTTTGAAGTGGATTCAGGTACACTTCAATGAGAGATCCAACAAACCCTGAAAGAAACTTCCATATTGTGCCCTGTTGTCTTGGAGGCCTATTCAGAACGTCTCAATGAGATGATCTATAAGGCTTTGGATGATTCTGTTGGGCAAGCATCACCACGACCAAAAGTTTGGAAGAACTTTTGGAATGCCGAATTAAAACACCTAGCTGACCGGCGTCAAGAACTTTACCATTGGCTACGCTGGGTAGGCAATGACTTTGAACGCATTAAAGCCCATGCTGAGTATGTTGCAGCAAACCAAGATCTGCGAACAGCAGTTCAGGTGGCATGACAACAAATCTGGTACGATTTCTGTGACAAAATCCAAAAGGCTCCTTCAGAGATGGTGAGCACGTTAAAGAGAATGAAGATTCAGCAACGATCTCCGATTTCTCTGACATCTCCAGAAGGACCACTTACAGCCGCTAATAACATGATCGACCACATTGAAAATGTTTTTGGTGGACCTATGGAAATACGGACTAAACCGGAGGTTACACCATTGGAAAGGGAAGTACCATGGGACGTAGACCAAGTCAAAGAAGCTATTCGTCATTTGCCACGATGGAAAGCACCAGCTATTGATCATATTAGAGCAGAGATGCTCAAGCCTCTTGTATCAACTCTAGGTCCTCTACTTCACATGCTCTTCAAGCTGTGTTGGAGATGGTTGTGGACGCCTGTTGCATGGAGAATGGCACAGGTGGTAACTATCTACAAAAACAAAGGAGCGCACGCAGACCCCAGCAGTTATAGGCCCATCAGCTTGACCTTGGTGTTCAGGAAGCTTTTGGAGCGATGCCTGGCTGAGGAACTCCTTTCGACCATGCCAGACTTAGACATAGCCCAGGGAGGATTCCGCACTAGCCGCAGTACCCTAGACCAGGCTCTCTGTCTCCACGAACTAATGAGGCAATACTCTGTTCCCAACTCTGAGCGAGAGCAAGCGCTCAAACCACCAGTTGTTGTCTTCCTGGACATAAAAGCTGCATATGATAGTGTGGATCGTAACGCCATATGGGACTCATTACAATCTTTTGTGTTGGAACCCTTGCTAGTGCTACTTCAAAATCTATTTAACGATATTATTGTTAATGTAGTGATGAAAAATGTAGCATCCTGTGGTGTTACGCCAAGACATGGAGTCCTGCAGGGTAGTATACTTTCACCTTTCTTATATTCAATTTTTATTGATACTCTACCACGTTTACTTCAGGAAGTCTCTACCCAACCATACTACGTTTGCATCCCCTCTCCCTCGTTAACAAGATCCCTTCACTTGTTCTCATTCTGTACGTACGCATTTGACAGCCCAACAGCCACTCCTTTGTCACTATTGGAGGAGCTTAGGACGGTCACCTGTAATGTGTTCAGTGTTCCCAGGACGGAGGGGGATGCACCAGACTATCTTCCTATGTCAATGGCTCCTATCAACTGTCTTCTGTACACTGACGATGTTGCCCTTATAGGCACACCCAACGATGTGCAAAAAATGTTGACTTTAGCTGAGACACATTCAAACCTTCTGGGGTATAAGTGGAGTCCATCCAAATGCGAGGTCCTCAATGCCCCTCCCAATTCTTCTTTTTTTTTATATGGAAATACTCTTCCCACTTGCACTTCCTTTAAATATTTAGGATTCCCTTTTGCTAGCCAAGGGATAGATCGAGCCGACATGTTCCTTAAGTCACAGCAAAAAGCTTGTGCAGCAATGCATAAGCTTAGTAGCTCGGGTGTACACATGAACGGTTTTGGTCTCCCTGCGGCTCTCAGAGCTTATCTCATTTTTATCTGCCCCATTCTTGAGTACGGCTTAGCCATTGTTCCTGCTAGCTGGAGTGACGTTCAGATCCTGCAGAAGGCCCAAAATATATGTCTTCGGACATATATTCGACGGCCCAATGCAACGATGAGAGTTGTTTATATCGCTGCATTAGCTGCTCTACCCAACCTATTCACCCGTTCCCATGCTCTTCAAGCCAAATTTCTTCGTCGTGCTGAAAAACTACCTTCAGAACCCCTGATCAAAGCTCTTATCACACAGCTGGACCTTTCCAAAGAAAAAACGACATGGGGTGAGCTTCGTCATAGTGTACTCTGGAAAAAAACCCAATTGCTGAAAGAACATCAACCTCAGTTGAAGGACCCATTAAAAGAAGCTTATGTTCTACTGTGCCAAAAAGAAATCGACATGAAACTTGCGAGCGTTAACCATCTGGTAACTGTTGCTAGAGGCTTGTGCAAACCTGTCTGGGATCCAGTCTTACTACTGCCCTGCACTCGCTCAGAACGACGCTGCCTGATCAAATGGCGAATTGCTTGGCTACCACCTACACCATCAGTTGAGTGCCAATGTGGCACTATCAAGGGTAACCAAAACCACATGCTTATATGCCCTGCCACAATCACTCTCGTTCTAAAACTCTGGTCTTTGATGGATCCTGCTCCTCCCCAAGAGGTTCATCTCATTGACTATGCTCTCAACTGTCTCCCCAGGTCTTTCAAATTGCCTGTTACGTGGTGCGATTGGTGACCGTGCTTGCTTGCCTTGCTACGTGCTGTTGATCAAACCACCTCATTCTATAAACTGCCAGAAGAAAAAGCTCATGGTCAAATCCTCATCGACCTTGCAGCAAAATTCCGTGCCACAAAATCAACCTGTCCCCACTGCATCCCACCGCCCACCCAAGAACCTGTTCCTGGTGATCTGTTCCACCATCTTCTCTCCGAAATTTCCACCATTCCTCGTCAACCCCCTCCATCTGTGCCCGCCCGAAATTGTGCCTAGGAGGACTGACTTGGTCTGGTATCGTTGTGTATTCTGGATCTATAAATGGATCGTCCAAGTTTCTAAAAGGAATCCCTCTTTGGAGTTCCTATCCCTGCTGAAATCCGTTCCCAATTCTGGTGCCGTCAGTACCTAGTTACTTATTCTCAATTCTTTCATGTCATTTATTTTTCTTATATATTTATTTCACCTGTATTCTTACCAGCTGTATTATCTATTTTAGACTTAGTCTTTCTAAAAGCCGTTTTCCGCCACAGGGGGTTTTTTTACGTGCTCTCTTTACTGTTTTTGCTGACTATTCATCCTTGTCTCTGTCATGTGTGTTCCATACTTTTTCTTTATTTATCCTTCACTTTTTGCATATTGTTTTATTCCCCCTCATATTTAGGGGGTTAATTTTATTATTTTCATTTATTCTTCAGCTTTCATCGGGTAGCCAATATGCTAAAATGCGCAAGGCCTAGAAAAACCCACAATAAAATCTTTTCATCTGTATACATACTTGTAGAGGTATTTGACAGCTGAAACTGATGTACTAATTTCCACATTAATGTGAGCATTGTATTTCATGCACAGATACTTGTTATGGGGCACAACCCATATGTTATCGATCATGTAGTTTCCCTTTCTTACACGTTTTCCCTCGTCTCTTCTTTGGTATAATGGGTAACCATTTCCATTGTCTATTGTTTCATTATTAATTTTTTTGGGAAGTTTTTTTCACATTTTCCATTTTTCCTGCAGCAAGCTTTATTATTAGGCATTCACCAAGTTGTGATCACCCGGTTTTTTCCCAATTTTAGGCAAAAAAGTTATTCCAAAAATGGGTAACAAACACTACGGGAAAAAAGTGGGGATTTTGCTGGGGATTCAGCTGGAGATTCAGCTTGGGATTGAGCTGGCAATTCTCGCGAATCGCAGTGGAATCTCCAGTTCCTTTTTAAGTAATATATTTTAATCGCCGTTAGCTTATTGATGTTAGGTTTTATTCATATCCCGCTATATTCACCCATCTGCTATATCCTTATTTTAATTGGTAGTAAAAGAATAGAAAAAGGTTTCTATTGGTATGAATGAAAGAAAAAAGTTCTTTAATTGGTAATAAAATATTTTTTTGGTTTTTATAATTATTTTAATTGGATAAAATACATTCTATCATAGTATAAGCTTAAATTTTATTGGTCATTTCAACAAAAAAATTCTCTTAAATGGCTTTCATTTATATATATTTGGATTTGTTCACAGTTTTAATAGCGCAAAAAAGTTTTATTTCATAGAGGATTTTTATTTAAAGATATTTTATTGGTTGTTATAAAAAGAACAATTCTTTATTCATTAACTGTATTGGCTAAATATCATTTGAATAATTTCATATTTTCATATTTAGTATACAGTTTATTATACCTACCTGATATGAACTTACACTGGAAAAATAGGGTAATTTCATCTGGATCAAATGTACCAAAAATGTAGATGATTGAGCCGATATCATCACAATTTTTGTGATATATCATTTTGAGCAATGGTACGATATCATCTATGGTGCTGATGCGTATCATCATAACAACGGGTACACGAAAACCCAATGTAGAACGATTGTCAGTCCGCAAACTATGGAAACTGAATAAATATTGTAGTTACGCTTTACTCCTATCGAGTCTACCTCTTTATGTGTTATATTTTGAGGTCTATAAAGAGCTAGCATCCCATATTATTATTTTTACCAGGTTTTTTTATTGGCTGCAGAAATGCTTTAAAAACTATCAAAGAGATGATTGTAGGTTTTTTACAATATAAAGAAATGATGATAGTTGGTTTTTTATACATGCTCAAAGTGATGAAACTAGGTTTTTTATACACACAAAAGCAATGAAACTAGGTTTTTTTACAATGGAAAAGAGAAACAAAGCATGGGTAGATTTTTATAAACAAGCCTCTTTGGTTTGTTTATTTATTTTACTTTTATTTATTTATTTTTTGGAAAAACATTAGGTTATACATTTTTTGTTCAATTTTGTTTTATTTGATAGGAAAATCTTTTCTAGATAAAAATACTAATTTCGCGACAGTTTTGATACTATAGCTATTATAATCGCTAATACTTCTTGCTCGCTATATATAATTTAAAGCCTTCCAGGAGTAGACATGGAATACATACTTTAATAGCGGGAATGCTATTAAAAAATGATTAATAGAAAAGAAGAATTAGTAAATGATTTAAATTGAAATTTCTTCATAAATACTTACAAGGCGGAGAAGACTTGACATAAACTTGATATAAACATGTTCTTCAGAATTATCAAGACAATACCAGTAGTCTTTGAATAGAGATACATTCTAAAAATGAATAATTATTAATATTGTGCGTAGTAAAGGCATATTTATTAAATATATTGTAGTTAACTTACCAAATATTACTGATTATACGTCTTCGTGCATAATATTAGACATAACTAATAAATCATAATAAAAATAAATATATATCTATGAGGAAGACAAAAGAATAATTTGAATTTTTTTTAAGAAAAAAACTTACCATCATGTTCGATTAAGAGATGATGAGACTCAATGGAAATGGGTAGCAATGGCTAGACAAACAATATGATGAGTAACAAAGATCTGTAAGAGAATGATATCTTACCTTGATATATCAGACAGAGTATAGCCAAACAAAGAGACACATATTTGGTATTGAGCTATAAAAGAAAGAAAAAATTATAAGTGAAATTGTAAAAACATAAGCAAAAGAGAAACAAAGAAAATATCAATAATAAATGTTGTTAAAAGAAAAAAAAAGGAAAAAAAAAAGACTTGTCTTAAAATCCAGTTTGACCCTGACAAAATGCGGGCTGTAAAAAGTAATACTCCAAAAGAAGATGACCACCGTCATCTTGAAATACTACTTTGTGCCCCATTGAGTTAGAAAAGAAGTTGTCTAAATGTGGATCAAGCGGTTGGGAGATGTGCTTAAATATCAAATGAAAGGTAGAGAGTTAATCTGCACCGCTTATCCTCTTTACTAGTATGTAAATTTTAAATATGATATAACAAGTGTAGTGAATTGTACAATATTAGTTGAAAATTATTAATATTTATTTTATTAACAGAAAATGACAAAGCGTATTCCTACTGCTCCCCGCCGACCCAACCTACGCATGAATGCTGTTCTTAATAGCACAATTGCAGGTGTTGTTGCTCCAATTGATACACCAACTCCAGAAGTAGCAGTTGACACAGCCCCTGAAGTTCAAGTCGCTGTGACCCCAATGGATCACGTCTTTACCTTGTTGGCAGCCAACAATGTGTCGATGCAATCCTTGCAAGAAAATGCAAAAGGAGTGACTGATGCAATAACTTATTTGAAGAATGGCCTGGATTTGTCCAACAAGACAAATGAATTTTTGAAGAACTCGGTCCTTCAGCTCATGACTGAAAATGCTGAAATAAAAAAGGCAATGACCAGCCAAAATTCCGTGATGCCTTCTGCTGTACCAGCGGATTCTTCTTCTTCCATGGATGATGATCTTGACCTTGGAGCGAAACATCATCCCTTGATTTCTGTAAGTAAATTGATAATAATAACATTACTGATTAATATATCTAATACTGTTTTTATAGCAACTTATCAATAGTTACATCAAGAAACCAAACTTTGTTAGCACAGACCTGCTCAAAGTTGCTGAGAATAATAATAGATCAGCATGGTCAATGACTGGCGCGTATGGCGACAAGTACAACAAGACACTTGCACTGGCTCTCTTCAAGTACCTGAGACCTCAAAGATGTTGCACAAATGTGTCAAAGAGTGTCATTATGAATATAATAAAGAATCACTACCAAAATCAAGTGCGAGTCTTCCGGACCTCAGCAGAGAAGATTATGGCTAGAAATAAAGCTGAAAGAAGACACAACAGAAAGAAGACCGTAAGTTTTAAAATAAAGTTAATTTACTATTGATTTAATGTTTTAATACAATACTCTTTGGTAGCTTCTTGACCGTTGTATTATCACGTACCAGACATACAGAGAGGCTATTCATGAGGGCATGAATCGATATGATAGCAGAAATATTCTTTCTATTGATGTGATGTCTGATGGCAAGTCAGATAAAGATAACAAAGTGTGGGCATATCGTCTCAGCTGGAGAACTGATGAGATAATATTAAACATCCATCTATGCTTTAAAGAAAATAATAATACTTTATTAATACTATTTATTCTTTAAACCAGCTCCAGACGTTTATTATTAATATTGATAAACTTACTGTTATCTGTTTGAAGAAAAATTCAGAAAGCTTGAAAAAGCGCATCCCTTATGAGAAAGAAGTGAGCATTCCCAAGAATTTGGCAGTCACTTTACCAGATTGATGCTTTTCAAAATAAATCATTTTTTTCTTGCCAACTATTTTAGAGTCTTTTTTCTACTTGTTTATGTTTACAGATTAGCATGATGTATACAGATGCATGTATAGCATGCCAAGTACAAACAAAAATTTATAGAAATAATAAAAAATAAATGTGCAGTTCTATAAATTAGCCTGTATTAATTAATATTTTTTATACATGTTTTATTTTTGTATTTGAATCTAAATATATATTTTTCGTGGCAAAGGAACTACACACATCTGAACTTTGCCTTCTAGACCAAGGTGCTCGCCTACTGCAACTGGATAACGGATTCTATGCACTGAGAGAATGCTGTTCATGCTGTCATCTTCTAACCCCACCTCATTCACCTCAACTCCTTCTCCTGCTCTGGGCTGAAGTAAAACTTCCTTGTACCATCATACATATGCAAATACATGCTGGCTTGTATGATCAGCAAACGAGTTTACAGCAGTATTGACAAAGAGGTACTGGATTTGGCCTGCGTACGGCTTGGTACTTCTACCATCACTTGTCTCAAACAAGGCTTGCATCAATGACCCGCACTGATTCTTTGTTTTGCTCTTGTAGATTTGCCCGAGAAGATCGATTGATTCAAACTTCTGTATCCAGTTATTAACAAAATTATTGGAATGACCAGCCTGACGATAATGAACAAGAGTTTGATCATTGTATGTCTTGCGAAAGTATTCCAACAAATGCTCATACTTGGATTCATCCATGGAAATGTTCCCCTTTAGAGCTAAAGAAGTGCAAAAGGGGGCAAAGGCTTGTTTCCCTTGATGATATCAAAGTTGATCTCAGGAGAATTAAGAAAAGCATTGATATCGAATTGGATTGAGGTGGCAGTGGAAGTGGAAGTAGAAGTGGTAATGGAATTGGCAGTGGATGCAGTGAGCTCAAGGATGATTGCTAAATGCTCAGATTGAGTTATTAGCAAAGTTTGGCAAATAAGATCTCTCTGGTATGCTTCATCAAGATACTTCTTCATATAGGTTCTCTCAAACCCATCTTTTCTATTTGCTGCGTAGTTTTTTAAGATACCATTGCATCTTTCAAAAGTAAAAAGCCAATAGCCATAAACCGGACCAAAGTTCAGTATAGTCTCTCGCAGATGAAGATGGAGATGCATGTTTGGCAAAAGAAACGGGACTTTATACAACTTCTCGCACTCTCTGCAGAAGGCCTCCAAAGATTGATGGGCTTCATCAAGGTGAGCCGTAGATATGCTTGGCATTGAGAGGTACTGGCATGCATTGACAAACGTTGTCCAGTTACTGAGATGAGCTTCAGGTAGACGACCACGCAGAAGAACAGGAGAGTACACCAAGTACCAAGACTTCCATTTGTCGGCATTCATGAATGGGAAGCCATGCCCAATCTTTGTCCCTAATGGCGTGTAGTCCTCTGGCAGTACAATCTTGTCAGCATCCAACTGCATTTCAGCCAAGTGTGCATCTGTGATGAGACCTGAAGATCTCCATTTCTCCATTATTCTCTTTGCTGTTTCGAGGTACAGGTTGTGCATCGGATTTATGACAGTGCATTCTACGAGGTTAAAGTAAACCAGGTCATGCAATTCTGACCATCGGACACCATTTTCCCTCTCCAATCTCTTTCTTTGTGCATCACTGCTGGCCATTCTCCACAACTTGGCATCACAACAGTTTTTGGCATCAGTGCGAGGCACCCACTCAGAAAGTACGAACGCAGAGTAGTCCACAGCATTGGAGTCTGGAAGGCGAGGGAACTGTTGGTTGCACTTATTGCACGCACATGTGCTTGAATGAGAGGTAAACCCACAATTCTTATGGGTGGCAGGAATGTCACAAGCAACAAGAAGAAGGGCAGAACGGACAAGAGCACCAGATGGGCACTGTACGGTAGGTATCACCACACCACCATACAACTGGTTGAGTTCCGCAACAAGGGGACGGAGGTAGTGATTGATTTCACTTGTCTTTGCTTCCTTGGGTCCTGGCATGAGACCAACGAGAACAACATTCTCCTTCTTGTACCGTTCCGATCTTGGCAAGTTGTTGATGCAAAGGTATGTCACACCACAGGAGTAAGTGACCCCATCGAAAGGTTGAAACCAATTGATGTTCATGGTAAGCATTATGGAGCACTCATGATTCACAAACGGTAAACCATTACTATCCTTCAGACTGTTCCACTTCATACTGTCGTAAATGTCAAATATCATGCCTGGAACTTGCACTCTGATTCTCCAATGGTTGATGATGTCTTCGAATCCAGGGCAGCAAAAAAGGATAGACAATGTTTTGATTATGAAGTTATACATGTAGATCTTTTTGGGGATAGTCAAGGCTCTTGATGTTGCAAAGAAAAGAGCGTTTCCACATTCTCTACCAGAGAGTCTCTCGAAATTACAGCACTCTGGAACAACATCAGACTCTTCGTATACTTTGTTACAATCGCCACATGCAACAAACCGCTGGACACCTCAAGTCACGTCGCTGAGACCGGTCATAGAGTTGACACCGTTTATACTGAGGGGAAGACGGAAAGACTGTCCAAAGTGTGCCAATACTTCGTTAAGAAACTTTAACAGAACAGCACCACCAGAATTGACAACATATTTGGATATGAAGAAGGCAGCAAAAGAAGCAATGAAAGCATGAGTAGGATCGACTGGCATATTGGATGAAGAAAAGTGCTCTATTTGAAAAAAAATCAATACTTGTTGACTTTATTGATTTATATGTGCTTTTTGTACTAACCTCTAACATCATCAGATTCATCGTCAGAAATATCCAAAATGGTTGCTTCAATGACACCCTCATCTTCGCTTTCAGAATCAAACAAGGAATCAATGCCAAAAAGAGGTAAGTCTTTGGCTGTTTTGTTAGGTAAAAAAGAATCAAATTATTAGATATTATAAATGATTATAAAACTTTAATAAAAATACTATGCATACCTTCAACTTGATCTTCGGCATCAACATTGTCTTCAAAGTCAATCTCCATGTCATTGTCATTTGACATTACTTCTATAACTGAGGCTATATTATATGAAAATAAATATTTAATTAAAATTGTCTCAATAATAATTTTCTTAAATTTGAACTTACAAGAAGATCCTGACTGATATTGTCTCACGATATCCTGTTGTGCATGTCTTCTGAGTGTTTGGGTAGACACCAAAACAAATCCCATGCTATTGGAAGAGCATTTAGAGCACTTGCATTCTGAATTGTTGTTGTTGTTTGACATATTGTGTGCGTATGTTTTATTTTTTAAGTCTTTAGAATTGACAAGAATAGAAAATTGTTCAGGAACACAATTTAATATATATCTTTCCAAATTACACCAGCTTCCAAAATAACATAGTTTATTCCGGCTGTTAAAATGGGCAGTTCTCTAAACAGTAATTGATTGCCTCATTCTAAAATACAATAATACACACTTTTGTTAAAACATGTCGTCATGTACATTTTATTAGCTGTAGAGCATATACAACAAAAATATTTGTAGTAATATCACGACCATTAACCTCATCATACTTATAAATAAATATTACAACAATAAAAAGCTTTATTATCTCACTCAAAAGATATCAGTTGGTTTAAGTTTCCTACAACTATTGACCCTGCGACATGGCTACAAGTCCCAAAAAGAAATCTTGCAGACATTTTTTACAAAAAAGAGTAAACTCGTTTTTTTATCCAATAAAACAGACCGAGCATTATCATCGCCATCGAAAATAAAAAAGACAAAAGTGATGGAAATTTAAGCTACCACTCCACAAAGAATAGTACCCTACGCCATAGATGAAATTACCCTATTTTTTCAGTGATAACTATAATGCAGCTTAGAGAAAAACCTTTGTCTGGTATAAATATGATTATTTATTTAATATGGAATAGGCTTACCTTTGTTCTCTTTGATGGCTACTAATTTGTTATACATTTTGAGACATAGATCTGCACATGTTTTTCTATCTATTTTTTGCCACTCTTCTTGCAGAGCTACTTCCAAGTCCTTCAGTGGTTATGCAGCTCCATATCATTACAGATCCTCCATTTTCTTGTACTTTTTGTTGAACACAGTCTGTGCAAAGCCTCTTGCCAGTCTTTCTCTATGAGCAAACTTTTCCATCTACTCTGAAAAGAAGAAAATTTGATTTATTACTCCATATAACTGTCTTCTATTCTTCTTTCCAGTTCATTCTTTCTTTTGCCCATTTGCAATAAATGGCCATGTCTTTTTCAGTTAGCTGAGACTTCCTCGCTGCAGCACGAGAGAATATGCTCAGGTTATGCAGTTATTTACTGACTGTATTTTCAGATATATACTGACCAGTGAAATTTCTAATACCTCTTACAATATCTGATAAAGACTGGTGTTGCTCACTTCTTATAAGTCTATCCAAATGATGTTTGCCTCTAGAATCAAGCACTTTGGTCTTCCTGAACAAGGCTTATCTTCGACAAATCCAGTTTCCTTATACTTTTTTATTATACTGAGAAGAGATTCTACAGGTATACATTTGGAGCGGGAGATTTCTGGAATGGATATTCCAGCTTTATGCATCCCAATCATGATAGACTTCTCAGTATTCGAAAACCTCTTAAGCTTATGGGGTGGTTGCCTTTATTTTGGTTTGAATATGCAAGTGTCATATTTATAAGATTATAGATTAATGTAAGTGTGAAATAAGGTTGCAAAGATGAGTAAGCGGATTTTAAAGTCGTGCGGACTTTGTTTGAAAGATTGTAATATAAATTACACCCAACAATATGTGATCTTAGATCGTAAAACAGCTCTCTAAAACTGTGAATTATTATTTGATAAAAATTACTAGTCATGAAGATAAATATATTATTTTGCTTTCTAAATACAACAAAGTTTAGTAAAAGTAATTATATAAATATTGCTATATAATATTTACCAGCCAATCCAACTCTTATATGATGTATTTTCTTTTAAGTCAACAAATTTTGGAAATAGAAACAGTTTTTTCCTTTTAAACACTAATTGCAAAAGACGCTATTAAAAGATCACTACACTTTAAAAGAAATCAAAATATTGAAACTTATACATAGATGTGATATTTCAGATATAAAACAGTAAAAAATAAATAAATTTGATAATAGAGATGTATAAAAATACTTTGAAACTATATAGAAGCTGTTCTTTATTTACAAATAAAAAGTATCTCTTTTTATAAGAAAACACAATCTGCCCTTGTCATTACATCTTAATTTCTTAAGGCTTTCTTTCTTTACTATATTTGATTATTAGAGTAAATTTACTGCTTAACTATTGTCAGTTATAATTATAACATCAAGTCATAAATTGTACTTCTTTAACTCTTAGCTATTCTTTTCTTTTTTATACAAGAGCTTTAGGACTTCCTACTAAATTAGATCCATATTGCTCTGACACAGTTTAGCCACCAGTATGATATAATTATCTTAACAATCTTTAAGATATTATCTACAATACTGACTTTAATAATTATTGACCTGATTACTTAATAGTATATATATATTATATACTGAAAAGATGATGACTACTAAACTATCCCAATAAGAATATAGTCTTATCTGTGATAAATCAAACATCCAAGTGTCTGGATTACCACAGTGTTATCAAACCTTACTTGCGGAACCCCTCATTTACATATACTGTAGTGTTTGTAAATATCGCACACACTTGCTAAATGACCTTAAAACCTAGTGAAAAAAATATCAACTATGATATATCACATTACTCTAGTACAATTTACCCATATATACACATCATTATTTCCCTACTTTTTTCCAGAGTGTCATATACCACCATTTTCATAAGTACACTTCGTAATTCTATATATTTTGAAATATCTTGTTCTGGACCAACGTTTCATTACCTAACACAAGTCCCATCGTTTCAATCTCTCTTAATCAGTACACACCATAATTCTCAGCACTACAATATACATATAAATTATTTCTTTCGCACCAAAATTCTCAGCACTACAATATACATATAAATTATCTGTTACACATCATACAATATAAAAAATTAAACTATTTCTCATACACTACCCCCCTCTACTCCACTGCCCCCCGACTTTTAACATAATACAAATATTCTACCACTAAAACATTCTTATTCTTTTTTATAATAAAATTACTATCACACCAAACTCTTCTTATTCTTGTGCCTTTCACTTTAGTCAAATAAACTCGGTCTCTTTTCTACCCACATACATTAATTATTTTAATGTATTTATTTATTCTTTCTTTTTTTCTACTTTTTTTTTCTTTTTTTCTTTTTTTTCTTTTCTTTATATAGGTTTATATGTATACTACTTAAGATTTCTGTTTGTAGTTGACTGCAGAATTATAGAAAAAAGATAGAATAAGAGCTGATTCTATATATATAGTCTAAAACTCAAGCTCAATCAGTTATATTTTTCCTAGTTTTTGTCCTATTATTAAGGTTTATTCTTTATATCCACACACTAGTATGTTTAGTAAAACTGGAAAAAAGGACGTTCAGTTTAAATTGTGTAACGTTACATTTTTTCAGACGTATAAGTGTGTTGTATGTTTTAATTCCAGACACGTCGAATTTTACATGGTTTCTTATGAAAATGAAAAATATACTTTTTTCTGCCGTTTTTTAGGCTAATACAGTGCAGCAGCTATCAGAACTACAAGTTTCCTTTTTTATTTTGAAGAACCTTATTTTGCAACATATAAACCATTAGTAGAAATCGTATTTTCTACTTATAAAAAATAATTTAAATACTCTACAACTCAAACTGAATGTTATATTTAGTAATATAGTATATACTTAGTAATAACATACAAGATATTATCTCTAAAACGTTTTCATTCATTATAGTTCAAAATTTATTTTATTTATTTTATTTATTAATTTATTTTATTTTAATATTATTCAAAAAAAAATAAACGTAACATATATAAATATATATATAGTCTATATGTATAGACTCTAGCATATACTTTTGAGAAACAAACCCGTGTATATTTGATCTAGAAATAATTGGTGCGAAGACAAAAGTCGATGTGATAAATCAATAAAAGTAAATTTCGATTCAAGAGTAAAACCAAGTCGGTAGCATATATAAAATTATATAACTGACAATAATAAAATCCAACTGAAACAAGATATAAATTTATTTTGGGTGCAAAACTAAAATCTGGTTGGAATTATATATAAAATTATATCAAGTACAAGAATGAAATCAAATTAGGATCAGGTATGCGGTTATTTCATGTGTAAAAGTAAAACCAAATCTGGATTAAAATAAAAAAAACCCCCCAAATCGGGATTATATATAAAATTATATTGCTGGCAATAAAATAATCTAATTGGGACACGATGTAAAGTTATTTCTGGTGCAATAGTAAAGCCAAATTGGGATTATATATAAAATCATATCGAATGCAAGAATAAAATCAAATAGAATCAGAAATACAGTAATTCTGGGTGCAATAATAAAACCAAATTGGGATTATATATAAAATCATATCGTGTGCAAGAGCAAAAGCAAATAGAATCAAAAATAAAATCATTCTGGGTGCAATAATAAAACCAAATTGGTATCATATATAAAATCCCACAAATCCAAACTATGGACTACCAAACAATATATAACTTCATATGTGTTTATAAATATATGGATCTATATTGTAATAATCACTAGATTTATTTTATTTGGATCTTGAAAAGATATAAAACTGTTTAGATCCATAATCACTATTCTATAATCGCATACAACAATTTCTTATTACAAAATACCAAACACTCTGTACTCAAAAACTAAGAATCCTATAGAACAATATTAGCAAGCTACTTGAAAATAGACTGTGAACACAAACCAAAAGCTGCTCTAGAACTATATATATTGCCATTGTATTTTGGGTGCAATACTATATATATACTCTTATTCAACACCCACGGATCCACCCACATATTATAAGTTACTATAGTTTTTTATATATATTATTGTTAATTTATAATAGGCATGCTGTCATATATATATATATACTCCTATTCAACATACACACAAACACACATACACTCATACACATCAAAACTTACTATAGAACTAAGCATGACCGATTGAAAATGAGACTGTCAAGCATACAGTGGTTTCAAAACCGTCTGGTCCGCACCCAATAGTCTCCAAAACCGTCTGGTCCGCACCCAATAGTCCCAAAACCGTCTGGTCCGCACCCAATAGTCTCCAAAAC